GCACGGAAGACAACCGATATTGGGTAAGCCACGCCACGCGAAATCCGAACCTGAAGGGCCTCTAGCAGGTCGGGTGGATTTGATCCCTCCTCACGAGTAACCTACACGGCGGGCTCGAGGGAGATGTAGGAAGAAGGGGTCCAGGAAGATGTCGAGATCACATCGGCCCTTACTCATTTTAACGAAGATAAAGTCGGTCACCTCTCGCCACGCTCGACTCCGACGCTTCTTCTGCGCGTTATGATATGACGCAAGAAAATAATTCGCTCTCGCTTGGTCCTTGGAAATTCACAGGCAGTGGGTCACCTCCCAGAGCGCTTGGCTATGCTCTTCGTCAAACCGTGTGTAAACCGCCGCTAACTGGGCGAACCAGCCAACAGGTCGAAAAAAACGGGGGGAATCAGAAAACGTTCTGCTACCCAAGTTTTAGCGGCCAGCAGTTTCTAAATCATCGGGGAGTTCGCCAGTGACTTCTTCCACTTGGGAGGGAGGTCGAGGTTTCCATCCAATGGACCGAACCACCCCCATGGTAGATCCAACTGGTCGACCAAGTCTTTTGGAGACGTTGTCATAATGCACCAAGAATGGACAAGGTCAACCGGCCAAGGTGCCACCTCTGCGGTAAGGAAGGTCTTCATCTGCATGTACCCAGGGATTATGGCATCCTTGGGGAGCGAACAAGAGTCGGTCGGAAGGGGTGAATTGTTGTCCGCAACCTTGAGCGCGCTCTTTTCTTTCTCCGCAGACGACTCAGTCTCCGAGTCCGACGTCCCGAACATCGCTCGCTTCAGCGAGAGTCCGTAAGCCGGGGTGGTCCTCAGGGAAAAAGTAGACGTCTGCGGAAGACGTGAAGAACTTGTACTAGTGGGGCGTCGACCAGAGGAACGAGACTTGGCCAGGGCCGCCCGAAGTGTCTCGCTGTCGTCGCTGAGGTCGTCTTCCGAAGACTCCAGCATAACAGGAGAGCGGCCGCCAGAGACTCCTGACAGCGGTATCGCGGATGTGTCGGGTCTTGGAGACTTGGAAAATTTGGCAGGTACGCGGGGTGACTGCCGCCTGGACCGTTAACCGAGAGCTTTCGCCGGCCTCGAAGGAGGACATACGGCCAGGGGCGAAGCTGCCGAAGGAGGAGCAGGTCCCGGAGGTGACCCATCGGTGAAGTCGGCGTGACCGAGATCTGCTGCAAGAAGAGAGTAACGGTTCCGAATGTTGTCGATCTTCCATCGCAGGCGATCCACCAGTGCCGTCTCGCGCTGAAGGGCTTCGCGGAGTTGAATCACCAGCCGAATATTTCGCATCCACGTTAATTTGCAATTCCTGCAGAGCTACACGCACGTCGACTGGCGCGGAAGGCGGATTGTCAGTCATGGAGACCGAAGTGGCGGAAGTATCGGCCTACTTGGTGGGAGGCAAAGCGGTGGAGACAGGAGGGCTATCAACGGCGACAGTTTCGGTAGAACTTAAAGGTGAAGAGACTGGCCCGAAGAGGTCGCCCAAGGACGCTTCTTCGGATGGAGGGCCAATCGAAGGTGCGGGGATGACCTAGGCCGGTTCTTTAGACGGTGGGTCAGAACTAGGGGGAGACATTGATGAAACGACACAACTTAAAAATGGACGACCAACAAAGGGCAAAGTGAAGGATTCACGTGAAGAAAAAGGTGAAGACATGCGCGTGCTTAAACCGCTGTACGGCTGAGCAAGCGCAGGGTGCGGCTGTGGTGAAGTGCTTGTTTTGAAATATGGAGATCCCAGAATCCAGTTGGATTCGGAGTATAGACCGTGTATCAGGGAAAAGAGACCATAGAGACAGGGGCCTTGAGGGGGAGCGACCGTTGGCGGAAAACAATTTGCAGGACCCACAGAAGAAAAATCAGTATCAGGGTACTGGTTAACTGGTACCGAAGGGAGTTGACCATGGCCCTTCATCAGTCGACCTCAGCCCCTCGTCGGTAGGCCTGGGTCCCCCATTGGTCGACCCGGTCTCTTGTTGGTAGACCTGGGTCCCTCATCGGCCGACCTGGATCCCTCGTCGGTCGACCTCGGCCCCTCGGTGTTCAGCCACTCCTGACCAGTTAACACATGGATCAGACCAGTCGACGCAAGGAATCAGAGCTTCAGGCAAGGATAGATTAAAGAGTTTAAAGGATAGGACTATATTAAATACTACTCAATTTGCGATCTACGTGGCACGACTCCGTCACCCAATAGAACTTGCTTTAAGCTACTCACTGTTCCAGAAAGGGATATATTTTGGCCCCCCGTCGAAGACAGTTGTGTAGCGAAGTTCAAGTGCGAACAGAGCTCCAGGATATATTTGGCCTGTGAGCTCGTTCGAGTAGCAACCTCCCCCCCAAGACCCGCTATCGGAAGCGGCCTCCCTTACCTCACGTTCCGGGAGCAAAGTGGTTGATACCCCTGAAACAAGAAGGAAAAGGCCAGAAATAAGCTCCCTGAAGAATTTGGCTCTAAGCCCACTCTCGACAAGGTCGATCGAGTGGCCACCTACCGGACCACCGAGTAAAGCATATCCACTTGAGGCCTCCCAGGTCTACCTCCCTCAAGGCAGCCGTCTACATCCTCACCAAGTCTTCCGAGGAGTGCAACCCGCCAGTCGACGGGTACAAAAGGTGAGAAGAAGGTCCATACGCGGCATTGGGGTACCCCCTCCGACTGTCGGCAGTCCGGCACAGTGAGTGGTTTGGGGTCTCATCATACAATTTTGAAAACCCACTCCACCACACAGGCATCTGCTGCCACGATTATGACGGCCACAGATACAAAGCTCAAATGAGTCGTAGCGGCTCATGTCACCGTTGCCATTATCCCTTGCTGACTTACTTGAACCACTCGGCTTGGCAAGCTTTTTTGCAATTTTTATACCATTGTGCGAAGAAAATCGAATGGTGCGTGACCCATACGCGCGTGCAGATCAATGGCTCGAACGTTAATTGACGTATTTGCCGATCGTTGCGGTTACGCTTCCGACACACAATAACAGCACTCTGTAACGTCCATCGACGAGATCTGCCGCTGCCATCATTTTTGTCGAGGTTTTGCGCGCCACATGCATAAATAACGTCTACCACGACTTAAAATTTGCTAGTCTTTATACTCTGCGGCACTGATAGCAAATCCTTGCTCATGATTGGTATGAATAGCGCGTCCTTGATTTCAATCTCCTTAACTACGTCTTCATTCTTCATCGTTATAGTATTCCTTCATCCCGTTCATTGAAAATTGTTATTCTGTTCTTTTCATTGCAGATGTGTTGCGTTTCTAAACTGACGGACGACCTCATCCCCGGCACGATTTTTCCCGTTAAAAAGTTCATACTCAAGCGAAACTGCAACGACGAATTTGTCATGCTGCTTGCAGCCATCCTCGCTGCACCAGTGGACATTGTTTTGTGGTGGAGCGGGGCTCACAAATTTCTGATGTGATCCCGACTTTCCAATGGCCCACGGACAACCGACTATCGGAGGTAGTACTCCGTTTCCGTGTAAAGCAATTTCTTCCTCACCTTGTGTACCCGTCGGTAGGGCGGGTAGTACTCTTTTTGCTGGTTATGAGTCGATGCTGAACTTAACCGTGGTTGAATTGGTGGAGGTAGGGCATTGCTTTTCCTAATGAGTAAGTGGCGATTCTTTCAGTTTAATTGTCTTAATTCTTCTCGATCCTCGGTCAATGGTGTTCCAGGGTTACCAACTGTAGACGTTACAACTTTTGGCGACACCGCCATATGCTGGTCAACATCTTCGGCGAACAGGTCACCACTTGGTTTTTACGGAAACATCTCTGCCAGATCTAAACGAATACTAGCCGGGACCACAAAATTTATACCCAAAATCGCTTCTTGACCAACTTGATCACCCACCTAAGGCATCACAAATGATACACACGTGATCCATCCAGTGTGATTTGAATCTTGGTGTGTCCTTCGGCCATGTACGTTTTCTCACCGATTCCACACATTTGTTGCCTATGGCTTTTGTCAATGATACATCCTACCTTACAAGCAAAGGTGGTGTCGACGATCATAACTTCAGCTTCAGAACTAAATAGCATAATAGACTTCTCATTGTTCATTCGACCTACTGTATTAGCTTACTTGAAACATTTTTCGGGGTGTGATATTTTCAGTATCCCCTTGATTTGTCTGGCGTGAGGTCGAGCTTCATCTTAGCAGGCAATCGGGCAAATTCATCATTTTTCACTTACATGAAATTGAAAAACAAATAATTTGAAATTTCCATGTATTTGTGGTGGAGTTGTGTCTTCAAATTGTATGATAAGACATTAATCCACTCACTGTGCCGGACTGTCGACTGTTGAAGGAGGTACCCCGATGCCGCGTATGGACCTTCTCTCGCCCATCGGCTACTCTTCGAAAGACATGGGTGAAGCTGTAGATGTATGCCTCAAAAGAGGTAGACCTAGGAAACCTCAAGTGGATATGCTTCACTCGGTGGTCCAGTAGGTGGCCACTCGATCGACCTAGTCGAGAATGGACTTATAACCAAATTCTTCTCAGGGAGCTTGTCGTCCCCGGCCTTTTCCTTGTTGTTGCAGGGGCATTAACCACCTGACCTTTTTCTTTGCTCCCGGAACGTGAAGTGAGGGAGACCGCTTCCAATAGCGGGTGTTTGGGGGTTCTACTCAGGATTGTGGACCCGTCACACTAAAAATGTGACCATCGATTCTACTTTGTCATGCTATACGTATAGTATACACTGTGGTATTGTTGTACATTTTTTTTGAAAAAAGACCTTTCTACAAAACCTGTCGTAAATAAAAAATCTATTATTACAAGGTACAAGCAGTATACATCGTTTCGGTTATACTGTACGATCATTCGCATGATGCCAAGCGAGTATAGCAAAAGCGCCAGCATACGGGAATTTTACGATGGTATTTTCCACTCACCCATCTACTTAAAGCACCATCGCGTGTGTTGCAACGTAGGCTTTTCTCCTCGAAGTGAGATGCACATCAACTCAAGTATGACAACCATAGCCAGTGAAGACGTGTCTATTCTCAAGTTTAAGGCTTATTATTCAGCTGATACGTATCAGCTACAGCTGTACGACAACTTACTGGATGTTGATGCACAGCACGAGGCGCGACATGACAAGACATTTCGAATTCTGGACTTGGGCTGTGGTTCTGGTGGTGGTTTGTGTGAATTACAATTGCTGTACCCCAAGGCAGAAGTTATTGGAGTCGATATCTCCCTTCAGGCTCTAGAACGCAGCAAAGAGGTGTGGAAACACTTCACAGCGATGTGCCGAGAGTTTCAGAAGAAAAAGTTACAGCTGTATCATCATTCGTGCGAGAGGATGAAGGGACTAGTGACTCATTCAGTGGATGTTGCTGTCAGTGTGCAGAGCTTACAGGAGGTGCAGAATCTTGGCAAAGCTGTGAACGAGATTGCACGTGTACTGAAGCCTCGAGGACTGTTGTTCATCGCGGACTTCATTCCGTATGATGCTGCGGCAGATCACGTGGATCGTTCGCTGTTATCACCCATTTCGTCGGCTCAGGATAAAGCTCCAGCTTTTGAAATTGTGCAGGAACAAATGGTCTCGTTCGAGGCAGCGATGGGCGCAAAGCTCAGCTCTAGTAGCACACGAGAACTGATCCATAAGTTTATACCTCCGGAGCTCCACTCGGAACTAGAGACCTTTTACTTCGTTGAAAACACGCCGCTGTATGAACTGCTGCGTCGTGACCAGATGGGCTACCGTCTGTTGTGTCTACGTAAGACAGATAAGTGTAGCTCGGACGAAGAGGAGGATGTTGGACACGTGACCGACTGGGTCGGCAATGACGTTGGCGACGGCGTTGGCTATTCTTCGGATGAAGAGATTCAGGATGATGATGTCCCTAATTACTATTCGTACCAGGAGCTCTTTCCTCAGCTGGATATTTTAAAAGACAATTACAACGTAATTTTAGAGGAGATGCAGGCCGTGCAAGAAATCGCAACGTGGCCATTCTGGCCGGAAAAGCACTACACGGAAGGCAGTAGCGAGTGGCGTGTGTTTCCGTTTTGCTATACATTCCCGGCTAGCGACGCGTCCAAGACAGCTTGGGTATCTTCAACATGCTCGATGTGCCCTCGTACGGCAGAGTTACTTAATAATCTGCCTGGCATTCGCACAGCGCTATTCTCAAAACTTGGCCCCAACACGACGCTTAGCGCACATCGAGGTTGGGCGGACCTAGCAAATCACGTTCTGCGCGTTCATTTCCCGCTTATTGTACCGACGCTGTCGAATGGTGAATCGTGCTGCGCCATGGTGGTGGGCGGAGAGACTACCTATCATGCTGAGCGTGAATTCATCGTGTTCGACGACAGCAAACTGCACTATGCGTTCAACCAGCACCCTGATGCGACACGACTTGTACTTATCGTCGACTTCTACCGCCCAGATCAGTTGCCGAGAGGCCAAGCTCGTGGCGGCCACTCGGACGAACTGGACGAGTTCATCGAATCCTTCGGAAAGCAGATAGCAGCAAATAAAACTGAGAGCTAGAAGAGGAGTTGATTGAGAAAAGGGGCACCATGCATCATGATAAAGACCGAGGATACTTGCTGCCCGTACAGTGTCTCTCATCATTTTGTCATCCCTGCTTAATCTTAATGTTAAATAAACCTGTCCATTAGTGAGAAACCACCACAACAGCAAGACACGTCAGATATGTACAAGATTCTCATCAACTGAATCAGCACAAACGTACACCCAGGAAGCGCACGGACGTCTGGGACGTCCCCATTGACAATGGCCGTGAGCCCGAGATTGGCAAGTGCACCTCGGATCAATCCACAAGGAAATACAAGAAACAGTAGAGCCATCTCTTTTGTCTCTTGTTCCGTAGCAGCAGATATACCAGCAAGCCAACGAAAGCTAAAGTCTTGTACCACAAACACGCCTCGATGATTCGTCTGTAGCTTGTCGATCTGTTTTTTGAAAATAGTGATCCAAAACTCCTTGCACACAAACTTGATCAAGTCCAATGGTTCCAGCATACGTGGCCTGTCTCTAGCTGCTCTCTCTGCAAAGCGATAGCCCACATTATAGCCCATAGCTTCAAGCTTAACGATAACAGCCTCACGATGGGCCGCCATTTCTTCTAGTGTTGGGATTGTTCCGTTTGTGTCTTCTTTCGAGCCTTTTACCTGCCATGAATAGCGTTCTAGCTACACACACGTAAGCAATACTTCCCTTTAGGATATAATCATAGAACATCATTGAAGTACGCACCATGGAGCGCACAATTTCGCCGTAAAGCTGCTGGAAGCAGCCGTCTGCGACCTCCTTCATCGTAATCTATCGTAAAATTCACTTCTGAAACATTACATTTTCTAATTTTCTAACAATCATATGTCACTAAAGTGAAACACTAGCATGATCAAATGTCATTTTTGAGATCGCCATCATGAGCGCCAAGAGTCCTGAAGTAGTGGACAGTATGATTAGTGACAGTCTCTTAGGCATTTTTATTATCCTTCTTGCTGTCCTACTTAGTACGGGATACATGTACATGCAGCAGCTTCGACAGGGGGATAGACAGCGTGGCAATCCGCACAATAACGTGGCAAGAATGATGCCGTCCATAGCCGCAGCACTTGCGTCAATTCCTGGACGTACTGTCTGTACTACTGACCTTAATGACCGACAACTTCGTCTTCACTATACACTGCCAATGCGCAATGGATCACGTATAGTCACAATTAGTGGTGAAGTGTTGCTTAAGACGGATAATATGGAAGCTCTGAGCTGGATCAACGAAGAGGTACCGGCGCTACTTGCGGATCTGTCGCAGATTGCGGATGTATACTTGATGTATACAATAGTATACGCCACGGATAGTAAACGTATGGAACGTATCCGTGAGTTTATAAGTACGCATCCAGACTTGAAAAGCAATGACACGAAGTCTGGAGGTATTAAGAAGCACAAGATTCTCTTCTGTACCACGTCAATTGGCAAAATTGCGTTTGTACGACAGATTGAACCTCATGTTCATGTGGACGGTGGGATGATGTTTTTGTGCAGCTTCGATGTGTGTAGTAAGTTGAGATAGACTGATGTGTTGGGTGGTTTGTTTGTTGTCTCTGTTTAGTTGACGCTGGTGTCGTTCGTGACCTGGAGAAACATGTACCACGTATCGTGCACATTCCAGCTTTACCTGAGGATGTAGTATTTCCCTCGATCCCAAACGTGATCCACGTGGGTGACAGCTTTTCGGGATACTTCTCGCTCATCAGCTCAAAAGAACGTCTTTAACGGCAAATAATGGTGGTCTTATCAAGAGGTTGAAAGAAGCGATACTCGATTTTATTTTGTGTGTAGATGTTGCAATCTAGGACTGTTCTAGCGTTTGTTGAGCACAAGAATTTTCACGGAGCACCGATCCCAAAAAATCTTAGGATCACCGATTTTATGAGATTAAAAATCTAAATTGACCCCGCTAGTGTCTGAAGTAACCAGAAATAGTCGAGTGTGTGTGTGCACCCGTGAGTCGTTCAGTTTCAGGTAACAAAATGGCTGATTGGAACTCGTCATTTGCATTTCGACAGCTCTGAAAGTTGTAATAACACTTTGATGAGAGCATCGACACGGATCTCTGGCAATACCATTTATAACTATATCGCGCGGTGGCTTACCGCTAACAAATACGTTTTGCTTTTTGCATTAGCGCACAACGGCTAGCTCTGTTGCTCTCACCTTTGCAAGGCCGGAAAATTTGCAAGTTTTGCTGGCTCGGGCTTTCAATGAATTGTAATTTACCCTGGAACACGAGCTGAGGAGCCACAATGTCGTGCAACTAGCGCTCACTGTGTAAGTTTTGACAGCAAACATGCTTGCTGCTTCAATGTTACTTGAAGCACATAATTCATTACAGCATCGAAAGATCACGGTGCTGATGCAAAGTCTTTCGACTTATCCAAGTTCCAGGCATGCAGAGTTTTGGCAAGTACAGACTGCGATGACACTTTGCCGAGGACTGACAATTTGAATGTAAAGACAATCATGAAGATGATACACAATAATTTACTGTAAGGCTGTTGCCATGGCAACGTGGTTAGTAGTAAAAGTGGGCCCGTGAAACACCAATTGCGCAGACTTCGACATCGCTATCTGTTGCCATAGCACCACAACATTTATGGTAAACTTACCTGCAGTATAAAAAATTGGTAGCGCTTGAAGTGAACCAAGACACAGCGTAAGCTCCTAGTCTCAATAGCTCAACCAAAAGAACTCTACACCTGTATTGATCACTGTGATGTCACTTAATTCTCAAAGTTATTCAGAGCTAAACCTAGTGTCGACATACTACAAACTACAAGTTATCGACTAACTCTTGCCAAAACTTCATGAAGGCGATGTAACAGTTGAAGCACAAGTAATTGAGTTTCCAGCGACATTTTGTCGTTCTGTAACTAGAATTGCTGACTATCAACATCTCGTCATATATTGCACTGGTTCCTTTACTTTGTAGACTAAATACTGGTAAATCAACAATTGAATGTATCAAAAAAAATAAACCTACACGACACCCAAAGATGGCTACAGAGCTCGCCTGATTTGTCGGTTCGGATGTTTTATTCTACCAATCGCAGCATTTCCATTGTTTTGGTCTACCGCCTCCTCTCTACATTATCACCAAGGAAAAAACCTTTGCATTTTGTCATTACTATGGATGACGTGTCTCTGAAGCAACAACAAACGGACGATAAGGAACTGGACAAGCTTATTTTTGACGGTGAGAAGAAGGAAAAGGAAGATGAGGTTGTAGTTACTCAAGCGAATCAGCCACAGACGCAGACTGAAATACACGACAGCGATTCAGACAATAGTGACTCGGACAATAGCAATGAAAAGAAGGCGACGGCTTCAGTCAAGTCTATCGATCGTTCGTCGTTGAACAATGTCTTGCCTGTGGAAAAGCTCAAAAATGGCGCGAATACGGCCTCCAAGTGCGTACACTAGCGGGGTCTCTGTGTCTCTATAAGCGCTGATAGTGTCATGTGTCTTTTGTTGCAAAATTGTTGGTGTTCAGGGTCTTCAATCAGACCTTTTCCATGTTTAAAGAAAAGTCAGGTGCAGCACTGGAAGCAGCCAAGGCTTCGAATGCTGGCAAAACTATTGCAGGTGGACTGAACACTGCTGCCACGGCCAGTCAAGAGCAATACGGCAAGCTCAAGGGGACGGATGCCTACAAGAAATCATCTACTCTAGCAAGCGGTGCCTATGAGCGGACGTCTCTTGTTGCTTCGGGTGCACTGGAGAAGGTCTATCTACCCTAGTGTGGTTGATATTGCATTTAAAGGAGTGACTAAAAGCGCACGTTGGTTTTATTGGTTAGGCACGCGCGGCGTCATCTACTGGACTTGAGATGGCAAAAAGCACGGCTGCTGCTAGCATGGAGACGATCAAGTCGAAAACAGGTGGCAAGAAGGGCGGTGACGAATAAAGGGCGACACCCAATCGGTTGTTTCTATGGAGATTATTCAGACAGACTGCACGATCGACAATACTGAAGCCAGTTTTTTTGTGTAAGAACAGCCGGATATCGACTGGCTCATTGGGTCTCTATCTCTTTCTGTTTTTGGGTCTTCTTCTACTTTCTCGTCATAAACTCCAATGCTACCATCAAAACGATACATCGCCCCATTCATTTTAGTGCACTCCGAATTGCATAATATAACGACAACGAAACGAACATTACTATTTTTGGTTTTGATATTTATTTGTCCAGATCCTTTTACTATTTCTCACGAAATCCATTCTCAAAATAGTAATCATCATGAGTAAACGTACAATAGTAGAATGGTCACCCCATGATACGTCGTTATTTGCCGTAGGAGCAGATAATCTCCGATTATTTGAAGTGACAACATCTCGTCATGATTACGCTGACTCGACAACTGAACGTGTAATCCCCACGACACAGCGCAAACGTGCTTTTCGTGTCGTGCGTATCACTGCAAAAGTCTCACAAGTCAAATGTTTACAATGGTATCCATATGAATCAAAATCATTATTAATTGCTACAGGGACAGGGTCTGGAAAAGTACTATTAAATGATTTTGATGATCCACGGACGCGTGTTGTGCGTGAATTTCTACCCAAATACAGTCGACCGTGTCATGCTGTGGCTTGGAATCCATCGGTACCGAATCAATTGGCTGCAGGTTTTGAAAAAGTACGAAGTGATTTTTGCACGTTAGTATGGGACCTCAATGCTTCAAATGCAGTGACTGGGATGACCAGTAGCAGTAGTACTGGAGGAGATGTGGAAGGTCTTGGAGACCAAGATGGAGGCTTGGAACGATCTAGTAACACCAGGAAAGGAAGCAATAATGGACCAAGTAATACCAGTATTGGTGTTGGAGCTGGATCCAATGCATTTGGAGCTGCAGACTCGAAACCAGTTTATGAATTGGCTAATTCAGAAGCAACGATGGCACTCTCATGGGTGCCACTTCAGCCAACGTGTTTAGCTACAGGAACAGGCTTCAAGTGGCTGCGTGTGTACGATTTGCGCACGAAAGGGTCGTCTCCGATGAGTGTGGTGGCACACAATAAGGCGGTGCTGGGTGTGGTGTTTGACCAGCATCGACCGCATATGCTCGCTACGTATAGTGATGCACCACAGGAACCAGTAAAAGTGTGGGATATTCGTCAACTGGAATCGTCATCAGGACCAATGCTTTCGCTGTACCAGACGAGCAAGAATCTCGTTCAAGTGTCGTGGTGCCCATCTAAGCCAGGTATTTTAGTGACGGCGTCCACTGATGAGAAGTGGGTGTCGTTGTGGGATGTCACAAAGCAGGAGAGCGGATCTTCGACGATCAAAAAGCCGTTCCGTAGACGCTACACCTCGGAACCCCTGACGTCTTTTTCTTGGCAGCATGTGGATTCTTCATCGCGAGTACAACGCGCTACACATGTGGGCAGGAGTAGCAATGTTCAGAAGGACCAACTCACGGCGGCAGCTTTCCCGAATCGACTAATGACTGCATCAGTTACAGGTGAGCTGGTAGACATTTCAGTGCATGATGTCATGCCACTCTCGCTGTCTTCGCATGGAGCAGTGACATTTGGATGTGGCAGACTACTGTTTGGCGGATCTGTCATCGGGTCTGGATTGGGGACTTCAGCTATGAGTCGACTGACACTGGAGGACGAAATTAATTTTGGCTCCCGTGTCGAAGAGGACATTTCTGATGGAATGTACAAGCTTGCTAAGCGAGGCTATTCCATTGGACTATCGAAGAATCTAAAGTTATTCAATGAAGCTACACCACGTAGCAGACAGTTGCGCAATTTGTGGTTGTGGGTCGACCAAGTGGAGGCTCTACGCCAAATCCGAGCTTCACGAGTAGAGCAGTCATGCTCTACAAGTAATGGTCTCGGGAATAATGCGGTCAATGCTGCAATGGCTGGTCCGCTGCGTGGGTGGCCTGTTGATCCAAATGCGCTCGTAACCGCTGGTGTAAAGAACTTGTTGACAGCCTCTGGGGATCTCGCGGCGATTACAAGACCCGGTTCTTCTGATCCTACTTCCACTACCCTTGAGGATGCCAGAGAAGAAGAACCTGCTGTTGCTGTTGTATCTGTGATGAAGACGGACTCGATTCTTGGTTGCCAGTACTTTGAAGGACCCGGACGTCGATTGGGTTTATTAGCATGCAACTGGGATCCTGACAACGGTCAGGGAGGGTCTCGCGCATCATCAGCAAGTGTGGGTGGACCAGGCCTTGACAACGCTGCAGGTAGAAATATTCATCGAAGTAGCTCAAGTATTTGGAATCCTCAGAAGCAGTACGATGAAAATGCCCAGCTTGCCAATCGTTCGTGCAATGAAAATGGTCGACATAACTTACAAGACATTCTGAAAGAATGCGAGTTGGATGGCAATTACGCACGAGCGGCGGCGCTGGCAGTATTCCACGGAGACTTGAACGCAGCTGTGGCGCTACTTCAGAAAGGAGCTACGTGGTTGACGCAGACGCAGCACTTGAACGTTGGTTCCCCATCACCCTATTCGCCTGACCTGCTACAACTTATTGCGATGTCTCTTGCAGGCTATTCGTCATCCGTTACCAGTGCGGGCGGGGTGTCTCTGTGGTCAACTATGACACAGCAATTGTTAAAGCGGAGTGAGGTCATGTCGCAGGCTAACCCTCGGTATTTTCACGCGATGCTTTCGTTCTTGTGCGTCGCAAGTTTGTCTTCTGCGTCCACGTCAACAAATATAAACGCCATGCGGGCTAACCAGCAACCTCCACGGCGCACAAATAGTCGAAGACAGTGGGGAAGCGTAGAGGGACTATTTGGTGGAGCTAGGCCTGCAAGTGCTGGTGCATACTCGGCGATTCTCAACGATATCACATTGCCTTTAAGCGACCGACTAGCGTTTGCATGTCGATATCTCCAGGCTGACGATTTGCTTGCGTTTGTCGCTCAGCATGAAGAAGAAAGCCAACAGTTTGGTCGTTTGGAAGGATTGATTGTGACTGGAATAAATGCTGATGGAATCAAGCTTCTTCAGACATATGTGGACATGACAGGAGACATCCAGACGCTGGCATTACTAGCTGCACGCCTTCCCTCTTCGTACGTGGCAAAATGGTCTACCCTGGAAAAGTGGATTCAAATTTACACGGATTTGCTGAATCAGTGGCAGCTGTTCCACGAGCGAGCGCGATTCGATGTTGGTCGCTCGCAGCTTGAGGACCTCCTGAATGGCTTTGCTAGTTTCTTGCGTGACTGTGATGCAGGCGAACATCAAGCCGAACTTTTAGGACCGTCAACGCTCGCGGTTCCACCACAGTTATTCGTACGATGCAATTTCTGCAATGTATCGCTATCGTTGGCTAGTTTGCTGCGACTTGGTGGTTCGCACTCGTCGTGGTTAAATCGTGCCAAGCCTAAACTTACATGCTGTCCGTCATGCCGAAAACCACTACCACAGTGTGCGCTATGCTTACTCCCATTCGGATCACTAAATCCGTACTTCGAATTGGCACACCGCCGCTCAAGACAAGCATCTGATGCAGTAAACACGCTAGTGACCAGCGTAGCAGCCGATCATGGAGGTGTGCTGAAAGAACCCAAAACAGGCAAAAACGAGTACGAGAACTTAGGCCAGCTCTCCAGCATTCCGTTTGTGGAGTGGTTCACCTGGTGTCAATCGTGCAAGCACGGTGGTCATGCCCACCACCTTGCAGACTGGTTTAAAACGCATACAGTGTGTCCTGTTACAGACTGCAACTGTCAGTGCCAGCACTTGGACTTGCCGATTGTGAGCGACAACAATCAAAAGACGCTTATTGAGCAACAGCGAGCAAGCGCTGCGGCTTTGGCTACTCAACGTGCAGCTTCGAAGGAAAAAATAAAGCAGCAACACCAGCACCCCATTAAAATCACAGGACGCCAAAGCATTGATGCGTGCTGGAAAGAAGCAGCAACAACTGGGATCACAAAGCTCGCAGCACAGTTTCTCGGTATCTTCCACCGCTGGGACGGGCTCGACGTATCGCTCATACTCTTCGGCTCAATTGAGACCTAGCGGTTCTAGTAGTGGATATCCACCACCCCTTTCACTATCGGGAAGCAACTCAATGGCAAACCTCTCCAGTGGGGTCAACGCCATTGTTCCTGGCAAAAATGTTAATAGCGGATCGATAAGCGACGGGATGTCTCTCGGCAATAAACTTGATCAGTTGGAGAAGGACAAGAGCAGCTATCAGTTCATGTGAAAGCATTGATATCACGAGTAGATACGACGTTGGTCGATCATTGAATTGGATGTGGTAAACGTGTAGCAGATACCTGTATAGCTGAGTCTTTCAGCTGTATAGGTAACGAGTTGGACACACCGGAGCGCGAAGCTCAGCGGCTGTCATTGTCCATGATCTCAGTCGCTTGGTGGCTTTGTCGCGGTGCCGTTACTCCTCGTTAAAGCCGAACATGAATTCAGTCTTGAAAGGCAGCTCTGTTTGTGATACCCCAGTATAACGCTGCATGTTCTTGCTACGAGCGATACCAACGTCGCAAATGCTTTGAAACTGCGTTCGCCATAAGACGATCGGGCTGATGATACTACTGACTTTGTACACTGAGTACGTGACTTCGTCGTTTGTTTGGAAAGGCCGTTCATTACATCATTCAAGTGATCCTGGCGCATGATACGATCGCCCAACTTCGAGCTGTAATCACAAAACTGGTACATACCGAAGCTGTTTGAGACGCTTTATCTTCAACAGACATGGCTCCTGACGACACATTACTTCGGTTTAATACTATAGAATAATAGGATACAGGGTGGATGATAGATTGGCTCAAATGTACCTACTAGCGGACGAAGGACCTAAAGAATTCAGGCATGATTTGGGGAGTCGCTAGATTGTTGTCCTCCTCCTTAAAGCCCAGAATCCGAACGAGAAGATACTTGATACATTCGCAAACCAGAAACGCTACTTGCGGATAAGTATATAACTAAAGTTGTTCTTGTCAATGACTTAATGTCCTTGTGAATAGTACGCTTATCTAGTAAATTAACTTTCGAGCAAGCAATTAAAATTTGGTGATTTCATTGTCGAGACGACGTTGGCCTCACCAACGTAGACAGCGCATTACCAATGGCGAAAATTGTAGCTGCCATGACAAACGAGCTACATTTGGCACATTGATACCTGTTTTTAGCAAGACCGACACTTTCGCTATGAATAGCTTAAGCTTACCATGTCTTATTAGTGCCAAGCTGCAAGCAGATATAACGTAAATGTCAATTCGACGAGAGTACAATCTATTCACCTACTTCGGCGCAAAATAACGTACAGACGTATGTAAGAATTTGATAAGAGTAACGAATGAAGCATCTGCTGCTACAGTGCAGCCACCGTTTTTGGCCCTGATTGACGCAGAGATGGCATTCAACTTCGCCGTGTCGTGGGCAAAAAGGCAGTTTTAATGCATCACGTTAGCTTGACAAATCTTTAATCAGCCGTAAACAAAGCGTCCTGGCAATGATACAGCACGTATCACGAGTGTGGCATGAAGTAAGATCGACTTTTACGTCATGTTTTCCGAGCTTTACTACGTCTCCATCAGCTAAATTAAGGCTGAGCTTCCACAGCATTTTCTGGTCCACCAAGGACCGGAATTTGACGGTTTTCACGCTCTTTATGACTATATGAATCATAAATGCATACACTACTTTAATACGGTCAGTACATGTAATCATTCCTGAATAGTACTGGTCATCTACTTCGTTTGCTCATGTCATCGCCGATTTATGGAAGGTGTACCGAGGTTTTGATATATAACGTCATTACAGGGACCAAATCGCGCAGATCAACGAGTAACGACGACGATGTGACGACAGAGGCGTATAAGCGTAGCGTTGCTCGACCTCTTTTTACGCACGTCGATCTTGCATGCTGTGTTGATACAATAGTATTGTACAAGGAGGGAGAGGTGAACAGTTTTCCCAATTCGCGCCTTCGAACAACAACGGCCAAGAGACGAAGACCTCCAATGAGCCGGTCAACCGGTCCCCTCTGACCTGGGCGAGAAGTCTCTCCAACGGGAGGCCCAGAATCCAGAGAGACAAGGTTTTCCCTCTGCTGCGTGCGCTATGGGGATGGCAAGCGCAGCGTGTGAACCGTAAGGGGAGCACCAACCCTGTCTGGAGAGGAACGATGACCGCCGTTATCGTTCTCTCCTTCCCCGATAATGCCTGCTATTCTACGTCAGCTTTCAAGCCTCCGACTTAATCGCCGAGCGCGAATCTCGGTCTTACGAAGCGAACTTGCCAAGAACGTGAATTGATATCAATCCTTAATGTTTGAAATAGACGGTCTGTTACTCTATACAAATGAAACGTGTCTCTACTGGTAATAAAGAAGCCAGAAGCCAGCCCTTGTCTACTCAGAGAAAGTGCAGTGAAGCCTTATGTCTTCTGTGGTGCCCATTTTTTGAAGTGTGAGGGTTTTATGAATTTGGCAGCATCAGATGGGCACTAGAGAGAGAAGAACAGACCGTCTATTTCAAACATTAAGGATTGGCAAGATGTCTGGAGTGCTTCTACCAGGACTTCGTCATTCTTCGCCTCGCTGGCTCAATCTGCTGGCTCGAGACGTCGGGCGTCACGGGGGACACTCCGAAAAGGGCACGTGGAATCGGGTATCCAGCCCGAGGTGTAAACAGTGGCTCAATGATCGCAACAAGCGCCGGGCACCACACCGATCAGTCCCGATCGACCGCTGATGCACCTGGACGGGGCCGATCAATTCACGTTCTTGGCAAGTTCACTTCGTGGGACCGAGATTCGCGCTCAGCGATCGAATCGGCGTCTTGAAGGCTGACGTAGAATAGCAGGAACTATTGGGGAAAGAGGGAATGATAACCGCGGTCGTCGATCCTCTCCCCCCGGGGGTAACAGGGTTGGTGCTCCCCTTACGGTTCGCACGCTGCGCTTGCCCCCCATAGCGCACGCAGCAGAGGGAAAACCTCCCCCCTCTTATCCTGGGCCTCCCGTTGGAGGGACTTCCCGCCCTGGTCGGAGGGGGCCGGTTGACCGGCTCTTTGAAGGTCTTCGTCTCTTGGCCGTTGTTGCTCGAAGGCGCGAATTGGGAAGTGACAGATGGGCACTAGTTCCTATCCTTCTTACTTCCTTAGCAAATTTTGGAAGAAAAACAAAGACCCGCTCATTTTGCAATTGCTTCTGCATTAAGTAATCAACCATGCGAGTGCGACTCGTTCTATCACTCCTTGCAGTAGCCGCGATTGGGTGTGCTGTCAAAGCAAAGACAACAACTCCCGTTGTTAGGAGTCATATTGATTCCTCTGACGTGTCAGAGGATAATAACGACGGTGACAGGATGATAAGCCTCGATTCATTGATTACCAAGGCCAAGGATATTTTGACCACGAACCCCTTCAAAGGGTTAACCAGAGCCACTAAGCAACCAAATCTCGTTGACGATCAGCTGGTGAAAGCCGTTGAGCAACCAAAACCCGTTGACGATCAGCTGGAGATAAGCCGATGAGATTGTTGACGGTCAGCTGGAGAAAGACAATGAGATCATTGACGATCAGCTGGAGAAAGTCTACGAGCGACTACAACTCAGAGGTTCTGACGACGAACTTTTCGAAAGGCTGAATGGTCTCTTGTGGCTCGAAGAAGCAGACGAACTTGCTGCGAAGTATCATCGATCTACTTACGCGTTAGTGATCGATTCATTGACGAAACGCTTGGGCGACAAACGTGTTGCAGAACTCATTCAAACCGCGAGGAAGGTCTCCAAGACCAAAGCCATCGCTATCAAATTGAAAAATGCACAAATGAGGTATTGGCTTAAGAGTGGGACCTCTGCTACCGAAGTTTTCGGGCGGCTAGGCATGGAAAGCGCCATGTATAGCCTGCTTACTCATCCATTATTCAATTACTGGTGTACGTACGCGGAAAGGTATAAACTCTTGGACCCGAACTCAAGTGCTCTTAAATCTTTGACGACCTTCTTCGGCGAGAAAGGGGTATCAGAACTATTGCAATTTGCGCCGCAGGACACAAGCTCCGAAGAACTTGCCAAAATACTGCAGACCGAGCAAATCACGGCTTGGGCGAAGAATGGTCAGTCATTGGAAGATGTGTTTAACCTTCTCGGTCTTAACCGTGCGGGCTCCAAGATATTGGAAGACCCTTTGCTGAACGTGTTTACCGGGTTCACGAGCGCTTTCAACGCAGAACATAAATTTGATCTGAAGAGCAGTGGGGCTACAAAAAAACACGGTGTTCTCGAAGCGGTCAATTACGCACCGGGTACGTCGTTGCATCCTACAGAACGGGAGAAGGCTCTTTTCCAGCTATGGTTTGTCAAAAATGAAAAGCCCGAAGATGTCTTTAGGAATTATCTCGCCAAGGCGGGAGACAACCTTCTTACAAGTCCACTCTTCACGACTTTCCTGAAGTACACGGACACTTACAGCTTAAACAAGCGAAAAGATGTCAGCGTGTACAAGATCATACGTGACGATTACAAAGCTGGAGGCGCCGTATTAGTCAACCAGATTTTGTCCTTGAAGGAGGTCCCGAATACGCCCGCGAAGTATGCTGCTGAACGAGTGGAGGCTGATATATATCGTCGCTTGAAGGATCCTCAAAATCCTACTTCGCCGGATGAACTTTTTGAATTTCTAAGACTACACGAGGTGAAGGAGCCTGCGAAGCTGTTTCAAGATCGTATGTTTGAGTACTGGATGGAATGTTTGGATGTGTTCCTCAAACAGCCCAATGCAAAGCATATATCGAGGTCGTACTTGGCGACAGGTTACGATGAGAATGCCCTCTTGTTAACGATTATAGAGGCGGAAATGAATGACAAGACGAAAGAAATAGCTACAAAGTTGAAGACTGAGCTGTTTAAACAATACGCTTTCGCTGAGAAAGCACCGGCTGATGTCCTTGACCTACTGAAACGAAACAATTTACGGACAAGTCAATGGAGTTTTTTTAAAAGCTACGTGAACGACTATCGCAGGGTAACACGAGAGATTGGTTCGTCCACCGCGCCTCGCAGTCATGCCGCTATATATATGAACTAATGACGCATTGCTTCCATTCTTAGTCACGAACAGAACTCCAACACAAATGCGTTTTGCTCCATAATGCACTCTCAGATTCCTTTTCAAATCGCCATGCATTTGTACTTGAAGTCTCCAGATTGACCATCGCCACACCCGTCAACCACAAAGTATGCAATAACCATACAACAACCGGCAAACCGATAACAATCAATAGCCGCACAATATGCCTTCCTCACATTACGAAACAATCCCAACGCAACGACCAGGCACCGATTCTGAACTATAACCCGCATCAACACTCCAAGCAATATGCTCTACATCAGTACGATCACAATCACAATCATGACCCTATACAGCCATCAATACATCATGCCACGCTTTTATGCGTTACAGCAGACCAGGACCGTCACCACGATAAACTCCAGTACAAACACAAACTCCAAGCTCGGTATCCACTGCAAACTCGGCATTTTCCTCAAACGCTTCATGCATCCCAAACATAACGAGACGTTGCCACTAAACTGACGATGACGAAAACACATTACACCAGCCGAGCGACCTCATTTGCTGCATTGTCTCCGTCTGAAAAAACAAGGTCCCGTGCAGATCGAGTCAATGCAACTTCATCTGATGTAAGCGCTCTATAAATAGAACCGCAAACGCTACCAATATTTTTCTTCTTGCCAGCGCTAAACAGTGGACTTACACTCTCACGAAGTGAAGTAGTTCAGCATTCTCCGTACATCGGATTCCATACCTTCTTCATAATCGTGTCACAAAACCGTCGTTAATGCTGCTGCTAGCATCGTCATCACCCGCTACAAGTGACGCTGGCATCCATGGAGTCGGAGCAGCTCGCTGATACTTCAGCGGCGGCAGAAACGATGTCTACTTGTGACTATTCGAACTCGACCACGTTGACGCCCCGTCAACGACACCAGAACAGCAACAGCAGCAGCAACAACAAAGACGATGAAATGTAATGCAATGCTGCTGTATTTACATTGAAGCAGCCCCAGCCGGTCAACATGCCGGCCCATAGATAAGATACATACGAGATAGATAGAGCGACCAGCACCGATCGAGGACACACAGTCTCGATGAGACGACGCCATATCTTGACACGGAGCATAGTTTCAAGTCCAGACGTCGTACTAAAGGTGAAAGACGACAACTAGTTCGACACCTGGCTGCGATCATGACATGGCGTCAGGGTCGTCAAGACAGGTCTCCGAGCCGTAGATCGATGAAACCAACACGCTCAAACGACTGCGAAGACGGTTGTTGCGCTCCCGAAGATCATGTACAGTCTACCAAGAATCAGATAAAGAATAAACGGAGCGTTAAAAAGACAAAGTTTCTCCCACAAAAGACGACTACATCAATTCCTCGTACCTGCTGACTTTTTTCAAGCACCAGTTTTTTGCGAAGTCGAGCTCTTCGTGCGTGCAAACGGTTGCGTTCACGTCGCATACGTTCACGCTCTTCCTTGGAGTAACCAAGCATTTTACTGCCAGTATCAGTGGACAACAATGGTCTCTTCCCATTGGAATTGATCTGCTCGTCGGGACACGTACAGACATCGGCATTGTCCTTCATTTCAGCACAAACTTTCTCCTGTTCGTGTGTCTCATCGTCACAATCACTTTCGTGTAAACAACACGTCGTCTTCAAACTCTCGTACAACTGTCCATTCTCGTCTCCATCGTCCATAGCATTGTCACCAACTTGCTCCAGCCTCAGCACACAAGGAACATCATGGGCATGTCCCAATCGCAAGAGACAGACAGCTGTCGTATGAAAATCATAGGCCTGTTTTAACAACTGAAACTCGTCCTGAAGTGCCTGAATACGTTCCGTGAGACTTTCTAGTAATTCACGTTTACGAAGACGCGTTCGTTGGGCATGTAATCGATTGCGTTCACGATTGACACGTAATTTCTCTTCTTCACCTGATTGGTCCGTCTCCGTTGAGCCATCGGTGTGGGTAGGGGAATCCAATTGTAGCTGAAGTAGTGGCAATATCGTCTTGCTACTGGCACTATCTTTTTTGACAGGGGAACTGAATGGAGGGAAGCGCGTACTTAATAATTGGACACTTGTGGGTGTACGTAAATTGGCTGTTACTTCCTCTTGTGATTGACGAATGTAACTTGGCAATGGCACACCAAAGTATCTCGCCATGTCTTCTTCATACTGTACACGTTGTTCGTCATTTTCGTAGGACAGCAGCGTCATGTACGACTCGTTACTGGCAAACGGTGGCCTGATTGGCGGGAGCATAATGGGTACATCATATTCTAACGACATTAACCAACTAAGTACGTCTTTTTGTTAAGTTCGTCTTTCTCTGGAGCTGCAAATTCAACTCTGGTCGCTCTGTTTGGTTTAAGCGGGAGCAAGAGTGTATGTCACTACCGTAGCTTGCTGTCTCGTTTATGCAGCCACAGAGTGTGTGCTGTCTCGGTTTTGTGCTATGGAGTTTTGTGACGTTCGGGTCTTTTTTTTTACGAGGTGAGGGACCTTGGTATACAAACACTACAAACACTACATTTTGTATTTCTTGTGTGCAATAAACCTGACTTTAATGTCAATAGGTGATAAAAAAAGATCCTATTGCAAGCTGATTGGCTATTAGACATCTCACATAACGTACATGGGCAGGTACTATATACGAACTCTTGTACACCTTGAACTTCCACTAAGTGCGATGACTTGCACGAAGCCAGTACCGCGTTATGACACCGTCCACATGATTCGCATTCATCAGCCTCTTCTCCTCCTCCTCCTCCTTTTTCTTCTCCTGCCAATTTCAATAATAACACAGCAAAAAATCTTTCCATAAAGCGAATTGAGACATGTAATGAGTAGAAAGAAAGCGTCAATCGATTCTTGATTTTAGATAAAAGCCTTCTTTTTTGAGATTTTCAGTCATTTTACTAAAGGGGGATGGACAACGAGTCGTACGTGACCAACGAAACTTGAACGTACTGAATTATGGCACCCACATGTAATTAGAAAGCTGATTACTATATAGAATATTGCAGAAATTGCACTTTTACAGCAGCATCTAGAATATCAACACTTGTCTTGGATTGCAATCTGAAGCAAAGGATTGCGCTGTATCATCTGACCACGAGAGTACACTACCAAAACGTGAGAAACAGCAACTACAGTATTTCATGTGCCTACATACTAATGAATGACCACACTGATTATATCAGACACGACGCTTTATTACCATAACAGATCCCTGTATAAGGTGAATGAATATCCAAAAAACAGGCTAAAAAAATCTTGATTATATCGTAAAAAAAACGATTTTCGTGCCCGGCGTATTAACTGTAATAACACAAACCTGCATCTGTTATAACGTTTTTATTCCACGTTTTAAATCTCTGTCGCATGAATGGCGCTCGAAAAAGAGCTGCTACGCGTCTTGCAGCCTCTTGCGTTACGATCTATACCCGAGAACGCCATCTCACGTGTATTCGATACAGGTGGTACTGCTTCAGTACGTGAAAAATGGGCTGAAAACGTCTCAAAACGGCAGCTGCAAGCCGTCGATCGTGTGTTCATCAAGTATCTGCTACTTCAGGAGGTCGCAAGTCGTCGTAAGGACGCTACAGACGCGCAATTGGTGCATTTTTGGCATCTCTTTGCGTCCCAGGACACTATTGATGCTATATTGCAATCGGATCAAGACGTAGAGAACCACGACGCCGTGTATCGGTCGTTTCTTACGTTTTTACAGTCCATTATTAATGTCCGTGACGTTTACGCAAGTTTAAACAACGTGAAAAAACAAAACGCTCTAGTAAAAGCGTTATTAGCTGCTAAAATCTATATGGCATGGCTACAAATACCTGGAGGATCAGCATATGGGATTTTCATGTCGTACGTGTATCGTCAAGTTCTGGATACGTTGAAGAAATGGATTGGTCTTGTGGCTGTTAAAGAGCAGAGAAATAATGCTACAATACAAGAGAAAAGACGAGAGAGACAAGGAAGACGGAAAGTGGTGAGAAAAGAGCAGAGCAGTGAGGAAGAGAGTGAGGAAGAGGATCCTGTTACGTACCAAATGATGACGACACTTGGGTTGGAATTATTGGAGATGGTGGTGACATTTTTAGGCATTTTTTCACTCTCAGCTAGTCAAGAGTCTATTGTACCGACTATTGAGATGGTAATTGCATTGCAGACAGCAGTACCACCGGATAATGAAGACACGGCATTGGCTATGACGAAGAAAACAGTGCAAGTACTGGAAACATTGATGAGTGGTACACATGGTGAGCCATTGCAGATTGGCAGAGTGATTCTGCATTGCTACATTCCTGGCGTGACGTTGCAGGATACAGTGGCAAAGGAAACAAGGTCGTCGTTACGCTTTCATAGACTTGCTATTGATGTTATTATGAGGATCCAGCACATTACAGGAAAAACATGTGAAGAGGACGACGCCGAGGGCTCTGCACGTCGGGAATACTCGTTGATGTTGCTGGGTTTGATGCAGAATATTTGTCTACAGGCACCAGGTCTAGCGGATGAACGGCAACGTGTCCTCTCGTACGTCTTCTCGACTGTTATGGCTGGACGGCGGGAGAGCGAGTACGAAGAGCAGGTTAAACCAAGTGAGTTCCGAGACGAAGAGTGCGTAAGATTTGCACGATTCCTGGCTAGTTATTCTCGCAATGCTAAGCTGAAGTATCGCCAGTTTGCGGTAGAACTTCTTAGCCGCTTCGTGGTAGAAGCTAGGTTCTGGAAGATCAAGAAAAACGAACTTCCCGAATCGTTAGTCGCGTACTCGGGTGTAGGTCCGCTCTTGGAGGTCCTGATTGATCGTGCTCGCGACAAGATGTCCCAAGTTCGTACAAAGGCAATTAGTGGAATTTCGACCATGCTTACCTTAGGTTTATCAAATCTGGCTAATAACGAAAACGAAGACAATGATGAACAAATGAATGAGGGCTGCGGATCGGAAGCGATTTCAAGCTCACTGCAAAAGCTGTTGTACGAGCCATCGATTGATACTCAAGGATTGACGACACTTGCAGAAACACCACTGATGCAGCGACTTATTGACCTCTTCCGTGAGCGGCTCTTGGACGACAAGACATTCGTGCGCAGAGCTGCGGTGCACGCTCTGGAAGCACTTTTGACGGCGCACTCAGGCAATACTGTTCATGCTTCTTCTCGAAAAGACCTGTTTGATATCCACGCGCGCTGTACGGATTCCTCGGTTGTTGTTCGCGTGCAGTCGATAAAGTCGCTGTCAGCGATCTTGCTTAAATTTCCATGCGATGAAGAGGCCCAGAAGCTATGGAATCTTGGGGTTCTTCCGCTTTGTGTTGATCCGGAGACAACTGTGCAAACTTGTGCACTTGAAGCGGCTGGAAAGGTTGTGTTTGAGCGAGTTTTGATGTGGTATGATACACGCCGTAGTAAGAGCCAGCGCGAGAGTCTTGACAACGTCTGGATGCAGGTGTCGCATCTTGATGGTGTCATGGCTCGCTGTTTGCAAAAGGCAATGCGCATGCTAATCAAGAGCGAAAAAATCGATGTCGACAAAATTATCAAAGCATGTGTGTATGCCATTGATGAAAGCGTGAATCCGTACAGCTCCGGAGAAGAGGTGCAAGAAGAGGTAGAGGATGATGCTGCTCGCCGACTTTTAACTCGCTACTGGGGTTTTAGCTGGATTGTACTGGAGGAACTTGCGCACTCGGGTAATCTTATTGAGGCTGTCAGGGGAAAACAACAAAATTTAAGCATCGTCGTCGAGTGCTGGAACAAGTTGCAGGACCAAGCACTGCCAGTGGAGTTCAACGATGGATCAAAGCGCATTTTGCGTGTGATTGCCGCGATTTCAACTTTTATTGATGCACAAGATGCCAAGTCGATTGCGGATGGCATTTTGGCCTCGTTGCATTCGTTTGCCATCCCGCTAAATGTCATCGCCGATGGGATTCTTGCCCTAAATAGCATTTGCAAAGCCAAGGCTCCTTCTCCCGAGAAGAGTCGCGACATTAGTTTCGCGTGGGGAAAGAAAATCCTCAAACTTTGTGAGGTGAACCTTCGCAAATGCTTTGAAAGTAGCCCGGACGACTTGGATGAGGAGACGACATTGTTGCAAAAGCAACTGATATCTATCGGTGAGGTGGCGCTGCTTGAGTTTGATAAGGATGCTGACAAAAGCGGCGAGGCGGCACTTTTACCTGTTAGTTCGAGTCTGAAGTCTCTTGTGCAACTCTTTTTGCCACCAAAGTTTGTCCCTAACAGCATCGCCATCAGCCTGTCCATGTCACAAGCTACAGTGCAAAGTGAGGAAGGTGAGACGACGACTTCCGTCATGTCAGAGCCCGTTATGCTGCCGACTCCTGTTCGCGTGTGTGCTTTCGTGACGCTCGGTAAGCTGTGCTTGCGTGACAGTGACCTAGCCAAGAAGTGTATGACCATGTTCATTCGCGAGCTGAGAACGTGCGAAGAGCAAGACATCCGATCGAATATCCTGCTGATTTTAGGTGATCTATGTATTCGCTACACGTCTCTTGTTGACGCGTACGTTCCTACAATTGCCTTGTCACTTCTAGACGACAGTCGCTTGTTGCGCCGCAATGCTCTGCTGCTATTCTCACAGCTGATTCTGCAGGACTACATTAAGTGGCGCGAGTCATTGCTACGCTTCTTCCTTCGAGCTGCGGTAGATGAAGATGAGGAACTGGCAAACCTGGCTCGCCATGTGCTCTGTGGACCTCTGTTGCAAAAGTCACCACACATCTTCACGAACAAGTTCATCGAGATTATCTTTGTCTTCAATGGGGTCCAGGGTGACAAACTTAAGTTCTCGGAGCCTTTTGAGGAGGAAGGCACGCGCGAACTCGCACTGCTGGGCAATGCGTCCTACCCAAGACGAGCAAAATTATACACCTTTTTGTTGGAGCACATGACGGATGAGCAAAAATTGCAGATTTCCATGAAACTCTGCAATGAAGTGCTGGAGGAAGTCATGGACGGCACGCTTCCGCTGTGCGACAATCCATCGCAGATCACGGACCATTGCATCGAGGCAGTTCTCAAGGATACTTTCGCAATTCTGTGCTCACCAGAAATTAAACTTGCAACTTCAAAGGAGGAAGATGATGAAGCTGATAGTGAAGATGCAGCGATGGGGACAAACGCAAACGTTGCGTCACAGATCGCAGCAGCCAAGGGCAAATTGCTGTCCAAGTTGTCCAAGAAGAATTTCCTTGAAAATGTTGTACCGGTGCTCATCGGACTCAAGCACACTCTGGAAGCGAAGCATAGCCCCTTGACTCGCTATTTGCTGCACTACATTCGCGAATTGTTCAAGATGTATCGTCAGGAAGTGAAAGATATTTTTATGAACACAGATCCGCAGATGGCAATGGAAGTGGAGTACGATCTGCGTCAGCACGACTTGCAGCAGCAACAGCAACAGAAACAACAATCGCGCCGCATGCCCTACGTCTCGAGCGATGCCCAGACAGCACCGATGTCTCCACAAGCTACAGCAGTCCCTGCATCTCGGACACCGCAGGATGAATTGCTGGAGGCAAGTAACACATCCGTGCACCTACGCAGTGACGAGAAGGGCACGCCTGCTGGTCGACGAAAACGTCAGAGCCTTCCTTCAACGCCAACTTCTTCTCGTAGTGGAGTACGACCGCGCAAAGTGTCCAGTGAGGAAGCTCGTCGGCAGACATCAGAGCAGTCGACGTTGATATTTTCTCCCAGCCAGGGTCACTCAGCCAACGGGAACTGGCACGTGACTGCAAAGTCGCCTTCCGTCGACAGACCTCAGAGCCATGGAAAGACGAGCTTCACACAGAAAGATCTGGAAAGCCGCATGAAGAAGGACCTGTCTGCAGCCTTCGACTCGGCCGGTGATTCAGACGAGAACGTGCCACCAACTGTCAACGTTTCTAGACGCAGAGCAAAGGCGAAAGCCAAAGCCAAAGAAAACGTTAAAACGAGTTCAAAAGCTACTGCCATCCGAAAAGAAGAAAATCAGGAACAAGAGGAGAACGACGACGAAGAAGTCGTGCAGCTCTCGCTCAAAAAGAAGAAGAAGAAGAAGACAAAAAAGACGATCAAAGCTGTGAAAAACCCTGCTACTCGTATCAGTACTCGACACAAAAGGAAACGCAATTAGTCACAGTGCTGTTAGGTAACAACTGTACGACTAATGCAATGGAATAGACAACTGCAAAACCTCATCATGTTGTCATCTTCTTCCGTTCTTCTCCAGTTCTTCTTCACTCCATCTTGTCTCGTTTATCGAATGACCCCATTGGTCACAGAGGCCGTACAAGGACCTTTTGACGTTTGAAACTCATGTTCTTTCCACTTGGCAATGCCCTTGTCATCCGTCTTCATCTCTTCTCCCAAAACCAAAAGCACCTTTTTCTTCTCAACCTGCGCCGGTGAAATGGGTTCACCTTGAAGCCCATCAAACGTGATCCGTTCTCCAATTACAGCCCCTTCCGGTGGTGTCACCAACACCACTTTCTCGTTTTCATTCTCCAACTGAACCACTGCACACAGGACCATCCCATGACTACGAAACCCCACGAGATTACGTGGTTTCAGATTACACAACACAAGAACGCGACGATTTTGCATTTCTTCAAGTGAATAATGAGCCACTAGTCCACTAGCAATAACACGAGGTCTTTCTTCACCGACATTAATTTCTTCACAAAAAAGTTTCTCAGCTGTTTCATGTTTCCAAACTTTCGTGATTTGACCCACACGAATATCAAGTTTTGTAATCTCGGGTTGATTCATTGACTTGGTAATCGTTATTTTCTTTTTTCGATCCTTGATTTTGATTGACTGGTTGGTTTCATGAATGAATGCATTGGGTTCAATCCCCAAGTCCGTCTCAATGGAACGGATGAGACTTTGGAGCTGTTTACTGGCACTCATGGTTTTAAGAATTGGGTATCAAGGGAAAAAAAAGAGGAGGTTTGTTTAAAAAAAATGGGTAGGTTTTGAGGGGAAGGAGGTACTGTTTTTAGTGAATACAGTTTTTTAGTTAGCTAAAATAAGTACATGATGGAATGGTAATAAAAAGCTATAGTTCTTGGTACGATTTATTATCAATGTTGCTGTCTGATTTGTTAAGACTTATTGAATAAGGACCATCCAGCTGAGAAAAATGTAGAAAAGCAGGACGGGGTACACGGTAAGAGCTTTTCGCTTGGGTGGCACCATCTTTGACATGAACACAACGGACGCTGTCATATTAGAAACAAAAACACAGTCGAACATTTAGTACGAAACTCTTGTGCATGACAACAAAGCAAGCTTGTCGTACCTCGTGTAGACCAGAGAAACCCAACACCGACGATTACTGCACGTAGCAAGATGTGCGAGACTACCACTTTAGTCAGCATACACATCAGTGTGGCGATATTCAGCGGGAAGACACAATAACCCAGCACACACACACTCTGGAAAAACGATCTATTCAAATCACAAGTCCATCACAACCATTACCATCAGCTTTACCATTTGGTTGTTAAACAACACAACACAACAACAAAACACTTTCTATCGACGTACATGGAGCTGCCCAAAAGCTGCGCATTGATCGTAACGATCGCAGCACCAACCCAAATCACGATAAAAACTCCTGTAAACACCATGGCCGATTGGGCCGCAGGAGCCGTCACACTCAACGTTCTAACACCAAAAAAGCAAAATTAAACATCACAATCTACGTCCTCTCATCTCACCACTTATACACATAAACAACGTACATGGAGAGTGTAAGACACAGTAATAATGGTCCCCACAGGTCCCCTAAACAGCAAAAAGATACAGGAAAATGAGTCATTTCTTCCAAACTCAGATCTGATTCCACCCATCGTACAGTCCCGAAGTGCCTTGAGCGTCTCCTCCGACGTGTTACTGGGCATAAGAACAACACGCAACTTGCCACCGACCAATCGTAAGTCACGAAGCTACCACCAAACAAAGATACACACGTATTTATATAAATTACAACATTCAAATGATATTTTACAGGGGGTTTTCGTAAGAAAACAAGCAGCAACTACATACGATCGTGATGGATACGGGCTCATCTAACGTGCTTTCCTTTAATGATGGGAGACTGATACTGCCTGAGACGAGCTCCACGTCCATCGCCGTCTTCTGATTCGTCTCGTCCGGCATTTTTTTATTCGTAAGTTATGATCCGTAAGAAAAATAAGCTTTTAATCGAATATTTCAGTTTGGATTTGTAGAGGTTGACTTATTCATATAAATATACGTATATTTTTAGAAAGAGACGAGGAGCAAAATATCCATTCGTTTACTGACTTTGTTCTTGGATAATCGTAGAAGGTATGCGATTGGCTGGAGTAAATATCCGACTGGCTCGATCGAGCTCACACCACTTTTCGACCTCATCATGGGATGTACTTTTAGTACGAGAGCTTTATTCCAGCCAATTCCAGATAAATATACCTCTGCGGGTACGTGGTGATATTACATTTATATTGGGACAGATTATAACTTGAAATTGCAATAAAATGTTTTGAAATTTGTATAAAATTATCCACTACTAACAGAAGAAGTCCAAAACGCACTGCGGTACGGATAAATACTTGGATATTGATGAAATCCTTCACGTTATTGGACCAACATAATCCATACTTTGATCTTATTATCAACAGACAAGTTGGATTGCAGTCGTCAGATTTAATTATTGCGGTAAATGGATTTTATCCTTTTGCTATGACTTTTTCTCAACTAAATATTTGACATTTTTCTAGGTGGATTTTACCGAATCCAATCTGGTATGGAAAATAAAAAAAATCCGATTGGATAATGTTGCTTGAGGATTTTTTCTTGACGGTGGATATTTTTTTGTGCAGTTAAAAGGAAAAGAGACATTTGAAGGACGATCACTTCATTATATTGATAAAACAGGTCGTATTACAAACCCTTATCAGGTATATCGATTTGGTGTTATAATTCCGACTATAGGAAATGGATTCTTTTTTCATGTGAGAGATAATATTTTTTATCTTCCTTGTAGACGGTGATTTCAGCAATTGCTCGTGTATTTGAGTTATTTGACGACGATGATTCAATTCCGGCTTTTGGTTATGGTGGATACCCAGAGCGGCCAATTGCAGAACGATATTTTTCATTTGTTGAAGGTCAAGGTTGTGAACTCGATGAGGTCCTGCAACGATATTTCGCAATTGCTTCCACTATGGAATTGAACTCTTCGGCTAGTTTTGTGCCGGTGATATATGAAGCAATTAAGATGGCAAAAACGAGCTGCCGGTATCATATTTTGATAATCATTTCTGATGGCCACGTTGATGACCCTGGAATGGCGAGAAGAGCCATCGTCGAGGCTTCTGAATATCCGCTTTGTACGTTGATCACAAAATGTGCTGAGCTTTGTCGACGTGACTCGGGTGCTGGCTGATATGACCAGATTTGTGTTTTGCTCTTCTTACAGCAATAGTCATGATCGGTGTTGGCGATGGTCCTTGGACTTTGATGAACGAGTTTGACGACGGGTTGTCCGAGCGTCGTTTCGACAACTTTCAGTTTGTGAATTACAACACCATTCCAAAAGGTGTTTTAGACAACCCAGATGGAGGATTTGCCATGCAAGCACTTATGGAGATTCCAGGTATGTTGTCTTTCGGTTCATGGAGTTGAAGAGATCGCCGTGCTTACGTACTGTCGCTTGTTTCTCTCTGCAGACCAATACAACCAAATCCGAAAGCTTGGATTAATGAGGAAATAACGCCGTCGACACTGATGCTGTCGCCAGTGTGTTCCAAGTGCGTATCTGGCAGCAAAACCGCGTGTACGTTGCCGCTATGAGAGTGCAATAAGCCCACAAATCTTGAATGTGCAGTACCGCTCGTTATATTGAAAACTTGTTGCATTGTTCTTACGACTTGAATTCTACCTGCACCAACTTTTTTATAGGGACACAGGTGGATAGAGTAGCCTATGTATCAATGTACCTTGTATAGTGGCTAGCACAATTGCGCACAAAACAGGAGGATGCAAGTCGAACCATTCGATAGCTAGAAATTGGCCAGTTTGCTAGTTTCTAGCTATGAGTAGAGTAGCAGCGCAGCTGTACAATACATTTGTAGTAGTGTCAGTCCGTTGCAGCTTTTTGTCAGGTTGAAACTTTGCATCAGTGCCGATTCAGCATTTAACAAGCACATTTACAAGTGCAGCTTTCTCCGTGGCTTCAGAGATATCAGTACTCCTTGTTTCTCGACATGGATGAACAGCCGCTGTCCAAAAGGTTTCCGGTATGATCAATTCAATAAACAGTCGACAAACATCGAAGATGGTGCAGTGACTACATGTACAATATCGTAAAACAAGACACGTAGAAAAATCGCTGCGGTCGAATTGTCTATACAGAAATCCTCGTTGAAGCACCAGAAATCCCTTCTTCTATTGCAGAAGTGTCGGCATCAGCAAAATCTACTTTCATTTTTTGTAGGGAGCCTTAAAGTTGACTCCAATTGCATCCAAACGATCTCTGTCTCTTTCCACGTACGAAGAGTACGACCCCGTTTGTCGGATTTTCATGAAAATTCTGCCGAGTTTCAATCCGCGTGTCTGTTCAGGCCAAGGTTCCGACTCCGGGACAGTAAACTCCAAAGGCACCCATCCTGACTTGTATACTTTGCTGTACGTTTCAAGTGCCGGCAGAATTCTGTTACTCCATCGTTCATCATCTGGACTCCACACAAAGCCAATTGCCTTCAACTTGTCCTTGTCTCGATTCACCATAACGTCGTAATCGCCTCGACAGCGCATATTCGCGACAATCGCTCCCAGTCTCACTCCCCTCGTCTGCTGTGGCCAGTTCTCACTGTCCGGCACGACAAACTTGTATTGCACATTGCAGTGTCCAAATTCCCGTCGAAATGTCTCCAAGGCCGGAAAAATCTTGGAATCCCACATTCGTTCTTTCCAGTATTGTGTGGAAAAGTGAATCTTGTGTAATTCATCCATACAAGCGTCTCGTTGTGGTTTATACGTATCAGCATATTTGATACTCATAATAATTTGTCCAAGTCGGAGATTCCAAAGGATTTCGGGCCACTCGTGATGCCCCATTGGGACGACAAAGTTTTGAGGAATATCAGTATGACCATGAATATCATAATAGTTCTGCAAAGAAGGCAGTACCAGTACGTCCCATCTGCATTGTCGCATATTCCATGGAAACTTGAGTCTTTCCAAGTCTTTGACGGCAAAAAATGGCAGTTTTCTTCCTTGTTGTTTACTCACACGTAAATAATTGCAATGCATTCCTAGTGGATACCCCCAAGCTTCTTGTGGCCATGCAGGGTCTTCAAAAGGTACAATAAACTTCAATGGGATCATCAAATGGTTCTCCAACGATAAAAACGTCTCTAAACTTGGAACAACTTTTTGAACCCAAACAACTCCCGAACGCACATCAACATGAGTATTTTGCCACATGTGGGATGTAGAAGAGACTTTAACGTATTGGATCATACAACACGCAGTGTCTGAAGTGAACTGTGGACGACATAGGAGACTTTTGCGGCGAGCGACGAAGGCCCGTAGCATTACTATTGAGGGGTATGTATGATTGAAATGGTTTGTTGGTTAGTAGTCGATACCGAAAAGAAGCTAATGGTACATCATGTTGTGTCGTGGATGTAAGACATGAGGTGGTCGACATAAAGGGCTAGTATATTTACTACTACGGAATACTTTCCTAGTACTATTTTTTTGATATTACTCCTTAAATATCGTATACTATTGTAGTTTTTATTCTATATCGTAGTTTTCATCTCAAAATGACCGTCACCAAGAACTTGTTAGCCGTGCGTGCCAAGGTGGCAGAGGCTATAGCGAAAAGGGTAGGAACGCAGCAATGTACACTTGTAGCTGTAAGCAAGACCAAGCCTCTGGAGGATCTCAAAGAAGCGTACGACGCTGATCAACGCCATTTTGGCGAGAATTACGTACAAAAAACCCACTTTATTTTGAAATATCATTGTATAGGTATGAATTATAGCTAATATTATTTCTGCTGGATATTATCTACTATTTAGATTCAAGAATTAGTCCAAAAGACACCATTACTACCGGAAGATATTAAATGGCATTACATTGGCCACGTCCAGTCAAATAAAGCAAAAGTGCTTGTACGTGATGTCCCTAATCTCTTTATGGTCGAGACAGTGGACTCGGTTAAAATTGCCAATGCACTGAATAAAGCATCAGGTGAATTTCGTACCACGAAACTTCATGTGATGGTACAAGTGAATACAAGTGGCGAAGAACAAAAATCGGGTATTTATCCGGATGATTCCATTGAGCTTGCTCGTCATATTGAGACATCTTGTGAGCATTTAAAGCTCACTGGACTCATGACGATTGGTCGCTATGGAGACACGACGTCCGAGTGTTTTGATCGCTTAGTAACCTGTCGTAAACAAGTGGCTGAGGCTATGGGGATGACTGAGACGGACTTGGATCTAAGCATGGGCATGTCTGGGGACTTTGAGCTTGCGGTAGGGGGAGGAGGTGTTGTAATGACGAGGTGGATTTTCGGGTGCTAAGTTTAATATGGTCTTGTTTTTTTGGTAGATATCGTGCGGTAGTACGTACGTTCGTGTGGGTTCGACCATCTTTGGTGCTCGTGATTACACGAAAAAAGAATAGATGGCAATTGGAAGGTGACGGCGTCTCGGGAATTGTCTCAGAGTAGATCAAATGTCAAAGCAGTTTGCAGATTGAGGATGCCGTGCTTGTTGTTTTCGGACCATTTGGCTGCCATTCGCTTTGCATCCTCCATAGACATGCAGTCTTTATCAGGATCGGTTTCTTCTTTTTGTTGTTGTTGGTGACGGTCAAGTCTTGATATTTCTTGTTGCACGATGTCGTCCACGTCGATGTGAGTTATTTCTGGTTCATTTTGGTACATCTGCTGCCCGGCCTCTTCTACCGTAGCACGTCTCCGTATCCGTTTGGCTACTGGTTGCTTCTTTTTGTGCTCGCGTTCGACTCGCTGCTGCTCCAAGATATGCATGGACATTACATTCTTGCGATGGAATTGATCCTCGGGTAGCTCTTCATCCTCTATTACAGGGTCCCATTGTCTAGCAGTCTGTCCGTTGGCAAGCTGAAACATCTCCACCAGTGTCTTTGGCTTCTCTCGATCAGAATCAGCAGTCGTTGCTAGCCCGGAAATCTGTAAATCGTTTTCTTTAGCCCGCGCGAGAAGCCATGGAGCTGAACCGCAGTCAGGTCCGAGAGTATCCCAAAACTTGTCGATTGTGAGCATTACGTCCATTGTGTTGCAAACCTGATCGAAGCAAACTCTTGTCGAGTTTACATCTACAGGGTACGGAAGAAAAATTTCTACATAACGAGAGACAATGACATTACAAATGAGCTTGCTCTAGTCCCATCACACTCATGCATACGGATTGCACTTACCCAAATCATTGTGCGTGGCTGTTTTGACAGTCAATCGCTCGGCTTGCAATTCGAGCTCGACATCACTAGCCGTCTGCACATTGTTTTCAAATTTGATACAGACGATCAACCGATCCCCTGCTTGCTCCAGTATCGCAGGTGATAATGGGGTGCTACCCTCCATAACAGAAGAACATCTTTGACAAACTACACGAACACCTTTGCGCTCCTCAAGTATGTCAAAATGTGCTGTAGCTGTCGTCGGAACGCTTGATGTATGCGGTACCTTCTGGGCTGTACATGTTGACGCGCGAGTCTTCTTTAAAGCTGCCGAAATTTCCGTTGTAACTTCTTGAATAATCGGTGCTTGTGTTTTTCGAATATAGTGCTTTGGTGGAGGTAGCTCTCCACGGTATGTCAACCGCGGCAGTTTGTAGCGATCATTCAGCTTGATTTTGTACTGCATCACTCGAAAAGCGTCATTGACTTGTCTGGTAGAGCTACCAACCGCTAAAATCGCACTCATACCTTTTGATCAATGTGTTTGATCGCCAACTCACATACAAAGTTGCGGAAGGCGCCTGTTTTGTCTGCGTGGCAATTTTCCACGACTTTCGTGTTCACCGCCACGTCAAAAGCCAGTGAACTCGCTCCCATCTTATCTTTGACCTCACGTGGCGCACTTAGACTCAGCGGCACTTGGATTCCCTAAGTCACACAGCAAGTACTTACAACCAGCTCGAAGTTTGTCAATGGCACTGTGTCAGCAAATACCAATCTTTACCTCTTGCTCGTTGCCCTCGTCATTCAATTTCGTCGTCTTTGAAAACACGTGAATCTCGTTGGCATAAACCACATTCACAAATACCTGTTTCAATGCATGTCAACATAACATATCTATAGTCAGACAATTTCTTAGATCTTAGAGATCACAACAAAGCCTTTCAGTACCTTCTTCTTTGTTTTGGTATCATTTGTCTTCATCAGAAAACCAGGCTTCACATCAATGTACATCTATAAGACATACAAAAACATCACAACTCAGTTCTCGAAAGTCTATCACTCTCAAAGCTAATAAAGTTCAAGTCGTACTCCTTCCTGCGTAGCTTTCAAGCCGTCCTCCCCCATGACCTTATCACCAGGAAAACGTGGCGTGAATGATGATCCTCGTGCACTTGCAGAGCTCTTGAAGATGTCGTATAGATCAGCATTATTATCACCTTCTTGCAAACTAGTAACAGCCTCGTGTTCCAATTCTGCAGTCTGTAATTGACTCTGTATCGTAGCGATGAACTCTTTGTAGCTATCCGGGTCTGTCTTTTCGAACTTATCGAGCCACTGGAAGGCGATGAAATAGAGGTCAAGGTCTATTCGAGACAGAATTTAATGCTCTTGTTCATGCACTAGCCACAGAGATACGTACATTGGCGTATTGCTCGATAGCCACGTCGTCCATCGGGATGTTCATCGGAGTGTGACGAATGTTGAAATGCGACGCAAATGATGTTTGATAGGTCGGCTTTTGATAGAGCTACTGTTTAAAAAGACAATTTAAACTATGCATAATGAGAGGGCAGTGCTTTCGATGACGGGGATAAGCGGAATGACAACCAACAAGTACCGCAGATTCGACTCGTTCATTCATTTAGCGACAACTCGTTCAAGTTCTTACAATCTGTTGTGAGACCAAGATGAGAGTCTCACGACAACCCAAGTGCAAGTATCCCAGCAAGTCCGTTGAAGCAAAGGTGAAAAACATGCACCAAATGCCGACTTACATGAGGTCCACGAACGGTTGGGCCGCCATCGTAATGGGCTTGGTACCGTTCGCTTTTAGCGTGTAGGCGGCCTTGGGCTGCTTGGGAAGACGCTTGATCTGAGCACGGACACCAGTAGCACGAGCCTCTTTTTTCTTCAGCTCGTTCTCCTTGACACGCGTAAGGAAACCCAGACGACACTTGGACTGGTGCACGTGTTCAATACGCACATTAATGTGCTTGTGGATGATGCGGTTGCCAACCACTTTGTTCACACGCACACCAACGGCACGCTTCGTGACGTTATAGACACGACCAGTACGGCCGTGGTAGTACTTGTGGGGCATACCCTTTTGTACGGCACCATTGGCCTTAATGTCCACGTAGTCACCGACCTTGAACGTACGCAAGTACGTCGACATCTTGATCATACCACTCTGACGAAACGGACGAGCGAACATGTCGCGCGTACGAGCACGGTAACCGAAGGAGTGCGGCATTTTTTTGGACTAAACTGTGGAGGTAGCACCAACAACCAAAATCTCGTTAGAAACGGCACTTTTCGGGATCATTAGAGCAATCCAAAGACTGCAATATAAAGGGGAGAGCATTGCAAACATAGTGATAGTAAAAGTACTACAATAATCTCATTGGAACGGAGTGTTCTTGTGTTGTTTTCATTGGATTTTGTAGTCATTGGACCTCTTGACCTGTATCTCTGTCAATTCTTGTCGTTTTTGCAAAACAACTCCGTCCATCTTTGGATGAATGTATCATAACTTTTATGATTTTACTATTGCATCACTTGTTCCTTGCACTTTCTCCCCATATTACATTGTTTGTACATACATATCCACGCTTACCTTCACAAGTCGAACGAGACAAGAAGAACTGGGATGAGTCGCTAGAGCTTGGAGTCGCGAAACTATTGGCCGCGAAGGCGTCAGCATACAATAATCAAGTAAAAACCCATTCGAACCAATCAGCAGCTATGAAAAAAAAACCACTTACACGATCTCTTCTCTCAAGTACGAAACATAAAGCCATACTATTCGTATGTAACCGAATCGATGACGTACACAATCTTTACTCAACTCTTCTAGCCAAACGTCTTGAAGCTAATATGGAGGACGAAGACTTTGGTGAGGACGTGCTTGTGACGTCACAGACGGACGAGAATAGCGTGAAAGATGAAGCCAAGACAGAGGAATCAAGAGCAACATGGGAAGCTGACAATACGGATCGTATCAAGTCGGAGAAGATAAAGAATGAACAAGAACAAGACGAAGATGAAGATCTTTATGGGAAGGTCTCTATTAAGCTCAATGCGTCTGCTACGTCTGTTGCAGCAGCCGAAGCGGCAGCTACAACGATTTCAATAGTCAAATCAAGTGAAGACGTGTCGGTTGTGGGCTCAGAAGACGACGAGGACGAGGAAGACGTGGCTATTGTATTGAGCAAAGATCATGCTGGGAATAAACCCACGCTACGCTTTACTGGAGGAGGAAATCGCTACGTACGTGGCAATTTTGGAAGCTCTCAACAAGGTTGGACTGGAAAATCAGGTGCTGGTGGGACAGTGAGCTCTCAATCGGGAGATACAGACCCTTTAGTCACTGATGGAGTCGATGATATGGCCTTGTTTGGTGGTCGACGGACAGCTTTTGATGTTGATATTGATCTTTTAGAGGACAGACCATGGCGTAAACCAGGTGTCGATATCTCGGATTACTTTAATTATGGCTTTGATGAACATAGCTGGAGAGAATATGCAGCACGACAATTGAGAGTAAGACGAGACTTAGCAGTGGAAAAATCAAGAGAACAGGCATCACGACAAGCAGTAAATGCTGCGAATCAACAAGCAATGCGTGATCGTGACGCAAATATGCAAGGAGGTGGAGGAATACCTCCGCGTGGATTCCCTGGACATATCAAATCAGAAGGTGGAGATGACCCGAATGCAGGTAATCGCTCGAGACAATGGGGTGCAGTTGGAATGCCACCTCCTATGGGTGGAGGACCACCACGAGGAGTTCCAGGATTTTTGGGAGGACCACCACCGAGGGGCTGGCACCCTGGAATGGGCCCGCCATTGGGCTTTGGGGACCAGCAGAACTGGAATGGTCCTCCGATGGGTGCACCTTGGAACTCGGGACCAGGAAGAGGACCACCGTGGATGGGTGGACCTGGCGGAGGAAGAGGCCGAAGTGGTGGACGGGACGATCGAGGTCGCAACGGAAAGGATGACAAAGATGATAGACGAGGTGGTAGATCCGAAGCAAGTCGTGACCGGTCAAGATCCCGCAATTGCCTTCGTCGGGATGACTCACGAGGTAGCGGACGTCGAGACGAGGCGGGGGCCAAAGATGCTAGCGAAAAGGATCGAGGTCGTGGCGGAGGCCGAGACCATGGCCGTGAACGCGGACGCGACCGTGCTAGCAGCCGTGAGAAAGGTCGTGAACGAGATCGCGACACTGGCCGTGATCGCGTTAGCAGCCGTGGTCGCGATAAAAGCCGTGATCGTGAGAAAAGCCGTGACGGTGGCCGTGAACGTGATACTGGGCGTGATCGTGACGCTGGCCGTGATCGCGTTAGTAGCCGTGTTCGCGATAAAAGCGATAAAAGCCGTGATCGCGAGAAAGGCCGTAGTCGCGAGAAAGGCCGTAGTCGCGAAAAAGGCCGTAGTCGCGAAAAAGATAGTATTCGCGAAAAAGGCCGTAGTCGCGATGGTGGCCATGACCGTGGTCGAGGTCGCGATCGCGATCGTCGCCCTCGCGAACAAGAAGGTCGCGGAGGCGGAGCAGGAGACGCCGAAAAAAAGGAGCGAGGAGAACGCAACCGAGCAGATCGAGGTGGACGGTTGCGATCCCGAGACCGTGAATCACGGAAGCGCAAGGATCGGGACGAAAATACTGGTGATAAACGAGGCCCTGGTGATCAGCGTTCCAAACGGCGGCGTTAGATGACAAAACTGAGTATGCAAGCGTCTACAGCTTCATCTTGACAATACAACATCGGACAAACGAATTGCGCTAAACTTTTGATCCTTTAACTCGTTTGTTATTTACACGCATCTGTCTGTGGTCTAGATCTGCTTGTGCAACCAGAGCTCAGTCTCGAGCTTGTCGAGGTCTTGCGCCGTCACCTGCAGTGCAACTACTGCATCACTCTGGATGGCATCAACAGGTACGAACGTCATGCCGGGCATGCTGTTAACTTTACCTCGTGCTGTTATAGTCTCGTAAGATGGCTTGGCCAATTCGTTCTCGCTTGAGAATGCCGTTGCCACGTAGAAGGTGCGCACGTGAATCACTCGGTCCCAAGGTATTAATGCTTCCACCAGGCTATCCAGCACGCATGTCCAGATTCCTTTTGCTACAGCTTTTGCCAACGCTCGAGTGTCCAAGTATTTTGCATCATTTTCAACTGACGCACTGCACACGATTTGGCAAAGTGCGCGTGGAACCATACCACTTTGCCACTCGAAGCGCAAGTTGTCTGAATAGCGTGTACGCATCATGCTTTGCGGTACCAAATATTTCAGCGCGATGTGCGTGAGTGCTTGGAGCTCCACCTCCACTAAAGCATTGCGCGGCAAATTTGACACCTGAACCACCAGCAGCGGAGCCTTCTTCACAAACTCCAAGCGCACTTCGTTCTTGTCCACTTCTTCATCGCTTTCATCACTGTCATCAACAGACTCAAACTCATCATCCAAACCGGCATTGGTAATAAGGTTGCGACGGCTGTCAGCTAGCAAATACTCCCGAGCTCCTCGGTCGTCAGGATCTCCGGTGGTGTAGATGATACCGGAGCACACGTGACGAAGATTCGACTGAAGCGCTTCCAATACACGGCAGGCGTTGCGAAAACATTGCGCCGTCTGGGCGGCGTGGTCACCTGGTACGAGATCCATAGTTTGAGGGTGTAACGCAATTTGACCAGCCAAAAGGATGAGCGCTCTGTGAAGCACATTAGCTTGGCTGTACGGACCAATGCAACAGGGCGCCCAGGCTGAAAGACTCTTCACGTGCAGGACGTCGCGGCGTACACGCAGAGGTTGTAACTTTTGTTCTCCACTACCGCGTAACGCGAAACAGTCCAAAAGCACGCTGGCAGGTACGTCTCCCAGTGCCTTCACTTCGACGCAGCTACGTGATGGCGGCAGGTTTTGTCCGAGCTGTCGGATATACTCGGCGTTGAGCTGAGCGAATGCGCCTATATCACGAACATACAGGTGGACAAAGCACACATCTGCTAGCACCATCTCTTGACTCTCGAGTACGGTCTCTAGTTGGTTAACGATATCAATCATTTCTTCCTTCAGCGAGACGGATGCGTCACCAGCCTTGCTGCTCATAATGCCTGAAAGGTGCACTTGGTCGCGAAACTGACCAAAAGCAGGCACAAATTTCGTTGCAGACTGCGGGCAAAGTGCAAGCACGGTAGCTGGCTTTTTGTTTGTGTTCGTTGCACTGATTGACAAACGAGAAAGCAAAGGTTCTGGGATTCGCGAGGCTAATTGCGAGGGATCCGAAGGTTCCTTATCCTCCAAATGACACTTGTCGATCGACAAAAAGGCTACAGGAGCAACGTAGTCGTCCGAATGAAGCACTGTATGGCTTTCATCACTTCAAAAAAGAAGAAAAACGCATGTTAGTCAGCTTACAATCGCAATATCTACTCATAAAATACCTACATGACGATACGCTTCTTAAAAAGTGGACAGTCCAGCGTAAACGTCTCGTATTCACCACCTTCACCACATACATTCATCTGATACTTTTCTTTCTGCAATAGATATAACGACGTTCAAAGAAAACAGAAGTGAGCAGCAGTACAGTACAGACTTCTCCATCAGTTTCATCTTTCTACCAGCATCATCAGTTGTGGTTGCAGCTCGGCAATGGTCTTTCCTAAATGTTTCCGAGGATGTAGCCCAATCGATGCGACCTTAATCAAGATTGCTTCTATCTCGGAATCAATCATCTCTTGCAATAATTCCGTCTGTTCTCGACGCCATAAATATCCAAAAGATGTTAAATTCAATCTCGAACACCTGTAAGAAAACCATGGAAATCAGCCCTTTGTCCATCAATTTGCTAGCCCTAAAACTTGCACGCACACATTCTCGACTCGATTCCGTTGATAACTGGAAAAGATTGCACCAGTACAAACACCTTGAACGTCTGGATATTGTCGTTTTACTCTCTCCAAGAGCCGAAACAAGTCTTCGACTTCATCACCAACTGCTATCTCGTGATAATTCATATCTGTTTCCACTGCTGTGCCTGTAATTGTCTCGGATAGTAATGGAAGCTCCATACTACTAGCAATAAGCTTGACGATCTGATGTCCAACACTCTGGAACATGAAGGAATCGATCTCGGCTTCATCTGCTGGTAACTCAATTGGTGGATGAAGATGAGCGAGACAGACAATTTCATGGCCAAAACGAACACATTCCATCATTGCATAACAACTGTCTTTTCCACCACTTAGAAGCGCTACGACTTTCATCACTTGAGAAGCTCAAAAGACAAGAGAAAGGAGAATGACACGCATGAAACACTTGGCCACGAGCAGAACGTCAAAAGTGTAGCCATCTCAGCTGCGACGTCAGGTGGGGACGGGGGGTGGACCACACGCGAGCTACGTGAACCACACGCGAGCTACGTGAACCACATGTAATATTTAGACTATGTGGACAACATGGGATGTAGGTGGACCACATATAATGTAGGTGGACCACATGGTCTTAAGGTGATCCACGTGAATGATGCAAGATCAAATTACCCCTTTTTAGTCTGTACCGAGATGGCGGCAGTACGATCCGTCCTGCTGAGCGATATCCAGCAGGTTTTGAGTCTTGCACGGGATCAATATGGGTACCTACTGTCTAGTACTATCAGTGAGTACTTGAATAAAGTACGAAAACGGCCTGTAGTCATTGTAAAATTGATTTGAAAATGGTCGTTCAATCCTACATTTTGATGTTTTAAAATGACAGAAAAGTACCCGAGCAGACTTTCAAAGCTTCTCCTTGCTACGTGGACGTCTTCTACGTTGTCATTGTACGTCTAAACCAATTTTCTGCTTCTTTAAGCTGCTGAATGACGTCATTTTCGCTCTTTTTCTGACGTTTTTCCTCTAGATTTGACTGAAATGTCGCCTGTGGACGTAGTGAAGCCATTTCTAGACGTGATTCGACATGAACATATCAGTAGCACAGTCACTGCTGCTGCACTGCAAGCGGTGATGAACTTTCTGCACTCGTGGCCGTGGACAGACGTTAAGGACCAAAATATCGCGGCAGACGCCGTCGCTGATGTTGTGGATGCTGTGAGCCAGTGTAGATTCCAAGAAAAGGACAGCCAGAGCCACCAACACGTGCTGATTCTGGTGGTTCAGGTGCTGTACGCGGTGGTACGTTCATCTTGTGGCACGAGACTATCGGATCACTCAATGTGGCAGTTGGTGGAGTCACTCTACGCTCTCAGTCGCAGCTCTCAACATGATGTACGCACTGTGCTGGTTGGTTAATGTTGGATGAAGGGTGAGTTCTGATAGCTGTGGTGTCTGCTTGTACAGCCGCATATTACGCTGCCATTGCGATTCATTGCTACAAACTTTCTACATGACACGATTGCCTTTATTTTTTCAAATCCGGTCATTTACTCAAATCTGGCTTCTACTGTTGATGATACAACGTCCTTGTCGGAGCCTCTTAGACCTGGATTTGGATTGCCTTGTGCAGTAAAAATTGTGGGCTTTCTATGCCAAAAGTTACACAAGCGCAATTATTTATCACCTCTTGCGTCGGATGCTCCTACCGTGTCGACTGGAAACATGACAAGCCAATGTGAAGTGTTATTATCCTTTAGCTTGCTTCAGCGTGCACTGGTCGCTTGCGACGCTGATCTGATGTCGGGTGTGCCATCGCTAATGTTTTTCATCAAGGACGATTTGTGCAGCGCTATTTTGCGCTATTGTCGTCTTGGGTGCGATTTGCTTTGTATGGTCGTACTTTGTGCTGCGTTGGTCTATTGCTTACATTATGAAAATGCTGTGCAGCGCTTGCGCGGAGCTTCAGATCCCCGTGAAATGTCTCGAGCTAATCAGGCTCTTGTGGTCAAAGCTTCGCTCGAATCTCAAAATGCAGGTAGAGGCGATTTTTGAGGGCGTGTTCTACCACACGCTCCACTGGTGTCTCGCCAATATGGATTTTAATAACCCAGACTTTCCGCATGGGGATGATTCGGCTCCCTCTACTGGAGATACAAGTGGTCAAGGGGACGACAAGCCGATGGTCGATTGCGCTTTAGACGTGTTTTCCGGAAATATGCTATCCAAGAGCCAATTGTACAAGATCTCATTTGAAATTCTCGACTGCTTAGTGGACCTGCTTGCCGAGGCAACGTTGTTGCCTGACTTATACGTGAATTACGATTGCGACGACAATCGTTGCGACCTAACGCAAACATTATTCAAGCTGCTTTCTCAGACTGCTCAGCAATCTCATGTGGCTTGTTTTGAGTCGCACGACGAAACGCATTTTCTGTGGGCTCAGGCTATTGGAGAGATTGCTCTTCGCGGAATGTTCAATGCACTCTATGTCGTGCATCTCCGAACGCACCCAGGGACGCCTGCTCTTCGTGGTGACAGTAGCAGTGGACCGAGCGACGAAGAGAGTAGTGTGGATGTGCTGCTGGTAGATCAGGAAGAACGATCTTCACCAGCCAATACTGATGGGTTTGCTTCTGCAGAAGCTCTACTTAAGAAACGACAGCGCAAAAAGTTTTTTCAACACGGGATTCAGGAGTTTAATCGAAAGCCACTAGCAGGAATCAGGTACTTGCAGCAACATTATTTTCTGCCTACGCCGCTCGACAGCATGTCTCTTGCTACGTTCCTTCGATCGCTTCCTCAAGGTTTGAACAAAAATTCGGTGGGTGTGTACTTGGGAGCAATGGGCAAGGAAGTCAAGGGTTTTGAGAAAACCGAGATCCACGAGGCTGATACAATCGACTTCCATCGCGACGTTCTTACCGACTTCGTGCAATCGTTTAATTTTGAAGGAGAGAGCATCGTTACTGCACTGCGAATGTTTCTTGCGAGCTTCCGTCTGCCAGGTGAGGCTCAACAGATTGACCGCATCTTGAACACCTTCTCGCACCGAGTATATGAGCAGTGCCGGGAACGATTTGTGATGGCATCCGTGGACGTAGCATATTTGCTATCATTCAGTTTGATCATGCTAAACACAGATCTGCACAACCCAAACATACAAAGAGATAAGAAGATGAAGCTGGCTGACTTTATTAAGAACAACAAAAACTATGGTCAAGACGTTTCCAAAGGCCTCGATTTGCCTGACGATTTTCTAACCGAATTGTACAGCACCATTGCAAAGGACGAGATCAAGACGTTTGAAGATGGTGGCAAGCACGGTGAAGTGACGAGTGATCGATGGAAGGACTTGCTCAATCAAGCAGAAAGTGACCCGCGTAATTCGTGTTTGATTGTGCACCATCCGTCGTTACGTCTTCGATCACCAAGCGCGCCTTGCAGTATAAGTGTTGCCCAAGGCTCAGCGGTACGTCTAGCACCTGCTGTGAAGCAAACGATGACTCAGGCTCGGCTCACGATGGTTGCTTCTAGCCATGTTAAGGGAGCCACCAATTTACAAAAAAGTGGAACTTGTGAGGCTGAGCTTGTGCCACTCTATGCTTCTTCAGGCAACCAATACGATCGCCATATCTACGAGTTGATTCAGCGAAACCTTGTTCGTGCATTCAACAGCGTTTTTCAGCAGTTTGTTGTTGATTCACAAGCAAAAGATGCAGCAAGGGGCGATGATCTCTCAGTCGGTAGCAGCTATGAGATGCACTATGTTCCCCAGAGAAGTGCACTTCAACTTGCATGTAATGGTTTCGTGCTGTGTGCAGCGGTGGCATCCTATTTGTCGTTGACAGAACACTGCAATTCTTTGTTTATCCGCATGTGCAAGTACACGGCGCTGCTTTCGTCGGACATTTATCCTGTTGGATATAACGGCCGCGAAAACGGTATTTGGGTGTATTGTGACAACCAGAGTGCTACAGTCGCGACTGCAGCTGTACTTAAGCTGGTAAGGACGTGCAGCTTGTCGCTTCATAGCCGCTCATGGAAATATTTCTTCCATGTTGTGAATGGTTTGCGTGAGTTCCATGTCTTGCCGTCTCGAATTCTGTATCCCAGCGACAAAACAGATTCGGAGCTAATGACACCTGACGAGCGTCTTGAGTTTATTGACCTGGTGTATCAGAACAAAGAAGGATTGGAAAGGAAGATGGCGCTTAGTGCACACGATCAGGGCGGTAGTGGTGGTGACGTTGGTGGATTTTTCAGCGGTGTCGCGTGGCTGCTATCAACTCTTGATTCCAACCTAGGCGGTTCAGCACCTTTGTCTACCAAAACGACAAAGTCTCGTCTTTCTCCTGATTTTGAGTGGCGCCAGCTCAGTCCGGCTGAGCTAGCCTTCCACACGGAAGATCTCGTGATCGAGGGGAATACGCCAACGGAGCAGGCGCTCGACGGCAAAGATGACCAAACAGATGAGTTTGGCACTTCCCAGTGGATTCGAACGATTCTGCAGCCTTACCGACTGGAACTTTTGATGGATGACGTGGCTAACTTGCCATCTCGCGCCCTTGCTGAAGTTATCGAGGCACTGCATGACGAGATATTGCTGACAATACGATGTCCTCATCAAGAAAACTCGAAAAAGTCCACAAAGATGTCGCTCAGCCAAGGAGGATGCGTTCTTTTCGAGCACCTATTAAGCCAGGTAGTCTCCCTTAGCAGGTCTCTCTTTGATGGTGGTGCAGCTGATGAAGAAGAAATATCTGGTATGCTCGAAGCTCACTTTACTCAAATGCTGACTCTTTTGCAGCCGGTGGTGGTTACAAACACTAGTCCAACTGGATTGACCTACGAGAACGCATGCTTTTTGTTACACAAGTCGATTAACGGTCTGTTCGCTTGGGTGACCCGTACGCGTAGTGATGTCAATGGGCTGCTGCTGGTACAATGCTTGGATGCTTTGATGAAAATGAGCGGTGATGACGAGCTTATCCGACCTTTCCTAACGCCAATTATGTGCGGATTGAATCGATATGTGACGCTGGTGAAGCCAAATAATTTACATTACTCACGCATGGATTGGCTGACGATTTTCAATCTGATCACCTTGTCCATTGAGATGCCTCACGCAGCCTCGCACGCCTTCGGACTTCTTGAGCAGCTTGTGACAGAAAAGATCTGGAATGAAGACGGAAACGAAATTCTTGCTAGCGACTGCTACACGAAGATGATTATGATGGCCATGAAATTACGCGACACACACGATTCATGGGCACCCTCGAGACCTATTGATTTACTTCTCTTCATGTTCGATACACTCCGCCCTGATGCGTCAAACTATATTAAAGAACGCTTGCGTTTTATAGGTGGGATGACTGTTATATCAAGGCATCTTCTATTAAACCAGATTAAGCAGGAGCTCCCCAATGACCTCGTTGTAGCGGCGATTAAAGGTTTGAAGCACATGTTGTGCACACACACAGGATCTAAGCAGTCGTTTAAGCCCGTGGCCTGGCTGGACGTTCTTCGATACGGATTGGTTCCTGTTGGTTTTGACTTGCTAAGCGATGCGGGATCCAAATATCTTGGTGGAGCGATGTATGACGAAGAGGAGACAAACTCACCCTTCCTGTACTACCAGCGACAATTACCTACCTTTAACAGAGATAGTCCCAATGATATACTCGCTCCTGGCGATAATACAAGTCCTACTGGACGTCGATGCCGACCATTAACGATAAGAGACCCGTTGGCCCTACGGCCACACGTGGTGGTGGCTCAGATGCTTTCACTAGTGGTATGTGAAGAATTGACACGGCTACAGACGTGCTCCAAGTTTCTGTCTGTGTGGGAAAACGTGGCAGAGCTGCTGGTGGGCTTGCTGGAACACACATTCATGGAAACCCCTCCATCCCCTGCGAATGGAGCTGCGAGTGGGGAGGTGTTGATTGCGGCACTAGAGCGCCGAAGCGTGCTTTCAGCGCACGAAGAGATTCTTGAGCACAGTAGAGGAATCGTGAGGCGCTTAGCAGTTCTACAGGACGAGGTCAAAGAGCAGGACGAGACAAAAGTCCAGGAGGAAGTTAAGTTGGAGAAAAGACCTGACGCTAAGCTGTCGAATGTCTTGATGCAGGTGCTGAAAGAGAAATGTCGCTCCAATTCGGCCTTACTGGAGCAGCTTTTTCCTGCACAGGACGACGACACTGGCGGACGCTCTCCACCTGTCGAAAAGGTCGATGGAGATATTGTCGAAGAGCAAAACGACAGTAAGGTGGCAAGTTAACCTGATGTCAACTGCAAGGTTGTAGTGTTTGCTGATAAAAAGTCGGAAAACTACATGGAGTGGTTGATTGCTTTGTCCAAGTGAGCTGGTAAGGCCGCCTTCGCGGCCGTTCCCTCGCTACATTCACTCTGCAGGAATGTATGTACAACTTCAACTAGGTCATTAAAGTGCGGTAGCTCGTATTGGTACTATTTTTAAATCCTGTGTATTATTACTAGTACTATATTCAAAATAGTATGGACGCCAATACCGGGCCATTAGTTGGCGACGTCCATAGCAATGGAGGGGATATTGATTCGTTGCTATCGAACGACAAAGATGGTCGAAAAGAGCCAGTACGGCGTCTTCATGAGCCGTATGACCGTCATCGTGCCCACGACTTGCGTGCAGAGTGCTATCGTCGTGGTATTCGACCCATAAAAAAGGGTCCAAATGCAAATGATAATAAAAGTGGGTACATTGATTTATTACGCCAAAATGATGGACCCATTTTGAAAGCACCAAGTACCCAAATAAATAAACGAGAAGATGAAGAGACGGAAGATGAAGAAGATGCGAGTAATGGTGGAGATCATGTACATGAAGTCGAGATCATTACCAATATGACTAACAAGAGGAAAATATCGACGATGACCATGCAGACTCAGACCGAGACAAACAATTTGAAAGTCACGTCAGCAGCTGTAGCAGATTTGCAGGGTTTCTATGAAGGAGGTCCATCGATACTGCCGATGCAATATTCGCCCAATTTACCAAAACCTTCGGCTAATCCGACGACGGATTTAGAAATTCTCAGTGGAATTGCTAATTCGTATACTCAGAATGGAACTGCCGATGGACAATTATGTAACAACTGTCGTACGGTCGTCACGGATCAGTTAATGGAGTCGATTCGACTGGGAAAGACCAAAATGCAACTGGAGGAATGGCACAAATTGATGGATCAACGGGATCGAGATACTTTGTATTTGAAACAAGTGTTGGAAATTTTGCAGAATTTACGAAAATCTTTTCGAGAAGCACAGGTGCATGGAATGAACCATGATTTATTGGTCGAGTTGCAGGATGATATGGCTTTTTTCCAGAATCTGAAGGAACAAACCAAAGAGAGAATGAGACAGGCAATGCATGAAGCACGAGAACGCTCAGCAAACAAGTCCAATGCCATGGCATAGGTCGAATACCAGTTGTTGCAAAAAGAATTGTGACGCATGAGAAATCGATTGTGTGAAGGTGAATAATCAAGAGACTGACGACAACATTGTTTGGTGGTGACATCGTCGTTCGAGACATGACACTTTGGACGCATCTGATCTGTGCTTGCTGGTTGATTGGAAAAATATACTATTAATTTTCTGGAACAATCTGAACACAAGAAGAATCTGATTCAGTAGTACAGCTACGTTATCTGCTGCTTACGCGAATGATAGTCGCGCACCTGATGCGTACTTGTGAGACTAACTTGTCGCTGAACATGTCAATCACGCTGTCAAAGCTTCCAGAATCACTTGCAAATTTACAGTCTCGGTGCCACAAGCTAGCTCTGCCACTTTCACTCATCTAGCTGCTCCTCCAGTATTTGACAGCATGATCACGCCTATTGAAGCGACAACTCCGAAGTACAATTCTGCCGAGTCGCCTCCCCACCGGGAGCTGACTGCGTTGGGGTTGCAGGAGCATCCTCCAAGGTTGTCGACATTCTCGCACCTCGACCTCGTTGACTCCGGCGAAAGCAAACACACGATCGGGTGCTCGGTGGCCATGCTTGTACTTCTTTCCCTGCCGCGAATGGCTACCAATATGGCGTGGTCGGCGCAGTGGGCCGCCCTGGGTCCATACCTCGGTACAATGCTGCCGCGTTTCGCTGTGCAGCTGACTCAATTGATCGGTCCGCTGTCAGGCATACTCGTGGCACCGACTATCGGTGTCCTTAGTGATCGCTGCACAAGCAAGTGGGGTCGCCGTCGCCCATTCTTGGTTTACGGAGCTGTTACTAGTGCAGCATGTTGGATGCTGATGGGATACGCACGGGAATTGGGAGAGCTGCTTGGTGACTCGGGGAATAATCGACCGTGGACTGCTTGGCTCACGATACTGTTTTACACATGGATGGATGTTACCGTCAATGTGGTGCAAACACCGGCTTTCCTCATAATCGCGGATTTTGCAGGCGACCGTCAGACTTTAGGAGCCAGTATTGGACAGGCGAGTTCAACACTGGGATCCATCTGCGTAGCTGGCTACATTTACGTCTTTGGTGCAGCGCACCTGACGCTGCGTTGGTTTCTCGGTATGTTATCGGTGACCATGTTAGCTTCTGTAGGTGCTGTATGCGCGTTTGCGAAGGAAGAGGTACCAGTCTCTAAGGACTTGGACTTTGAATCGGGCGAAGAAGCTTCTAGCGCAACGAAGCGGATTGGCGAAGCCTTTTCCTGCATTTATCACGGCTTAAAGACGCTTCCTCGCACACTAGCAGTGTACTGCCTCGTGCTCTTCTGCATCCAGTTTGGTTTTACAGCCTACAATGGCAACAAAGGTCAGTTCTTTGGCATTGAAGTCTTCGGTGGGAACTCAACTGATGCAGACATTTGCGACTTGAGTCACCACTGTACGCCCGACCAAGAGCGCTACAACGATGGCGTTCAGATTGCTGGTGGTCTAGCAGACTTGCTTTTCAATGTGCTCGGATATCTGTATTCATGGATGTTACCGTTCCTTGTTCATCGTCTGGGTGCACGCTGGGTCGTCACGGTTGCGTGCATTCCGCAGGCACTGCTTATGGTGATGGCGTTTACGAAACTTGTTGCTGTGGACGTGATGATTGTCGTATTGACGGCTATTACGCAGTCGACAGTTTTTGCACTCGTCGTGCCTATCATCGTGCATGTGTTTGGGACTTCTGCGCAAGTCGGCATGTATGTTGGTGCCGTTAATTCCGCCAATTGTATGGGCCAGCTTCTCAATTTCTTGGTCGGTGCTGCACTTGTCAACACATCGCTTGGATACGCATTACCGGTGTTTGTGGGAGGTGCTCTCTCATTGTTAGGCGCATTGATTAGCCTCCAAGCGCTACGGATTGACATGTATTCCATGTAGTTATCCGACTGCATTGAAAGTTACTGTGTGTGTAGCCATTTATTTGCCACTGTAAGTGTCATTGACACACTCATTTACTAATTCCATAGACATTTATTTTTCTTTGTCGGCTAGTGTGCTCCCAATGTTATCCGAGTGTATTGCACATAATAGGTCGTTGGACTAATTCCACAAACATTTACATGAGTACGTCAAGTCATCAGCTTGCAATGGGTCAATTACAATATAGTTTTGACCAATCAAAAAGATGGACGTTTCCTGACCAGTCAGAATGCCACATGAGACTGGTTATGAACTCGTTCCACTTCGTTCAGTATCAAATTTGCCTGAGACAGTAAGAAGTTTTCTTGTAGATTGTGTAATATTTCTCTCTTGCTTTATCGTAGTCTAGGTTCGTTTTTGAATATTCGGCGATGGAGTGAAGATACCTTTTGTTACATAGTGAAAGGAATGAGGACTGTTTTGGTCTCTCTTCCTTCTGTGAGCATCACACTTTGTCATAGTTACACTGACCATCCGCCTCTCCATTGTTTTTGTAAAGTGTGTGACAATAATTTAGATAATTGTGAATATTATCTAGTACAATGAAAGAATGTCCTTTTACGCTGAATAATTTGTAAAATATGGTCGTGAATAGCCTCGTGCAGATAGATAAATCATAGTATTTAGCTAGAAAATTGCAACTTTTTCCTAATCTGCAGAACCTTTTTGCTGGTTAATTCAGTTTGTAGATAATGTAGTTGACTTGTGGATGGATGTGAGCAGCCTAATTAACGCCATGCTTCTAGCCAAACTAGGAACAAATACGAAATGTATCAGAAATGTAGCCATGATTGACTATACTATTGTTTTTTCTTACACTTTTTATTTTTGACCAATCATACGTCTTTAATTGAGAAAGAAAAGAGATTTTGACAGCATGGACGAGACTAGCAAGGCGACGCTATTCAACGCAATGGTGTGGGTAGATACGCTCAAGACACGCGAAGGCATTAATCCGCAAGAAGTAGACGCGGCTCTCTCTCGTCTCACGTAATTTTTACACTCCAAGTCGCTGTAGAAGTTACGAAAATCCTTATCTATTATATTTTCACTAATTATCCCCTCTTTTATTATAATTATTACTTTAGCGAGGTATTCGGTGTGGACATGCACAACGCAGAGCAAAAGCAACAGCTGGCGGTCAATGGAAAGGCTTCATTTGACGAGATCTTTGCTGCTGGTCTCAAGGCTTTAGGCTTGGAGACGGGCTCACTGAAGTCGTCGGTGGACGATGATCCCGTCATTAAGAAGCGTAGGTGATGGCTTTCTTGATTTTATTTGCTTTTTGACAAATATTCTTCTTGAGAGAGAAATGAGATAGTGACGGGTGATCCTTTTCTTGGTGCTGTAGACCCCGAGCTGTGGAAAAAGTGGGTCGCCAAGCTAGAAACTAAAGGGTTCTTTAACGATGCAGCTTCTGGTTCGAGTGAATATGCCACACGAACGTCCAAAGCGTTGGCCAAGTTCAAGGAGAAATTTGGCGATGCAAAGCCAGAATTGTCTAAGGAGGAGAAAGAAGCCAAAGCTGAGGAGCTGAAGGCCGAGGGCAATGCAGCATTGAGTCGTCAGGACTATGAGGGAGCTGCCAAGCTGTACCGTGAGGCGCTGCAGCTGTCAGCGGACGGACCATCGTCGCACATTTACCATTCGAATCTAGCAGCAGCTCTTATGTACTTGGGCAAGTACTCAGAGGTAATTGACCACTGCGAACAATCGATTTCGCTGAAGCCAGCGTACGTGAAAGCCTACTCGCGTATGGGTAGCGCACAGGTACAGCTGAATGATTTGGACGGTGCCATTGACACGTTCCGACGTGGACTGGAGGTAGACAGCACGAACGCGGCTTGTTGTGACGGACTTGCAGATGCGGAGCGCAAGCGACGTCAGGTGCAGACAACCCCCGCAGCTCCGACGCCAGGAGGTGCAGGGGGCATGCCGGATTTGTCAAGCCTGGCAAGTATGCTTGGTGGAGCCGGCGGAGGCGGCGGCCTTGCCGATATGATGAACAATCCGCAGATGATGCAGATGGCCCAGAGCATGATGCAGAACCCGCAGATGATGCAGATGGCGCAAAACATGATGCAAAACCCGGACATGCTTAGTAATCTCATGGGAGGTGGCGGCGGTGCTGCTGCTACTTCTAACGCTGGTGCTGCCTCTATTGCTGGAGCTGGTGGTGCGGGAAGCGGCATGCCCGACATGAGCAGCCTGATGAACAGTCCCGAACTTGTGGAGGCGCGATTAGACCCAGACCTGGCGGACTTTTTCCGTGACGTGGATAGTGAGGGCCCGTCTGCCGCTATGCGTCACGTATCGAACCCTAAAGTCTCGCAGCTTATGCAAAGGGTGATGTCTCGGATGCAAGGGTAGACAGGAAAGCAGCAGCAATAACGAGACAGCCATCACAGGCCGACTGTGAATGACAAGTGGTGGTGAGTGAGGTTCTATGCTCGTGTTTATTTTGTAGACAATTACGAACCTTAGGATGGATGCCTTACAATTGTTGTTACGTTTAATGCTTGACAAAGGCCGCAGCGTCCTCGAGGAAGGTCAGGTACTCGCGTTGCTCCTTCAGGTCGGCGAATTGCGAGATGAATTGCGCCAGTTCGTCGTCAATTTTGCGTTCAGCTAGGTAACTGTAAAACTTGTCTTGCACGTCGAGCTCCAGGTCAATAAAGTTCGGACCAAAGTACAGCGTCTCGTTCTCGTCGTCTTTGGCAAAATCCTTCAAGTACCGCACACGCTCAATCGTGAGGTTGCTGCCAGCTACACAATCGAACTGCAGTCCCTTGTTGTCACGGGTCACATCAGCTGTGAAGTGGACACCAGGAAGTTCATCTTCTTCTTCTTCTTCATCTCCCTCATCCTCAACCTGTTCCTGCTCCTGTTCCTTGTCCTCCTCCTCATCGTAATCCTCCTCATCGTCTTCGAGCTCGACAGTGTCCTGGGCATTAAACTTGATCTTAATCGAATCGTCACCTACAGAGCCCTTGAGCAGGATCTCCATGCAAGTAGGAGACTCATGCAAACAAAAGGTTTTCTCCACTTTTGCTCGTAATTCTTCTAGTTCTGGTTCTTCAAAACAATTGGCCTTCTCTTCCTGAATCTCACGCTATAATTGATGGTAAAATAATCAGTTTTAAAGTTAAAATTTAGGTTTTAAGTTGAAAATTTAGATTGTGCATAATGTATTAGCGGTATCACAAAGACGTACGTTGAGAAATGTAACAAGAGAAGAATTCTTGCGGGTCTGCAATGCCCTCACACCCACGAACGGCGTGCGGCGAGCGGCAGAAAGTGTCGCGATGCGAGTAACTCGAGCAAACATGATGGATGATTGGAGTGTGCTGTGCGTCCATGACCACCTATATGAAGATACATGATTGGTTGAAATAAAGATGTTTTCTGACGAATGGAAGAGCAGAAGATGAAATGTTCTAGAATTTAGGAATCTAATAGAGAAAGAATGACATAAAATTAACAACCGAATGGCGATGACGATAAAAGTACAATGTTCTCAAATTTCAGAGGAAATCCCTATTGTATGTACGTTGCGACCTATAATGACGTGGGTGGACAGTAAAAGCTCAATGGTCTCTCTCATTAGATAGGATCCGACATGTACAGGAAACGTAGGGTATATTAACAGCAAAAGCCTTCCATGAAAAGGCTGAAGAAACTATTGCGAGAGCCCCACGCACATGTTTCTAGATTATGGAAGGTACATTTTCTAGAATTCCAAAAACCTGTAAAAATTGAAATTATGCGAGAATTAAATAAAAGGCGAAACTGAGCCATCATCATCATGATCATTGTCTATTTCTAAAAATGAGCATTCATTTGGTAGAGATAGATACTATCAAAGTCTTGATCGTTTGATTGGAGACTGCTCGTATTGATGGACGTGGCAGTCAAACCCCATCGAGAAAGTATTGGTGCAATAGATCGATTCATACTGCGTAGTTGATAGGTAAAGTAACATTTGCAAGAGCTTGAAACACTGCACCGAAAGATCATGGCTATAGTTGCTAGCACCTTTTCAAAATCTAGCATTGAAATGGTCCAAACAATAGAGGTGAGAACGTGAGACCAAGTAGTGAATCCTATAGTGCAAGTCCTACCTTCCGATCGGTAGAAACAATCCGCAGCAAGAATCACTTGAACGGTCTGGAAGATCGAAAGGATCGTGTCGGAAACATGCATGTCACCCCAAGTCAAAGGAAGAAATTCCGCTCGACTTTCAATGTTATTGATAGTGATATTGGTCTTGGCATTGCACTTGATATCGACTGCATCAGGTCGATCCGTTAGATACACTTTTGTTGCCCCACATAAGCTAGCGAGAATCGATGGAAGTCCTGTACCACAACCCAATTCTAGAATGACTTTATCACGACAGAGCCAATCTGCTTCATGAGCAATGAAGTGAGATAACAACAATGCTGATGGCCACACAAACAATCCGTAATGATTTTTGCTCTCTTCGTTCGTCTTGTCAAGGTCATGAAGATGTTCTACAAGATGTACTTTAACAATTGACGTCTCCATCATTCGCTGCCGTTTTAATTTCGGTTCGTTGGTTCCTGCAGATGTTTGAAACTCATCCGAAGAATGAGCACACGATCCGATCTTGAAGCGGAACGTACGTTGCGAGGCTGCATGAATGCCCAATGCCTCCATCTGTACCAGTCACGAAAACGGGACGTGAATTGATACGTGGCCCGTAATTACCACGGGGTCTTTTCGACTTGGGAAAAGTATCTTGTCACTAGGACGCGACGGTTAGAACTGCCGTCGATAGGTTTCGACCTGCACGAGCAATTGATTAGTCGGAGAGCAAAGGTGTGGAGGCAATGCCAATGCACGAGAACGAGATTGACACAACCAATCAAGCTCTTGGAACGACCGTAATGGTACCAGGTGATGAAGATTCTCTATCGACGCACATTATAATGGATTATTTCACTAGTGATGGACCACGAGGTAGGAGGCTCGCCCACACGAGCTACAATGAACTTGACAGGAATGAAAATAGTGAATATAAAATTTTGCAACACTTTGGAGCGATAGCGTCACAAACATTTGAAGAACGAGCGATGGAGACAGATTCAGCAAAGGACAAGACGACAAACTACCAAGTTGTGCGGTCAGCTTCGATGATAGAAGAGATGAGAACACGGAAAATTGCACCGATGGCGTTGGCAGTGCTTGTGTTGATATTAGCACTAGCACATTGGATGTGGATGTTGAACGTGGTAAAATTAAGTGCACTGAGTCTGGAATTTGATGTCTAGATGCCCTCGCTCAGGAAGTTGCAGCGCATGGCAACGAGAGTATATTTGTCTGGAGGAAATACGTGTTACTCCGATGTGATTGGATTCATGGCATCGATGAGCTTACCAGGTGCGCAAACGAGCTTCCATCTACTGCTGTACTCGTGTAAAATGATGAATAAGAACGTCTCACAGAGCATGTAGCTGTAGGTTTAGCGGACTCGTAACAAAAGACTCTGTGCCTCTTGAATCCAAGCGTCTGAAGTGGTTTGAACCGTGGGTTTTGCTGACAGGAGATGATTGTCATCTCACTTACCCTATGATTCTGCTACCGGACACGTCGAGCTGCAACTCAATGTCTTCGCTCTAGCATCAGGTATAGCGGTACTGCTATCCATGTATCTTGAAGTAATGGTAGAGCGATCATTTTCAACTTGTTGTGACTATCGCTCTTGATTGATCACGAGTCACTCTAGACTGCGTCTTTTTCCAGGGCCAGCTGTAGCTCGGAAGATAGTGAAGATGATGCAGACGTAGAACTTGAACGTGACGATGGTATAGCGATGACGACCTCAGATATAGTGAACATGATGCTACATGCGTAGTCCTCGATCAACTTTCGGCTATTGTGTAGCCAACGGCTTTGAAAACCTGTAGCCATGTTATAAGTGATAGAAACATTGTCAGAAAAAAATCATTTGAATTTAAATGATCGTTCTTCCTAACTTCAAATAGAAATCATTTTTGTGTAAACATTACATGATTTATGGCTGGAGTAGCACGCAATAATAGAGACACGGCAATCTCATCTCCTAAATCCCTTTAGAAACCCTCCCAAATCCGATATATTTCTATCCTATGACGCACATTCACCTACCTACGTCATAGATCGTTCATTTCCCCTTTTGCCGTGTCAAACACACGTGCCTCATCTCTTCACTCTTCACTTCAACAATCATGAACGAAATAAGTCGTGCCTTTAAGTTCATTGTCGATCCTTTTCAAAGGGAGAACAGGCCCGAAAAAACAGCAACAGAACCTTTTGATCAGCCTTATCTCGAACCAACACGTTGGTTTCTAACTGAAACAGAAATGCGCAAAGCGCGTGACGGTTACGAACGTGAGGGCATGCACTTGTATACAACAGGAAACCGCGTGCAACTCTATGCCGCTACTGCTGATTACTTTTACGATGTAGCTGATGATATGCTCGATGTCCGTCGTGGAGATCTCGTGTACATTGCAGGCTGGGGGACATGTAACGTGCCTTTCAAGCCTCGTGAGCCTGATACAAAGCTCTGCGACCTCGCTGAAGTTGCTGTCAAGCGCGGCGCTGATTGGCGCATGCTTGTGTGGTCGAATGTCACTGAACGTACACAAAATCACGAGGTGCGGGACCTTATTAATGCGCTGCCACCACCCCAAGAGAACGGCCCTGCACGTTTTGTTTACGACGATCGTCTGCCATACGCGACGTCGTCACATCACCAAAAGTCTGTCATTGTACGCAAAGGACGTGACCTTGTGGCGTACGTGGGTGGCGTGGATCTGACTAATGATCGTTGGGACACTCTTGAACATGATCAAGCTCAACTTCGTGAACAGACGGGCATTAAATGCCTGTGGAACGGCTGGTTGGACGCCCATGCACGTATTGAAGGTCCTGCTACGAAAGACGTAGCGTGCAACTTTCTGGATCGTTGGAATATGACAACAAAACCGTGCCAGGATCTTATGGATGATATCTTGGACTTTGAAAACCCCGATTTTTCAAACCTCCCGCCTATTGGGGAGAGTGAGACACCTTTGGAGATTCCTAGGGATGGAAGTCATGCAGTGCAACTTTGTCGCACGTTCAGCCCTGAATACCATCACTATGACTTTGCACCGCAAGGTGAACAGTCGATCTTCCACGCTCGTATCAAGGCAATCCGTAATGCACAGAACTACATCTTCATTCAAGACCAGTATTTCATTCTAGTGCCACAGCTCCTGGAGGCTATCATGGACATGATGCCGAGCATTGAACGTCTTATTGTCATTGTGCAGCGCACAGTTGAGGCTGGCTACACTGGCTACGCCAAGTACCTGTACGACATGGTGGCTCCTATCCAGAAGGCATTTCCGGACAAGTTCAAGCTGTACTCGACCAAGGAGTCAAAAGAGTTGTATATACACAGCAAGCTGGTGATCATTGACGACGTTTACGTCTCGTTGGGATCTGCTAACTGGAACCGCCGCAGCATGACGAGCGACTCGGAGATCGGCATCAACGTCGTGGACACGGAGCACGTGCAGTCGCCCGATAACATCACGGTGAACAAGTTGGCGCGCAACTTCCGTATCCAGAAATTCATGGAGGCGACCAAGCAGACGTACGACGAGCTGAACGCCATGACGTTCCTCGAGGCGTGTGACGCTCTGGAAGCTGCTGCCCACGACGACGGATCGAGCCTGATTGAGCCTTATTCTGTCATGGATAAGGCGGGTTTTGACTTTGTGCCGGACGCTCTGCGCCAGGTCGTTGATCCCGATGTCGAGAGCGACAACTAAGCGTCATGTCGCTGGTGTGTGAATGTAAAGCTTGCTCCTTTTCAAGCTTTTCTATTGCTGATGTTGGATATCAATACCATGTCCATAAAGACATGAACGGTGATGAATGTACTAAACAATGTATAAAGCTGAAAGTGCAGATTGAAGATAATGGTAAATGATACAAGGTACTAGGAGGAAACAACCTTTTTTTTACAAAGGAGGAAAAATTGAGAGTCGCTGTGCGAAAAGGATGTCAGAAGGACACAATTCCCTATATGATTATTGAAGTTATGTCACCAGACTTTGTACAGTCCATAGTAACAACCCACTTGCCAATCCGTGCCTCAAAAACAGGTCAGATAGCTCAATAATTCTGGCGTGTGGGTTCAATATCCAGTTGATGTGTCGTGTCACACACAGTGTGGTAAGAAAAGGTTCATCAAGGACAAAACATGGAGTCAACTCAGTTTTGGTGGGTCACATCAATATGTTGTATACGTCTTTGGTAGTATACCCTTGCGTAAACATGACAAAAGTCTCAAAATACCTGACATTACGGCAAGAGAATGCACCGGCCTCATTTTAATGCCATGGCTACGTCAATTACTTGCCTCTATCGTAACTGGTATAGAAGTTTGGATTGACGGCTTCGCTTACTTCTCTGTCCACGCTCATCAAACGCGTAATCTATGGAAAAGTTTTAGATATATCGCTTACATGGAGTACATTTTCATCTTGAAAAAGAACAAAGCCGTAAAAAAGGCCAGAGCGCTCATAATACCACCAAGAAAGACGGGAAGTTTATAGCCTAGAGATGTTTCAACAAGGACCGAACCAAGAGCAAAGTTCAAAAGTTGACCGAAGCAGTTCGCCGAGTTCAGAGCTCCGACGTAGATGCCGATTTCCTCGTTTTCACCAAAAACGTGAATGATCACTGGCACAATTAGAGCAAACCACACGGTCTGTGTGATGCTAGTGATGGCAACAACAAAGACATTAAAGGTCACATCGCTCGTCCATGCCATGACTATGAGCAATGTCTGCGGAACCGTCGAAATAGTCAACATCCACTTCACACCAAACTTATGCACTAAGAACGGCAGTGTCCAAGAGTAGATGTAGCCGACGATATTGAAAATTAGATCAGCGCGGCCACCGGCGATGCTGACGCCGTGGTTGTATGCATCCTGCTCGCGAGTACACGGATCGCAGCTATCAGCGTTTTCAGCGGATCCGCCGTACACCTCGAAACCGAAAAACTGACCCTTGTTACCATTGTACGCCGTGAATCCATACTGGACGAAGAAGAAACCGATACCATAAATGGAAAGCACACGAGGAAGTGTGTGAATGCCTCGGTATACGGAAGCGAAGGCGTGGCCGATGCGCTTCCACGTCGATACAGCGTCAACTTTGCTCGGATCCAATGGAGTCTCTTTTGCAAACACGACAGCGACGGTGACACAAATGAACATGGCACCTGACAGCATCCACATGAATGCGTGCAGAGTCTTGTGGGCAGCTCCAAATAGTTCGATGTAGACGGCGACGAGAATCGAACCGAAAGTTGACCATGCCTGGCCAAGAGCAGCACCTGTTGTCTGACGATCTCCAGCAAAGTCCGCGACAATCAGCATGGCCGGTGTTTGGACGACGTTGACGGTGATGTCCATCCACAAGTAGAAGAAGACAGTGAGGATCGATGTCCACGTGCGGTCAATTGGCTGACCGTCCGTGCCATCACCATGGTCGCCAAGAGCTTCACCCATTTCTCGCGTGTAGCTCATGGCAATCCAGCAAATTATACTAAAAAATCCCGCAACGATTAAGAATGGTCGACGTCGACCAAACCTTGCAGTGCTGCGATCGCTGAGGACACCGATGCTGGGACCCACCAACACACCGACAATGGGACCAACGAATTGTGTGATTTGGACGGCAAAATTTGGTAACATCGTCGACAAGTAGGGTCCAAGTGCAGCCCATTGAGCTGACCAGGCCATGTTGATAGCCATCCGTGGCATCGAAACCGCAAGCAGTAACCAGATGGACGGATGGGACAGAGGAGTTTGTTCATTGTTGTTACTTTCTCGTGTGACTTCTTTTGGAGAGATTTGAAGGTTGAAACTTTTTTCCACATCCGCCATCGTAAAAGCTGATGTATGATTCGAATACTACAAAGTGGCGTCAAGTTGACCAGAGAGCACAAGTTGAGGAATGAGACAGAGATTCAAAACTGAGAAAGATGTGATGATAAGTTTTTTAGTCTGGCAAGTTCCGTGCATGAAGCAGTTACATACTTGCCCAACGGAAGCGTTTCGATTGGACGACGAGCAAAAAAGAGCCACAAAGTATGTGAAAAAACTGCATGAACACCCGATTCGAGGCGGCCATTGGAGGAGTGACGACGACATAGACGATCAATGAAGATCAGGTCAAGACAGTGTCATGAAAGTTGAAGATTTTACTGAGTCCCCAATCAACGTTCTCAACGATTGCCCCTCGACTTGATCAGCATCGCCAACAACTCCAGCATTATCTGCAGCCGTCGCTTCTTTAGCATTATTGACCTTATGCAATGTGATGGCTCCTTGATGATATAAGTGAGATGGCATCTTACTTCCGCACGCAGTAACGCATGATGGCATATCGACCTAAGCAAATGGGACTGCTGAGTGTTCAGTTGTCACAACTGATACGGCCAAACGTATTTTGTAGCTTAATAAACAACAAGTGCCGACTATTGAACGACCCGTAGGTAGTGCACAAGGTCTAGCATTTTCTCAATATTGTAACCCATTCCTATAATTTCCTCGCCCTAAGGACGTACGTGCATTGGAGTCAAGTTTACTATCTCTTTGCCACTATTCCACTACCTCAAATCGTCAATTTCTAGCTTAACGGACGTGTTTTGCAAAGCATAAGATGACTGATATCCTGATACCATGATAGCACGAGACCATGTGTTGATACATATTTCCAATGCAGCTGGACGATAAATGCAACCACGTTTTATCCTCTGCGTCTCTCAGATCACGACGCAAATCGTCTCCTCATGTTACATGTAGCCATCTAGCAACTGTAGCCATTCCAGTAGTAACCGACTTCGAAACGATGTACACCACACTATATCGGTACGCTGTACCATCTACATTCAAAAAGTGCATTTTTTTAAGAAAAGCTCAAAAAGTCGACTCAAAAGTGCGTTTTTGTGTATCCATTTGAAGCAGCCACTTTGTATGCTACTAACTCTTTTCAACGGACCTCTCTCTTCTCATTACCAAAAAAAGGTCTGTACTTTTTTACGCCAGGAACAGGAACAATGGACGGCCAAGTCGTGGAACTTACAGAGGCCGAACAAGCGCAACACCAACTGCAGATGGAGCAGCAACTTAAGTCGTTTTGGGCAAAACAGCTGTTGGAAATGGAACAATTGGAAGTCGGGAGTGAACAAGGTCCAAAATTGAGCGAGCAATTGGGACTAAAAATACCGGTACTGACCTATTTTGTGTGTCGATTTTTGGAATACACCATTTTATTACAGACTTTAAGAACCATAATGACCTGCCATTGGCACGTATCAAGCGTATCATGAAATCCGACGAGGATGTGCGTATGATTAGTGCAGAAGCACCAGTACTGTTTGCCAAGGCCTGTGAGATGTTTATTTTAGAGCTCACATTGCGCTCGTGGGGCTACTCGGAAAAGAATAAACGGCGAACGTTGCAAAAAGAGGACATCCAGACGGCGATTCGAAACACGGACATTTTTGACTTCCTCGTGGATGTGATTAATTAGAAGGTGGACGCTGCAGAGTTGGGCCTTCCAAGGCGATGAGCGTAGACGGAATGCAGACGAGATGTTGACCAGACTTTTATGTAAGTCACTTAAATACTACATACACTGCTTATACTGCCTTGTCAGACTTGTTCGAGTGGTGAACATCAAATTCAGTACGTCATTGGTTTTGTAGCCTTGTTGAGGTTGAAGCACAAGTGGAACGTTCTGCGCATCATCCCGAGTGACGCGACTTAATTAATGATGTAATTACTATGACACTGTAACAATTATGTATCAAGAAGCAAAGGATAAGAAGGATCATAGCTACATTATTCAATGCAATTGCTTCATGTTCATGTAAAAGCTCAAGTGATGCATCAAATCTATTTGATTGATGCAGCATTTGAGTATCAGGACTCGTACTTAATACGATGACTCTATCTTCAACCTTGAAGTTGCGAAGAGCTCCGTTTCAACAGGACGTCATTCGTCAATATCCCGTCTTTCTATCAATCATGTTACATTCGAGATTCTTTCATTCTTCTCAAGCTCTTCGTTTAAGACGATCTCTGTCAATGGTGTCGTTGAAGGACCAAGTGGGAGTTATTGGATTGGGTCAAATGGGTGGACGCATGGCGGACAATCTTCGTAAAAATGGATACAATCTCGTGGTATGTGATTCCGACCCTGTCAATGTCCACAAACAAGTTGATCAAGGAGCTGTAGCTGCTGTTAATGCTAGAGAAGTGGCTGAACAATGTAATACTATCATCACGATGCTGCCGTCAACTGCTATTGTTGAGGGTGTCTACCTTGGGGAGAATGGTGTGCATGAGGCTTTACGTAGTGATCATTTGCTGCTTGACTCGAGTACCATTGATCCAATCTTTACCAAGAAATTAAGCAAAGAGCTCCATGATCGTGGGGCGACTTTTGTCGATGCGCCAGTATCTGGTGGTGTGGCTGGAGCTCAGAACGGGACATTGACGTTCATGGTCGGTGGAGAAGTGGAAGAGTTTGAACGTGTTAAACCATTGCTAGCAGCGATGGGGAAGAACCTCGTTCATTGTGGCGGCAGTTGTAAGTATCTAGCGATATAGTTGTAACTAGGGGATCAAAAAGTTCTAAGATTGCAATGATGTGGCTCTTGTGATGACCAGCTACCGGTCAAATTGCCAAGTTGTGCAACAATCTGGCACTGGCAATTCAAATGGCGTCTATTGCAGAAGCTGTAAACCTCGGGACGACGTTGGGAATTGATGCCAAGATTCTCAAGAACATTATGGACACGTCCACGGCCTCGTGCTGGTCTTCCTTAGTGTAAGTTAAAAACTGTTTGGTGTCTTGCTGACTGAGACTATGTTGTCTAATCAAAACATTTTTTTGGTGTTTGGCTGCAGCAATCACCCGTACCCGGGCTTGATGGAGAATGTACCATCATCGAACAATTACGAGGGAGGGTTTGCTGTTGCATTGCACCGGAAGGATCTAGGACTTGCCATGGACTGTGCCAAACAAGCTGAAGTGTCTGTTCCTTTGACCTGTCAAGTACACCAACTTTTTAACATGATGGTCGCGGGTGGCTACGGCAAGAAGGACTTCAGCTATCTCCTCCCGTACCTCAAGAACGGCAAGTAAAAAGCGAAGGAGATAACGAGACAACGTTACGCGGTGGAACTATGTGTGAAAAAATTGATACGTACAGTGGCACACAAAGTGACTAAGCGCTAGTTCAGTGTTGTCCTAGTGATGCGTCGCGTTCCGTTTGCTTGACCAAACCCCGTCGATCTTTGCAACTTTGGAGACCCGCATGAGTCGTGCTTCTTCTTCACTCAGGTTCTGAAGATGGGTTTTTCGTAAGCTACAGGTCACGCAGCTCGGGAGCTTGCAAGTATGTCGAATTCGCTTTAGCTCCTCATTTTAATTGATCATGAGGTTGGTGATTGTCCTTACCGCGCACAACCACACCTACTCCCGCTTACATTATAGTTCTGGTGTGAATTGCTGAAACAATCGAGGACCGTGACGTCTTTACCTGCTCAGGCTTCGTTACTCGCTCATTGATTAATTAAGCTCGGACGACATGATGGCCCTTCGCAGCCTTCTGAGCAGCCTTCCATTTCTCATGTCCTTGCTGGAGCAAACCGACGTGATATTCCGTTCGTTCGAAGTGATAAACCAAGCTCTGCATTCGTTTGTCAAGATTAGCCAGTCGCATCAAAACTGAAGCGATGGGGGCGTCAATTTTACGACACAACATCTCCAGCACATGCTCGGTCGCTGAATGAAGATGACTACGACGACTGGTAAGGAAAGTTACCGGGTAGAAGAATGCATCGTATTTGGGTTCTCCATCAGCATTTTGTACCGATGCAGTGCCAGCTTCCTGTGATCGCAAAAGATGCATTCGTTTCTCAATAGCCTCGTCACTCTCAGCAAGAACTCCATCAACGTGAATAGCTGGATAGGCGTAGAGATTGTTTTGTTTGAGCTTCTCACTGAGACCGCTATCTGAAGCCACTGAGACGTCAGTTGTCTGAATGCGTTGTAACTCTTCGACGTGTTCCTGGAGGCATTCAGGAATACCAGAGTGATCAGGATCGATGAAAACTTTTCTGGCAAATTGAGCTAGTGCGTCTAGATCACGCCGAGGGAGAAGATGCGAATTGTGTACTGCGGCAGCGGATGGTGCCTTGCATTTACGTTCATCGCCATCACTTTTGGTCTCTTTGTCATCTTCTTCTCTATCTCGTCGCTCGTAGATCCACTCGTGCCAATTCGCACACATTTTAATCGCCACCACCAAATGTGCTACGATACCTACCTCGGACTCGAGGATTCCGTCTACTTTGTCTTTCTCTTCTTTGGTGGGCGTCAGGTTGAATCTGGGATACCCATCGACTTCTGCCTGAAGCAGCAGTGGCGGTTCAGGTTGATCCCCTGTTGCATTCATGAAACCCGAGATCCACTGAAAATTGCGAAAGACTTCTCCAGGAAACCCCATGGTGGCGCAAATTCGGTGCACAGCTAGCGACACATTGAGTGGAGGCAGCCGCAAGCCCATGTGATACATAAGATGGTTGGCAGAGTAAGCGATCTGGACAGTACTTGCCCTGTGACGCTTCATGACGGACTGGAAGAATCGAGAAATAAACTTGACGGAATCCCGTACTTCAGGTACATCAGCACAAGTTGTGGCTAATGCGTTATGATACGGAATCACTCCAGTGGCTACCCAGTCGGCAAAATCACTCGGCAGTAGTCCTAGATTGAGCACACGGGATGCAAGCATTAAGATGCCAACCATATCCACGATCGAGAATTTGTTGAGTGTGCCATCCAGTCGAACATTTGTCCTGATATACTTGTCTCGACCTCTCTTTATAGCTGGTTCAGTTACCTTGTTCTCGTCTTTATCATGTTCTTGCACGGTCTCATCGTCATACCGCTCTCTCTCCTCTTCCTGTTCATTCTTCTTTTCCCACTCGGCATCCCATTGCTCCAACAAATCAAAAGTCACAGCCGGGTCCATACTCTTTTCTTCCTCCGGGGTGTAATACATGAAAAACTCATTGTAACACCGTAGCAATGGCTTTGTGCCTTTCACTCCCCATGTTTGTAAGAACTTGAACCACAATGCTTTCACTGCTTTCGGGTATTCTTCAGCTGGAAACGTCTCCGATCCAATCCGTTTAACAAGTGTTCGAGCCATTCCATCCAGCACCATTTGCGTTGCAATGATGCAATCCAATAACTCGGGTAATGTCGGTGCTGTCTTTTGACTTGGATCCTTCTTTAGCGGCTCCTTGGACGACTTATCAACGAAATTTCCATGCACATCTCGCTTTTTTCGACGGACGACACGCTGTTTGAGCGTCTTGAGGACAGTTGTCACGTCCATTCCCATGTCTTCAGCGTCTTGTGTTTCATTACGTGCTTGTAGAAAGCTCTGTGTCCCGCATAATTCACACACCATTTCCCCGAAATAATTCGCACTAAAGAACGAGTCACCCGTGGCACCACAATTCTGGCATTCCAGCATGATGACCCAAGTGTACCGGAAGCTTTGACAAATTAAGTATGTATATGAAAAATATAAATACACAGGTAATTCAAAGAGACAGGTTATATAAACTGATCTTGCAGCCCATCGTTTATCATTTATGCCAGGGTATTAGTTATTCGTTTTCAGGATGAATATAAAAAAAACAGCATGACGCGAAGAGCTCCGTTAAATGCATCAACGTGACATTGTTGCATGGTTCTTAGAGTTTGTTCATAGAGGCGACATCGACCGACTGCACATAGTCTTCAAAACCTTCAATGGCTTCCGTGATATCGTCCAGTAGCACCAAATCATCAATAATGACGCACTGCACAAGCAGCTTCTTGATCCCAAAAGCCACAGGTACGAGCTTGTGTCCTTCACCCCACGTCAGACCGTTCACAGGCAGTGCCTTGATCTTAGCAGCCAATTCTTCCAGGTCCGTCTCGGCCTCCCACGGCTTCACCTCAATGACCACCTGAGAGCGTTCGACGGGCTTTTTCTTCTCCTTTTTAGCAGACTTGGCAGCCTCGGCACGTTTCGCAGCAAGGGCCTTGGCAGCTTCATCGTCCTCGTCGTCGTCGTCACCAAACAGATCATCATCATCATCGTCCTCCTCGACCTTTTTCGATACAGGAGCAGCTTTTTTAGGCGCCTCTTTCTTAACCGGGACAGCTTTCTTTGCACCTGCAATGGGCTTCATGGGCTTTGCGCCCTTTATCGGGTGCAACACCGAAAACTTGGCAGTCTGCACGACTTGGAACTTGGTGAGATCGACTGGCATTGTGTCGGCTAATGGGTCAATTTAATACTGAATGTAGTAGAGTCGCTCGTGGCCATTCGTTTGTATTGTGACATTGCAATAATTCAAAAAAACGACAAATTGTAGACGAGAAAGTACAAAATTTACAGTACAAACGGAGAAATTCAGATGAACCGCATCGAGTTACAAGATGTCGTGGCCGATTATCGTGCCATGAAACCGGTACCAGAGCTTATACAGAAGATCAAGACACAATTTAACGAAAATCGACAGTGGGCGTCATTGGAATTTCAGGTAAAAAAAATATTTTTTTTTCCTTAAAAAATTAGTCAAAACCTCAGGAATTTTGAAACGGAAAAAAATATTCTTGTAGGTTCAAATGATACAAGTGGTGGTAAATGATCCTGTTTGTATTGAGTTTGCACCGCAAAGAAAGTATACGTATAAATTACTCAAAAATTACATCGATGGTAAGTTGAAAGTCACTTGAAAATTCCATTCACGGACACCATGGAGCAATAAACCTTTATAAAATTTTATTTCGTAGCTTGGAATGAACTGATTGACCATGTTCCATTGAAATTGTCTTGTAGAGATTGAAATGGTGCATGCTGAAGCTGAAAACGGACTAATGGAAGCATTTATGGACCTTGTGCTGAATTCCAAGCTGGTCGATGATTCATTTAATGCTGAAGCCATGCATCATGTATCGTACACGGTACCTACTGCTAACTCGTCTGTCATTGTGACTTGTCGGGTAGCGTCGGTGTTTAATGAGGTGGGACTGAAGCTTTGGGAAGCTGGATGGCTCCTTGCCGAGTATGTCATTGCACACAAGAGCGAGTTTTACGACAGGAAGGTGCTTGAGCTTGGTGCAGGGGTGGGCTTTACGGGCATGGTGGTAGCCTGTGTGTGTCGGTCGAGTCGTGTTGTGCTCACGGACTACGCACCGACTGTAATCCAAAACTTGCGTTACAATGTCGAGATCAACTCGCACAAATTTATCTGCCCTGTTGAGGTCCAGACGCTGGACTGGGAAACATGGCAGCCAACGGATCATGAAGATGAACACCCAAACATTTTGCTAGCAGGAGACTGCGCCTATGATGTTGAAGCTTTTCCAGCTTTAATGCATGCTCTCCAAGCATTCTTTGGAAAAGGAGAAGAAAGCACGTATCAACAACCGCAGCGCGTGGCGATTTTTGCGGCTACCATTCGCAACCAGAAAACGTTCCAGGAATTTCTCGATCAGCTTGCTATGCACCTCATCGACTACGTTGATATCACGACGGCTGCAATGGAAAAGATAGGAAAACAAACTTTCTCATATCCAAATCGGGAACAGATTCGCATTTGTCGCTTGTCAAAAAGTATTCCTGACACGCTGGCAGACAAGAAATAGGAGGTGAATGGTCTGAAGTGCATCTTGAGAAGTGCCAAAACGACTAACAGCGTCGCTTACAGCGTCGAGGCAATCTGTGAAACCCATTGAAGTTTCGTCCAGTGCAGAACCTGCAACGAAGTTGGCAGCTGCCCAGAAGAGTTTGCAGAATCACATGCCTACATACACACCGATACTGGCGATGTGACCAAATCGGTGGACAAGGTGCGGCGCAACCAAAATGAACGTGCTGAAGTGACATTGCATTAGCAATCACAAGCTAAATGTTGTACGCATAATGCTGACGGTTTCCAGCGCTGATGACATTTTAGTTTGTCGTCCTTGATGGATAGAACCAGTGAATCTGTGCCTACAAGTTACATAACGTCTCATTTATAGCAGCATAGGGGTTGCATTTATCATTAACACTACAGGAAACAGCCAGTAAGTTTGAAACGGGCCAGCGTTACGATGCGATCGTTTTGACTTGAACTACATGTCACACAAGCACAAGGTAGCAATTGTTTCACATGTCGATCGCGTACACCATTGACACAAGTTAGTATCAATTCCAAGACACTTCCAGTCACGTCTCTTTGAATTGTTAAAACCCGAGAGTCGAATTCTTCAATCAGAACAGTCTCACTTGGCCTCGAGCTCAGCAACGAGTTTCTCGTCCTTTTCCTGGCGACGACGGCGCACATCGTAATTAAAAATACGTGCAATATTCACTTCAGTCGTAATGATCGAGTCACGTAAGAACGACAAATCCTCCTCTATCTGAGCCTAAAAACAAGACAACAATTCCAACACATTACCCACAAAGTGTCAGAAAACTCCTCCCTCCAAGCTCACAAAGACCCTTCATCACTAGCTCTCCGTACTAATTTCTCTGTAGCCAAAGCCACATTCTTCTCCAGAAGCTCCTGGGCTTCTTCGTACGAATATTCCACCATAACTTGAGCACCCAGCCAGATACAGACTTTACCCACGGAGCAATTTATTGCTGCCTTGGCATACACATTGTCGGCCAAGTTGAATTTCATATGGAGTATCTCCTCCTCGTCACGTTTAGTAATCAAGTGTCGCACCATGTCAAGATCTTTTTGTGTGTCCGGAATCTTGCGCTTGAAAGTCTCTCGATTCTTCTGTAGACTCGTCTCCATAAATTTATACTTGCTATACATTTGCTGTAATGCCCCTACAAGTGGTTCAATGGTCGTAACGCCACAGGCGGCCAGGAATGAGTCCACAGAATCCTAAACATGATTATGATACAATCAAGAGGTCGTGTCAATATAATTAGTTTTATGTAAAGGGTATAGAGAGAACGCACAAGACGTACTACAAAGACAGCAGAAGGAATCCCACGAGGGTTTCGTTGACCCATTATAGTAGCATTGAGACGAGAAAGTGTCTCGGGGCTCTCAAGGCTTGAGGACATGGGTACAGAGCTGGTCATACCTTGGATGCAATAAATAAATGACTGGTGATGGTGAAAAACGTACTTAGGATGAAGTCTTGTGGCTCAAACACTAAAGTAGGAAGGTCGAGATTATCCGGATACATGGCAAACGTTACGGATATTATGCTGACTTGTTGCCTTAACGTTCTATGATCAAAGTGCATGTGTCCACTGGCTCGACAATGGGTACAATCGACTCAGAATGAAAAAGGGATATCGAAAAAAGTTCATCTAACGGGGCATTGTCTAAATTTTTATGCACTACCTATCGATGCAATTGACAGATGCAAGTAAATTTTGCAACAAGTAACAACCATAAATTGTCAACTGCTGGTATATAAATAACTGCCATCCAACGGTCGTGGATTTTCTTTTAGGTCTTGTAGAGTAATAAAAGTATGGAGTAAGGGTTGCGACAGCCAAGTAAGTGATAGTGACGAAAAGTCATATTTTTTTTTGTAGTAAAAAAAACTGCTTGAAAAACGACTCGTTTGGCTCATTTTAATCACCCAAAGGACGCCATTTCTCACGTCTAACTTAAAAAAAGTCGTTCTTTTGGTTTAAAAAAATTCTTTAAATACCCCTAATCCCGAACCAAGACGTCACTTCTCGAGCCAAAAAAAAAACGCCAAGTCCGGATACTTCACTGTACTCTATGCAGAAAACCGCTGGAAAAGGTCCAGAAAACTCGGCAACTCTATTGCGTTTTTAGTTTAGTTGAAGAGTCTTGATATTAATAGTACATAATAATAAAGCTACGAAACAAGTTTACCATAAATTCCATTTGCAGTTTGCTATTATTGGTACGTTATTGCTACACGCTTTCGAAAAAAAGAAAACGACATTTCATTGATTTTTTTTTGTGTCTCTGTAGCTCCTCATTTCTTTTAACTTTTATCACTAGCTCTTTGTTTTTTATTTTCCATTATTACTTGGTGTTTTGTATTAGCAATGCCAGTACCAAGACAACGAGTATCTTCTCCACATCATGCTGCTTCAATTACTATTGTGACGTTCCAGAATGTTCAAGAGACTGAAAATCATTTGAATCAAGTGAGTCCTCCATATCAAGCAGTTTCTACACCTTGTCGAAATAGTTTTCAAGAAGAGGATCTACCGGTGGAAGAAGTGATACGAAGTCGTAGTCATTCACATGCTTTATCGGCAATTTTAGGTGCTACTGGACGTGTTTCGACCACGGGATCGGTCATTAATTCCGTGGAATGGAGACCATCGAATCAACAGCTTCAGATTACGGGATCAATGACACAGCTGCAACATCGAGAACATGTTGTTGAAGAGGAGGATGAAAAGACGGAATTACCCGTGCGACTTGCGAGATGGAGACGACAGAGACGGAGATGGAAACGAATGCTTTTCTGGATAGGAGCGAGTTTGGTTTTTGTAGGGACTTTTGCACTCAGTTTTCTAGTTCCTCAACAGATTGGGACCTTAGCACCGATAGTTTTGGGAGCTGGACTGAGTCTATTGTCAACGTCGGTGGTACTTGTGTCGTTCTTGAGGAGACGACGACTACGACGAAAACCAAATGAATTGCTGGCGTTTGTGGCGTTGAGTGAGTTTGGCCTAGCGATACTTACGATGACTCACGTCCTGGCAATGTGTAGTGCAGCGACTGGGGAGTGTCGTCCCATGGGATTAATAACCTGCAGTGTTGCTGCGAGTCTGGAGACATTTTTGCTGCTGGCTGGTGTCGGCTGGTTTGGAGCTGCTATATTACATCTTTTCGTGTCGGTCTCGAACCCTTTTGCGAGCTACAAGAGGCAGTTGGTATTTTACCATATTGTGGTCTGGGGTCTATCGCTGATTGCCAGCATTGTGACGCCTCTGGCGCTATTCTCCAAGCCCATGCAAACCAAATTTAAACTCACAGGCGCAGAAATTTGCCGAGCTGTGGCGTTGATACTTCCGTTGCTTCCATCGGATGCTGCAGACTCCGTCGCTAGCAAAACACGTAGGCTGGCGCAGTGGCAGGAGCTGAACTTGGCATTCTGGGGAGTTTTGATCGCCATCGTGGTTGTTGTGGTTGTTGCTGCGCAACTCGGTCTCATAGTAGGTTGGTGGCGATCCAATAGCGGGACAATCATTGCGCTCAAGGCTCGTCGTCGTCTGATGAAGCGCATGGCCGTCTACGTCCATGCTCTCAATGCAGTATGGCTCGTGGTGTTAGTGGCTTTTTTCGTTTACCGGTCAAATTTGGATGCAGTTGCTGATATCCAAGTGCAAGGGGCACCACAGCACGACGATGAAGGAATGAATTTCCTGGCCGCGTTGTTCCATTTCATTCTGACCGCAAAGGGATTTATTACTGGTGTCGTTTGGCTTAGTGTGAACAAGCCATGCTGCGCGCTCGGACTTGCGTCTTGTGGTCTGCACCAGTGTAAAGATGACGAAGAGGGTCCATCGCAAGAGCAAGCGGCATCAGCATCGCAGTCAGCGGCATTGTCGGCATTTCCTCATGAAGAAGCTGGTACTCAACGACTGAATCACCCGGCAATTGTAACCACAACAGCAGTGTCAATGGAGGCGGGTTCGCAGGTGCCGCAAGAAAGAGCAATAACACCGCAGGCATCGGCTGTGTTGACCTATGAGGCGCATGAAAGTGTGCGTGAAAGTACAGCCGTACGATTTCGAGAACGCGATTCACTTCCATCGTTATCACCAGCGATAGATCCTGCGTTAACGGGTAGGTCAAACCGCTCGTCATCATCCTCGTACAATGCTTCCACCATGGAATCATATGAGGCATCGCAGAACAACGAGACACTCCAGCGGGAGATTATTTATTATACTGTTTGTGGAATCACCAAGGCCATTATTCGTTCGGCTGAGCGTGCCAAAGCATCGAACTTCACGACTGGCGATGCAGGGATCGTACTTGAAGAGGATGACATCGCCAATCCTGCAGTAAGGGGTCGTGATAGTGGCATGGTAGAAACAACTCTTTTCGTGGGAGCCGAACGGGACTCGACACTAGTCAACAGTTCGTTCATCTCACACGTGCAAAGCGTGACTATCCTTTCATCACCTCGAGCGTACTGTGAACCGCGCGTGATACCTGCTACTGCACTTCATCATTCAGTAGCTGGCTTTGACCACGGAGAGACTCGTGATAGTGGTGCAGCTGACCGTCCACGTCCTACCTCGTTCAGTGCGACATCAAACTTAGAGTATCGAGGTAATTGGCGCCAGCCGCCTCCACTTTTGCACAGTCGCAGTCAGGGAAGTCGATACAACACCCGACCTGGTTTGAGGGCAAACAACGCCACTTTCCATCCTTTCAGCCAGAATCCTGGGCGATTTTCGCTGTATCCGGTATCTCAAGTTCCCTTCGAGTTGTTTGAACAGGAGATTGAACTGGAAAGCTCACGGTCTTCAATAGGAGAACCGGTTGTAGAAGGAAGAACGACACGATCGACGGTGTTTGCTGGTATACGTCGCACAGCTACTTCAGCGTTTACCCAAGGGAGAGGTGTATTCCGTAGTCGTAGTGAAAGTGCTGAAGCTTCAATCAGCGCAGCTACCGTGAATAATGCGGTGGTGCGTGATTTCCTACCGGACGATCCAAAGCCAAAGGTATTCGTGGACTATGCCCCTCGTGAATTCCGAGCTATCAGGTTGGCATTTGGGCTTTCAGATGAGAAATATTTGGCCAGCTTTCGCACGACGGCCAAGGAGCGAGTAAGTGCTGGGTCAAGTGGTGCGTTCATGTTCTTCTCAGGGGACAATTCGCTGCTTGTGAAAAGTCTCAAGGAGAAAGAGTGCCGTGCGCTTGTGGATATGGCTCCACAATACGCGCGGTACCTGACAGCAAATCCGCACTCGAGACTTATCCGCTTCTTTGGTTGTCACCGTGTACGCCTTTATGGACGCAACTTTTACTTTGCCGTCATGTCGAACGTATTGCATAGCGAGCACCACACTGCGACGATCACAGAAAAATACGACATGAAAGGTTCATGGGTAGATCGTCGTGCACGTCGACCGCAACGTGGTGACCGAGTCACGTGTGCAGAATGTGACGCAACTTACACGTTTGGAGGCAGCAATGAAGATGGTGATGTGGCGAGTACTGCTTCAGATTCTGACGATGGTCACACGTTAGCAGTGAATAACCGTGTAGTTGCGCAGTATCCGTTCCATATGCACCGACCGGACATCGTTCTTAAAGACTTGGATCTGGAACGCTCGCTGCAGTTTCCCCAGCACATTACAGCTCATTTGCACGCTCAGATCGTTTCGGACAGCGAATTTCTTCGGGATATAGGCATCATGGACTATTCACTGCTCATCGGTGTCCACAAGTGTCATTTACGTGCTCCGCGTCCAGGCTATTCAAATGAGGTCGCAGACACAGCGAAAGATATCGACGAAGTGATGGATCGTGAGCTGAATAACGAAGAGTCCAGCAGTGGCAAGAACCTTGCTCCGCTTGGGGATGATGAGGTTTACTTTGTTGGGATCATCGACATTCTACAACAATGGGATTGGGAGAAGCAGTTTGAAAAGGCCGGCAAGGTGTTGCTGGGCAAGCCTGCTCGAGGAATCTCTGCTCTTGCTCCTGCTGCATATTGCCGTCGATTCCAAGCTCGTTGTTCTCAGATTTTGCTTGGTGGTCCAGCTTCTGAAGACATGGATCTGGATTGGGAGGTTGATACGAATCTCGTGCATGTTAAAGAGACCAAGTCCCGTTCAAACTCGAAGGAGGCCAAGGAGATAGCTAACCATATCAGTGAGAAAGCCTAATGCTCACTGAATATGGAGTAGGTCAAGCAGGGCCCCCTACTCCATTTCCAGTACGCATTCTGCTTTATTAGGTGTTAAGTTTATTTGAATCAAGAGTGATTGAAGCATGAATCGTTGCAAGATGTACGTCACGCCCCGGAACATCATCCTTCATTGAATACGCAAGCTACTTACTGACTTCACCAACACAACACATCGTTCAATGCAAACGAGATCGGTTCCAGCAAGATGTCATCATGATGTCCCTCGTAGTATTGAATACTTGGTACCTTTGTCTAAACTGCATGACCAAAGATGGTCGAACGGCTAGAGATGACTTTACAGCACATTGATTTGTGTCAAGGGAGTCATGACATCCTCCTGGTTAAACTCCTTCTCCTCCGTTTCGCCAACTTCTTCTTCCACTTTCTTCTTCTTCTTCTTCGAGCAGCGACCACCACTGCCACAATAGCCACTACTGCCATAAGGCCGAGACCAGTTCCGACGTACGTGCTTGCACCAGTACCATCGTCCGCGCTGCGTTGGGTGTTCACGCTCTGGGTGCTTTCTTCCTGGGGCTTTGACGACAGTGGAGAGACGACCTGAGTCGCTGGGGCCGGAGCATCGACAGTCGAAGCCACCGTAGCCGTACCAGCGGCAGTATCGTCAGTAGCCGTCGTATATACCGAGGTATCGGTCTTGGACTCCATCTTGGGCAACGGCGTAGCATTTTCGTAATCTCCGTCGCATGACTTCACTTTCGAACCTGCAAGCGTCAATGGCATGATGGTGGGGGTCTGAGTCGCTGGGGCCGGAGCATCAACAGTCGGAGCCACCGTAGCCGTACCAGCGGCAGTATCGTCAGTAGCTGTCGTATATACCGAGGTATCGGTCTTGGACTCCATCTTAGGCAACGGCGTAGCATTTTCGTAATCGCCGTCGCATGACTTCACTTTCGAACCTGCAAGCTTCAATGGCGTGATGGTGGGGGTCTCGGTAAGCGTCGCCGTATCAGACTTAACAGCGTCAATGGCGGGAACCAACGCCTCCGTTTGCGTCAACGTTGAAGCCTCCGTCTGAAGCTGAGGAAGGACTTCGATGGTCGGAATCGAGGGCAAAGCTTCCATCGTCGGGGCATAAGCTTCCATCGTCGGGGCAAAAGATGGAGATTGAGTTGGGGCCGGGGTCGGTGCAGCAAATGTCGGCAATATAGCTGACGGCTGTTGCTGTTGCTGCTGCGACAAGCCTTCACTCCCACCCGGACAGAATGTTACCAGGATGGAGGTCGGGTTCGTGCACTTGTGTGCCTTGGTGTCGTCTGTAGGGAAATGGTAAGCGTCCACACATCCATCCTCTAGACACGTGACAGCCGTGCATCCTGCTGGAGATATTTGCATCGGAGTATTGTACCCCGTACTACCCGTTATAGCCTTGCACTCCTCGAGCGACGTACAAGAGGTAGGCTGTACATATTGCACCATCAAAACATCAGTAAGACAATCTCGTATCTCGAAGAAACACGTCCAAGAAACTTACATCATTGACTCCACTCGGGATAATGTTCAGCCCGTACATTAAACAGCCGTCAACCATGGAGAACTCGGCCACTACATTCAGCAACAAGAGACACTGTCGTGAATACCTCCAGCCGATTGAATGCAAAACCCAAAACCATTCACTACTTACAAGTCGCTGGAGAATTGACACCGTCGCGCAACGTGCCGCGAAACCCCAACGAGAGTGTACGGATGGCAGTGCCACCTGAAACGACCGTTTCCACGACGTTGTTGTCAAACAGCTCAATACTTTTACTGCATTGGTTGTACACAGTAATAGGCACCAAAGCCTTGACAGCAACGACCTTTAACGTCACGAAGAGTATCGTGGTCGAGAGATGAATGTGCATATTTTTTTTATTTCAAAGGACTTGTAGCTGCTGGGAGAGGTTTGTCAATGTGAGGGGTAGACCCACTCGATCAACTTGCTCGTATAAATATATTCAGACACTTAGGCTCTACGTCTGCTGCACACCATGCTATGGATATAACATGCGGTAAGGCTTTGAATGGCGTCACTCGTTGTTTCTTGTATGGAAGAGAAAACGTATTGCTGGTTTCGAATTCCAGTTGGCAGCTCGTTCTTAGGGAACGACATATTGGTCACGTAGTAGAGCGCTTTTCGTGTAGGTTTAGAACAGTTTCTAGTGAGGTGACGGACGTCTGTCGCTGCAGGACGATTCAATGGATAGAACTTTTGCTCTCGCCATTTTACCAAGCTGATCTCGTGTTGCAGCAATCATCACTGCACGAAAGCTCGACTCAAGTAAACGTTTGGCTTCGATGCAATTGTCGATGACCCTGTCGATGAGCAAACTTACTGCATTGTCAACAATGCGTCCACGTACTCGGCAAATGCTGATATTCCTGCACAGTTGTCGTATTAATATCCTGAGCAACCTGTCTTCGCATGAAGCATTCTTAACGAGCAGCATCATTTGAAAAGAACCATTGGCCTTGTAAAGGCTGCTCGCTGGTCGACAAATCGAACAAACGGCATCTGTTGTGCATTTCGCCAACATGTGGACGTGTATGACCATCTCAACCTGTCAATAACGGACCATCTTTAAACTTGCTCCATATAGCACTTGCCAATTGGGTTTCACAGCCAACGACCAAGCGACAAAGACCCTGAAAGAACCGGCATACTGGTTCTCTTACCTCCGAGCGCGACTTTCGGTCCCACGAAGCGAACTCTTCTAGACCGTGATTCCGTCCCTTCCACTTCCGACCGGAACTGTATCGCCAGTCTGAGACTACCCATTCCCACTTTCGAGGCGCCTGCATGTCCTCGGGTTTGGTCAAACGACTCTTTTGGAGCGAAGCCCGTCGGGTTGAGGGCAAGCAGAAGGAGCTAGTGAGTGTATAAGAGGAGAGACAAACACTAGTAACTGACTGCTTTAGTTCTGACTACTAGTTATCGTATATTGCTACTGTAGTATAGTGCTAAGACGGGCTCTAGTATGATATGAAACCCTTGAATATGTCAATTGGATAAGACATTGGGTTCATGGCGTCGATCTTGAGGAGAATACGACAAAGAACTTGTCTATTAAGCGTCAAGAATTGGTCTAGTAAACTGAGAAACAAACGTGTAATTATCGGACCTATCACTACTAAATAGGTCTTGAAAAGCTTATAGAAAAAGTGACATGCTTCGACACCAGCACTTTGCATGCATAGGGAGATATCTATAGAGCGCTTTGATAGCTTGTCAATGTTATTCATGTTAAAGTGCGTCGGAAAATCACGTTAAGCACAATTTCAAGATTATGGGTGCGATGATTTTGACACAGTACATATGATGTCAGTATGCATACAATTTCTTTATGTTAGCGAATTGTGCATGATTGGGTTAAATGTTCATTCTAGGTGTTTTTACCCAGTTTGGTACACGCCCAAATGTAATTTTACATCTGGACTATAAGTGATACGAAAACTAAAGGATATATGACTACTACTATTTACTATTTATAGGAGGGCGTATTACACTCAGTATTATTTTTGAGAAAATAGTAATACAATGAATATTGCGGAAACAGCCATTTGGCTCATTTGGCTTGCACAAAGTAATAGAGTTTTAAACTCGCGGGTGATGACGTCTGTAGTATTTTCCAGACCAAGACTCTTGATTTCATATTTTTACAAATACTGATAGATGCAATAATTTATGATCAGGCTGGTAAGCTTGCAAATAAATGTCGTTTTACATTTGACTTTCTGCATCTATTGCTGCAGGATGATAACAATAAAGACCTGGCGATTGTTTTGCTTAAGAAGTAAAGTATATTAACGCTTTTTGACAGCCTCTTTATAATGAAAAAGGAAAGGAAACAAAGTAGGTCTTTGCTCTCGTGCCTCTAATGTATCCTGCGCAATGCAAGAATTTTTTTTCTAACGCAAAGACTCATATACAACGAAAAAAAAACTTTCAGCTTGCATTATCGAATTCGAATATTGAATTTTATCTGCTACTATAAATGGAGAAAGACTAAAGATAATTACCATATGTAGATCGTATAGCATGGCCAATTTTTATCCTAAAATGATGTTATGCAATTTTTGCTCGTCATCGGCAAAATTCAATAGCCGTAATAAGCTCGAATGACAAACAGTGCCTACTTTAGGCTCAAATCCCTTACGTAATCACATGCAAATTAATCAGATGCATCTTACGTGTCCACTTAAAGTAGCCATTTCGTTTCCGTTATTGTAATAATGCTCTTATTTTGTATATCCACAATAATTTCGTCATTTTTATTTATGACCTGTCAAAATCAAGTGTCAAGACACCACTATTACCTGTTGTCTATCTTGCTGTGTCCATGGCTCTGCTGTCATCTTCTCGCCTCGAAGCCATCCGTCTTATTCGTGAACAACTCCAGTGTTCATTATGGTACGTCATACTTTCCGTCTCTGTATTTTGATTCCATCTAATACTTGAATGCTCTTTAACTGTAGTGGTAATATATTCCAAGACCCCCAATGTCTCGACTGTAAACATAATTTTTGTCGCCCGTGTATCTTGTTACACCTTAAAAAGAACAATTCTTATTGTCCCAATTGTCAATTACCTACAAGACCGAGTGAAGTGACGCATAATCAATTTTTGGAGAGCATTTTACTGGCCTGGAAGAGCGTCGAGACGGAACTTGAGATTTTAAATGGAGATCCGGCACTCCATGCAGGAAAATTTACAGTACAAGACACAGATCAAGCACTCTATCGAGCTGTTAATGGGTCGGGTGCAGTGACAATAAATAAAGACAGTCAACAGGAAGAGAGGCAGTCTACGAGAGGAAGAGTAGCCAATAACAAATGGCACATTAACACACAGGAAATTCGACAAGAGCTCAAGTTAGAACAACCTTATTTATCACAATATTATGGCTCGAGACGACCAGGGAATACGGATGGTTGGAAAAAAACGAGTAGTAGTGACTTGTCGGATGATTACGGAGGAAGTGCTAGAAAAGAAGATCAAAACAGTAGACATAGACGGAATGGGAGTAGGGAGAACAAGGAGAAGGTGTCGGTGGATGAGGTGAATCAAGTGGAGCGAGAAGAGATGACGAGATGGGTACAGGGCGGTAAAGAGGAGGAGGAAGAGGAGAATGATGGATTCGTATCGTCATCGATTCATAGTTTGATGGCAACGCAAGAGGTGGAAAGTTATATGAACCGAATTACGAAACAGCGGGAAGCGTTGAGTCAGTGGGAAAGAAGTGGACATGGAAAGAGTGGTGGAAAGGCGTCGCTGCTGGCTTTGGAACGCTCGTTACACAGCAGTTATGATTTTGATGAGTTGCTGAAGGAACGACAGAGAGAGTCGCAACACTATGATGATGACGGCGACTTGTTGACGCAAATGACACAGATGACTCAAACGTCACCATATACTAGTGCGCTTGAGTCGCCTGACCTACTTGCTTCGTACCGACGGCAACAGTACACAGGCCACACCAAAAACGACAACCATCGACGGCGAGGAAATAAAGCGAAACGACGGGTTTTACCTACGTCATCACCACCATTGCATCCTCGAGGTCGAATATCGACGCCGTCACGCAAACGACTACGCATGCCCACTCTTCCGAATAATCACTCGACTTGCGGCCACATCACCGCATCGGCTATCGATTCCTCGCAAATTATTTCAGATACGGATAACGAAGATGAAATACCGGACAGTCAACCAGCAACAATGCTACTGGATGAAGCAGATAAGGAAACTGATGATGAAGAAGAGTACGAGACGAAGCCAGCAGTACCCTTACCACACACGCCTGATTACAAAATGCCTTTATCTGATCGACACTGCGAACGTCTAAGAAGTTTGTTTTCACGGAAGAAAGAACACGATGACTATGGGAGCGCTATCATGGCTTTCCAGTCGGAACACAAATACGGTAGTGGCAGTCCCAAGACTCAAGCAGCCAGACAATTGAAGTATTCTGTTTCGCAGAATAAGACTGTAGCTGGTGCTATTGCAGCTACAAGAGACGGCAATATTGTAAGATCAAATTCCGCTGGAAGCTCGTCAAAGCCTCCCAAGCACACTTCGACTAGCAACTCAAAGCGTTTGGAGGGTGGCTCGAATTACGTATTCGTGAGCTCTGATCTTACCCGTGAGAAAGTCAAGTGTGTGCTTGAGGCAACTCATCGTCTAGGGGGCAAGTTTGGACATGACTTTGATCTCAAGCGTGACCCTTTAACGGGCCACTTTTGTACATCCGTGACGCATTTGATCACAAAGGCAGTACCTCCTATCGGCGCCATTAGTGGCACCGAACCGGACGAATTGCGATGTAAGCGGACCGCCAAGTATATGCGTGGACTGGCTGAAGGTACTTTTGTGATGGACTTTTCTTGGATCACAGCCAGTCTAGCTGCAGGTAGATGGCTAACGGAAGAACCTTTTGAGATGATTGGTGATATCTACAGTGATGCAATTGGGAAACCACACGAAGGTCGTATCCGTCGCATGCAAACTGGACGACGTAACAGTATTTTCAGCATGTTCAGCTTTGTGCTTCTTGTATCGGAACAAGAATTTGATTTCCAGTTCAACTCGGTGAAAAATGTGGTCAACAATTTTGGAGGTACCGTCGTCAATGCCGAGAGTTTTGCTAAACCGAAAAAGAAGAATCGATCACGTCGTACTTCTGTTGGTGTCGTATCGAAAACAACTTTACCTTCGGATGCTAAGGCGAAATGGCAGCAATTTCAAATTCCAATTGTACGTATCACGTGGATTTTCGATAGTGTGAGTCATCTTGAAGTACTACCTTTTGACGACTACTATCCGTACTAAAACGTTTTGATTATATCAAAAATTAACAACACGTTTCGACATTTTTAATGTTTGCTTTTCTCGTTTTAACGTTTGCTTTTCTCGTTTTTACTTTTTTTCCATTTTAAGCTTAATTTTTTGCTTGATTGTCGTTTTTACCACGTTGGTTTCCTCTTTTCAGCCATATGGTCTCCGTCAACTGGCACTTGCATCTCAAAAATATCCATCTGGCCTTCGTTTTTCACTAAAATTGTCAACATGCAAAAAAACACGAGTGTAAAAACGGATAAAATCCTACTTTTTAGACATGTTTTTTTTCGCACCTGCAATGTTAATATTGGCCCCACTGGCAACTTTGATGTGGCGCTGTACGCACTCGAGTAGCTCCTGCTGTAGTGCCGCTAGATCCACACCCGTTAGCACTTGGCTACCCCGTTGATGCGCCAAGATAATTTGTAAACGCTCCTTAACAACCGACTTTGACGATGACGAGTGCCCAGCGTCCCCAAAGAAAGACGCCAACCATTTTTTGGTGCTGTGACGAGAACTTGCACCCACACGAGCCGCCATGTTTTGGATTTGATAGAATTTTAATGGAAAAAAGAGAAAAAAGGTAACAATTGGTACCTATTTGGATATGAAAGTACCCAATTTTATGTATTTAACCAATGAATATTCACCAAGCAAGGCAGATATGCAATTTTAAGGTCAAAATGTTGGAGCAACTTCATCAATTCTTTTTCCATACATGGACTTTATACTAACAAGCTATTTAATCTGTAGTATTATACGAAATGCATATAATTGTTTAGTGGAATTGGTCAGATAACTATGAAGTCACTGGATCTTTTTATTGTGAGTACAGTTTTCCAAAACGGAGACTGCACTCTCACCTGTTGTGTTCCTCATTCCAATTCCTATTTTTAATCTACTTATGAGCACGAGTGTTGTGGTATTCAGCTGAAATTGAAAAGTTACACTTGGTTCTCGTCACGTTCAGAGGAATGCGTTCCATCCGTCGGACAGGGATAAGTTTAAGTCATCATGATACACACACACACACTTTCTCCCTACAGAATTAGTTCAAAGAAGTTCCGTTGAATCCAGGCAGAGCAGCTTAATATGCAACAATATTCGTTGAGTGATCAGTCAAGAGGGAGTGACCCCTCGGAAACAGTTCTCTTCATCGTTAATGACTCGAAGCGAGCTGGGTTGAATAATGTCATCATTACACTCTATATACAAGCAACAAAATAGAGAAATAGATATGTAGAAGGAATGCTCATGCACAAAGCTGTTGACAATGTGCTCTGAAGTACTCAACACAGAAGTTCAGACTGGGGCGGCGACATTCATGATTTTCAAATCATTACATTCCAAGTGATATGTAGGAAAGGCTGGTTACTACCAGCTACATTGAATAGACAATCGTCCTGGGGTACAGGAGGTAATATGTAAGTGACTGTTCTTCATGTTGTCAGTGTGTTTGCTTTCAAAATGGTTGGTTGTCAAAGATCGGTCCGGTTACGTCTTAACCGCGGTTATGCGAGTGGTGGAGTACAATATCTACGTGTTGTATGATAAAGAGAAACCCATTTTAAAGAGTTTTAACGTTGTTATATCGAATTTAATTTATCTTGCTTTAATTACAAACCATAGTGCAGCATTTCGAATAATGTAAAAGTTACTATATATTAAAAATATAAGGGGCGTTTTTTACACGATTGTATTGCCTCTGGATCCGGACGGCCCGCGTACAAGCCAATATGCGTAAATAGTGTGACTTGTGATTATAGTGAAACAAATTTAAATACGGTCAGAAATTACCTCTAAAAATCTATGGCAATAGTTTTTTATTATGCCGTTTAAAAACCCCCCTTTTACACAGATAAAATCTGAATATTTAATAAAATATATGCCACAAATACTGAATGATACGGGAGAACCTGTCTAAATACATACTCTAAAAATGCCATTGTTCTACAAAAGTATAGGTTTAATGATTTAGGACAGGTAGCACATGATCGTAAAAGACCGCTTAAGGCCGAGCGAACCAGTTATATTATAGGGGATATTATATTACAGAAAATAAGGTTAGACAGGCTCTACGGTACACTCTTATCTATCAGCTGCTCATCGGTTCTCCCATCCCGCCCAGAATCTTTGCGATTTTAAACACGTGCCATTCCAAGGTCCCCCTTTAGTTAAAAAAATGGTTAGTACGTGGCGCATCATTGGTGTATTGCTATGGAAAAACTATCGCACAAAACAGCGTGAAGGAAGCATTAATCGCGGTGAAAATCGCAGTCGTTGGATATTTCCTGCGCTTGTAACGGATATTGTCGTTCCACTAGGAATGTTGTTGTTGCTCATAAAAATATTATGTCAATATAATGCGGACTTGATGACGCCAGGTGATAGTCTCATTAATATCGAACAATTAAAGGCTCTGGCGTCGATGACGTCACATAATACTGACAACATGACAAAACAGATGGACTCGGAACCGGCAACGTTACTTTTGACCGCCTTACCGTTACTTTTGGCCCGCAGTAATCAAACGTTGGCAATTTTGAATCGACAAGAATCGGCAATGTTTATACAATATCTCGATAAGTACGACTTTTATCTCTTTTGTTTTATTTTATCTGGATAAAAAAAGAAATATCCTAAAATCCGTAAACCAAACTAACTTGTCATTTGTATAGTGCATATCCAGGAGCAAGTGAATTGGGAATTCCTCGATATATCGAAATGACGACGATTGTGCCATTTAATACGACCATGTCAAATGAAAAAGCAGATAAAATCTTGCTGGATTTTCCGAAAAAAAGTGGATTAAATATTTACGCTGGCTTGGATGTAAGACGCACGATGGTCCAAAAGGGCGATAATCTCTCGTATTCATTGGAATTATTGGCCCTCTTTTTTCAAAAACAAAATTTTGAATTGCCCGATGAAACTCAAGTGAGTAAATATTTCTCGAAAGAGTTGACATTTAATGAGACAATGTCGTTTCCCGATATTTTGCCATTTCAAATGTCTCTAAACATGTTTGTGCGAGAAAATACGACCAGATATTCCAATAATCATGTGTTTAACGTAAGTTCACTATCTCCTGAACTTATTTGTTCACTTGTGGATAAAATGTTGGATTTAAGTGGACTTGCATGGGATGTTTTTCCACGACATTCACCATTGGGACAAAATGTAACCGATTGTCAAAGTGCCATTGAAAAGAACGAATTATCAACGGATATTTGGAATTTTTTGAATAATCTCATTAGCAAAGTCGCTTCAAATGATGAATTGAATACTTTAAGTGTATCGACATTGCCACCGCGACCTGCAAATATTCTTTCTGGACCATTAGAAAGTAATATTGTTTTTTATTTGGCCTATTTGTTTTTATGGCCATACATTCGATTGATTCAAGATATTGTCGGTGAAAAAGAAAAACAATTGAAAGAGTATTTACTTATTATGGGACTCCAGGGATCGTCACTTTTATTTAGCTGGTTTTTGCTGTATTTTATGGCTTCCATTGTTGTGGCAATTATTGGCACGTTACTCCTTAGTGGCAGTATGTTTACTGCAACGGCAGCAGGAAGTGTCTATTTTTTTCTGCTTTTGATACTTTTTATATCAAGTATTTTGCTGTTTGGAATTGCGATTACACCAATTTTTAACCAGTCAAGAACGGCAGCAGCATGTGCTCCATTGGTGTATTTTCTCCTTAGTACGGGATCTTTTGTCCGGTCGTTGGTAGGAGTTGATGCAATTGCATCCTCCAATTTACTGGCATTATTGTTGACAGTGCTTGATGATATCAGCTCTCCGGTCGTCTTTATGACTACGTTGCATGAAATTATAGCAGTTGACGCAGTCACGTCACTTCGTCGACCACTCACTTGGAACACCGTAGCGATACCGTGCCGTCTGATGACGTTTCAATGTGCAGGATATCTACTTCTTGGATGGTACTTGGAGAACGTGTTTCCACGCACGTACGGAGTGCAGCAAAAATGGTACTTTGTCTTGCAGCCGTCCTACTGGTTCCCCCAAAACTTTGATCAACAGTCGTTCTCGGATGATACTGAAACGAACGAGCTCATTCGGCTGAATAAATTGGACTCAGATAGTTTTGATGAGCGGATGGATGACACACTTCGTGAAGAGTCGCTCACAGAGTACTTGCAGCACTATCGACCAGCACTTTTTGTGAAATTACTGTCAAAGACGTATTCCAATGGAAAAGTGGCACTGGAAAACGTATCGTTTGGTGTAAGGAAGGGAGAAATATTTGGACTTCTGGGTCCCAATGGTGCCGGCAAGAGCACAACTTTGTCGATTTTGAGCGGAATTATATCGCCCACTAGTGGCGATGCGTATGTTGGTGGGTCTATCAGCGTTGTGAACAACCCACAAGCGGTACGACAAAGTTTGAGTGTTTGCTTCCAGCAAAACATTTTATTCGGCGAGTTGACGGTTTGGGAGCATCTATCACTGGTGTGTGCCCTTAAAAACAGCCTGGGGATCAAAACTGTCTCAGAGGAAACCTGGCGCAAAAACTTGCAGCAGTTTGGGCTCGAGGAGAAGCGTGACGCCCTGGCAAAAACGTTATCCGGCGGCCAGAAGCGCAAACTGTCGCTCGTTTTGGCTCTGTTGGATTCATCTCGGGTGCTGTTGCTCGACGAACCCACCGCTGGTATGGACCAGAAAGCTCGTTTAGAAACCTGGGACGCACTGAAGCATGCCGTGACCCATCGTGCCGTGATTTTGACCACCCATTCGATGCAGGAAGCGCAGGCATTGTGCGAGAATATTGGTATTGTCGCTGAAGGCAAGTTGAAATGTTGCGGCTCCAGCTTGTTTCTTCGGAATCGACTTGGGGTGGGATACAAACTCACCATTGTTCGTCGCGAGGATACCGGCCAGGACGACGAACACAGCCATTTGCAACGACGGCAACAAGCGTGGACTGATTTGTTGATGAAGACGCTTCGAAAGTATGTTCCGAAAACTACTATCTTGAGTGACAATAAGTGGGAAATGCGTGTACAGCTGAATAATGGAGAGGAGCGGTGTTTTGCGGATCTTTTTCGAGAGCTGGAAAAGATGAAGCAGGCCGGGAGTATCAAGCGCTACGCGATTGCAGCGACTGACTTGGAGGATGTATTTGTGAAGATGACCGAGGGCGAAGATGTTTATTATCACGCCAAGGATGATGTCGAGAACGATGATATTTTTGAAAGCACTGACCCAGTGCTTTCTAAAACAGAGACGACGAAGTCCAAGTCTAAGATGCATTTGCAAACTATTGACACTGACAGGAAACTGCCAGGGTGGAAAGTGTCGATTTCGCAGGTTCGAGCTTTGATTATCAAGCGTGCTAAGATGTCTTTTCGGGATAAGAAAACCCTATTTGCTCAGTATGTATGGCCGCTTGCCTTTTATGCGATCCTCATGGCCGTGATTAAAAACGTGCTTACTGCGAGTGACACCATTGAGACACTGACGACTTTACCTCCGTCTGAGAAAGAAGCATCGTTCTTTGTATCGTCTGCGTCAGCGGTGACAGATTCTGTTGCGGACATTGTTGCGCAAATTGAACAAACTTCTAACCCGATTGTGTTCGACAAGAACGTGCAAACTGAGCAAGCCATGTTAGATGTGATTGCGCGTGAGAACGACACAACTTTTTTTGCTGGAATATTTGTGTCAAACGTCAACTGGACGTCAGACAATTCACTTTCTTCCCCGGTGATGGCGTATTCGCTATACTACAACGAAACATTGCGTCGCTCGTTGCCGGTAACCCTGCAATGGATGTCACAAGCTTATTGCAAAGCGCGCTTAAAGCAGGAGAATGCAGTTGCGATCGATAACTGCGATTTGATTGTTAAAAGAGGAGTGTTTCCGGTTAAAATTGAGATTGGCACCGGGGTAAGCACTGGTGAAGATGACGTGGAGTTTGACCCTGATGAAGCTATCAATATTATGCAACGGATAATGATGGCCTTTTACCTTCTGATGACGATGAGCTCCATTGTGGGATTTTATGCTGCGCCGATTGTAAGAGAGAAGGCATGCGGTATCAAGCGCATGCAGTATCAACATCTTGAGACCGCTAATGCGTCGTTCTTGTACTGGTTATCGAACTACCTGTTCGACGTCATGGTGTACACTTTAGCGATTATCGTCATTTCTATCATACTCGTGGTGTTCTCGAACTCAATGAGTAATTCGATCCTCGCTGCCTGGTTTGTCTCTATGATCGTCTTCGGTTTGGCGATGCTTCCGTCTCAGTACTTAACCTCGCTAGTTTTCGCATCACATTCGTCAGCGCAGTCGTATATGTCGTACGCTTCGCTGTCTCAAATTATGGCGGCATCCATCGTGTTTGCGTTGTCGATGGTTCCTGGTTTGTGTGTCAAGGCGAACACTATCGCGCATTTCTTGCAAATTATGCCATTTTATACGTTCAGCATTGCGATGCTGAATATCGTGACGGTGTCTTGGACTCCCATGCGACAGCAATGTCTTAAGGTCGACGGTGGCCTTGATGATGGGAACATATTGACTTTGTTGAAAGGTCTGGGCGACAAATCTGAAAATATGGTGTGGGATTGGGAGGTCGCTGGGAGCTGTTGGTTTACCCTCGTGGTGTTAGCTGTGGTATACACGGTCATGTTGATTATTATAGATCAGCATGAAATGTACCCGACGGAATTCAAGTACAAGATTGGTCTCGCATTACGACGGGTGCGAGGCTATTTCTGCAGGCGCTTTTACGGGCAGCGTTATACAGAAGCCGATCAAACTGGTGTCGATTTTGACGAAGAATGCCCTAACGCGGATATGGTGCGTGCGATTCGAGTCTCGAAGGTCTATAATATGTTGATCAAGACGGAATCAGGGGGGCAAAACGTAGCTGCAGATGATGAGGCCGATGCTGCTGTAGTAAATGGCAACGGCCAAGTGGTAGCCCTGGACGATGTCAGCTTTTCTGTTGAGAAGAGAGATTGTGTCGCACTGCTGGGCGTCAACGGCTCAGGCAAATCAACGATGTTTGAGATACTGACGGCTAAAGTTTCTCCCACCGGTGGTAAGGCAATGATTGACGCATATGATGTGACCGTGGAGGCCCGACATGCCAGCACGAGATACGGCTACTGTCCTCAGGATAACATTTACTTTAACGACTTGAGCGTACGTGAGCACCTTGAACTGTTCTACCGCCTTCGATGCTGTAGAAGCAGCGCTATGCTGTCTGAAGGTGCCGTTATCGACAAGCTCATGAAGCGGCTGGATTTGTTCCCGGTCGAAAAAACCGCAGCTTCGCATCTAAGCGGTGGAAATAGGCGGCGGCTTATGCTAGCACTGGCACTTCTGAGCGATCACGCCTCACTCTTACTTTTGGATGAGCCTTCTGCTGGCGTGGATGTCGTAGCGCGGCGGCTCATGTGGCGTGTTCTGCACGAAAAGCGGCAAAGTCGCAATCGAACGAGCTGCCTATTCACAACTCACAGTATGGAGGAGGCAGAGGCTGTGTGCGCAAACGCAGTGGTGCTGCTCAAGGGGCAGGTAGTGTGGTCTGGCAGTATTCCTGACTTAAAGCAGCGCGTATCACGAGGAATATCGATCAGTCTACGGCTAGACAGCTCTGCCATTTGGAACCCTGACGAGGTGGAGCTCTACACTGAGCAAATACAGCGCTCACTCGAGTCCAAGCTGTCACGAACAGAGTTGGAGCGGAGTAGCCTCCTGGTGCAAGAACTCGAGGAAGCCTGGAAGCTTTGTCACGATCTGTTGCACAAGAGTGGTGACACCACTGCACCGACGGTTTCTCAACAACGTAACAAGGATTGGTTGGCAGGTTTACGAGCTCGTTTCGAATCAGACGATAGTGTGCCAAATGTTACTGCGGCCATCCCAATCGTTGAGTTCGTGCAGGAGTGGCTTGTGCAAGAAGCGTTTATTCGTCTCGAGACTCAACTCCTTCGAGACGAAATGACCACTCGATCCGGTGAGGTTGTGGTTCCAGCAGACCTTGAAAGTGCTCGTGGAAGTGGCACCAATACAAGCGGAGTGTACGAAACGTCGTGCACGGAACGTTTTGGGTTGGCTGACGTATTTGCGCTCATGGAAGAGAACAAAGAGCGCTTCAACATTTCGCAATACAGCATTAGCGAACTGTCGCTGGAGCGCGTATTCGAGCAGTTCCAGTGAGTAGAGAGAGAAAGAGAGAGAGAGCGAGAGAGAGAGAGAATACTATTGTTTCAACAGCTTTGAATCGTCACAAAGCAGGTTTGTTTGATCTGATGCAGGTTGAATGGGAAATAAACTTCACAGCGTGATTGTGCCCAATGGACCTCCCGACATAGTACTCGCAAGTCGCCGTACTGACAAACTGATACTTTGCATACGAGTCCGACAGTATGCAGAGTCTCAGTTGGCTCCTCCACCAGTCCATTTTGCGATCGAATGACTGTCAATACAGTGCCAGTGGTCGACATCAGCGCTCTCATGTCGTTTGCAACTGATGTAGAAGTAGACGCAGCATTGGGTGACCACGATAATGAAATCGTACGTCAGATGGTTGAGGAATTCCATGCCGCGGCTACGGAGTGGGGCTTTTTCTACATTACGAACCATGGACTACCAGACCAAGAGATTGATAGATTTTGGACTGCGATGCAGTCGTTTTTTCGTCTACCAAGAGACATGAAACACTCGATACGTCGTCATGTTACGAACTCGAGAGGGTACTTTGATGACGAATTGACCAAGAACAAAATGGATTGGAAAGAGTGTTTTGATTTTGCAGGGATCAAGGAAGAGGGTCCAGTGGATGACAAACATGAACGGTTAGGAGATGATGAAAACCTGTGGCTTGATGAGAAGGAGTTGCCTGGATTTCGTCAAGAAATGATCCAGTATTACAACAAGATGGAGTTTCTCTCTCGTCGACTATTGAAAGTGTTTGCCGTTGCATTGGGTGAAACGCCAGCGTTCTTTGATCAGTTCTTCCATGGTGACAACTCGAGTTTCTTGCGTCTGAACCATTACCCACTAGCACCCGAGTCGGACAAGATTATGGGTGTGTATCAACACACGGATGCTGGTGCGTTGACTGTACTGCTGCAGGATGACAATGTGGCATCATTGCAGGTGTTTCATCGCGACTTGCAGACGTGGATGCTTGTTCCACCACGTATAGGGACGTTCACGATTAACATTGGGGATATGTTGCAGGTGTGGTCCAACGACAAGTTTGTTGCTCCGCTGCACCGCGTGCTTGCGAAGAAAGATGCAGATCGACTATCCGCGCCGTTTTTCTACAATCCTTCGTATAAAGCTGAGGTGAAACCTATTGTGGCAAAGGAAGGTGAGAAACCCAGCTACCGTCCACTGAGTTGGCGTGAGTTCCGTCTAGCGCGCTTTCAGGGAGACTATGCTGATAAAGGCAAGGAGATTCAGATTGATGACTTTAAGATTCATGGTCCCAATCTCTAGACGACGACTGCTTGTCGAGTGCCGATACTTGTTGAATAACATTGGTTGATCATGCGAGTAGACGAGATGTAGCGTGAAGCAGTTCGCTCGTAGACATGAATCCTATCATTTTGAAGACTTTTGATTTCCATTCAAAGACGCCATTGAGGTAGTTACGCACAACAAAGTGAACACCAACTTGTAACAGGCTGTCACTTCAAATACATTTGACCCTATCCTTGTCTTTGTCCTATCAACTAACTGTGCATTGTTCGTGTGCTATGTTTGATACTTCGTCGAATCGCTCCGTCGTACAGCGCTACATCTTGATATGTATCTCATCGTTCTTGGTAAGGTTCAAGCAAATCACGCACTGGTCAGCGTGCTATGTTGACATGAGAGGCCGTGCATGGCACTCTTTTTTCTTCATTGTTCACATGTCAGTGTCGGTGCCATCCTTCATCTCTACCAGGCACCTCCCGACGAGCGCGTTCTCCGACGCTCCATGACCGGAAACTTAAGTTCCGGTGCCATCTCCGGTGGCTCACCACCGGTACGACGGAAGCCAAAGCCACGCGTGCCATCCGGCCCGATAGCCTGGCGGTACAACTGGGTAGGTCCAATACCTGGAGGGGGCGCCAACATATTGCCCCCAACAGTGTTGTTGTGTACGGGTGACTGCGCCATCCGCGGCGACGACAGGTTCAGCTTTGGGCGCGTGCCTGACGACGACGAACGAGTACGGAAAGCTGCCGGCTGGGCTGGAGCACCCACTGTCGCTGCACGGCTACGCGACTCCCATCTACTTGGCGATGGCGCAAAGTAGTCCTTCTGCCCATTTCCACTTGACGAGCCTCCACTTAATGCAGCCAAACCACTCAAACCACCACCATTACTGGCATCACCCGTCAGGTTCGAGGGCGGACGAAACTCCAGCTTGACTTTACTAGCGTACTTTCGACCGCTCTTCTTGTTCTTGCCAACAGTAAAAGACACGTAGTCACCCTGTCGAATGTCCACATTTCCGTCTTCATCGGGAATAAGGCGAAACGAGATACAGGCCGAATCCTGTCGTGTCGGTGTAATGAGTCCACCGGCACCACGGATAGAGTAAACGGTACCAGTGTTCACCTTGCCCTCACGAAGATCGTCCAAGCCTTCACCGACCGACTCTACGTGCACAGGGCGCGTAACTGCAGAAGCCGATTTGGCACGACGGCGATCACCACCAAGTTCCACTGGAAACATTTTCTGCTTCAACTTGTCACAATTTGTGCCGTCAAAGAGCACCACCTGCATGCCCGTGCGCCAATTGTACTGATCTGATAACGTCAAGACGGCGTGCTTCGTCATCTCGTCGTCTACGAACTCAATGATAGCGTATGTCTCGCCCGCCGCAATGGGAGGCTTTAGCACAGCATTACGACCGGTTGTTGTGTTTTTCTTCAGCAGGCGCAAATACGAAATCTCACCACATCCCTCAAATGTTTCGCGCAATGAAGCAACCGACGCGTCTTCCGACAAGTTATAGGCAATGGCCGTGCGAGCTAACTTGCCATGGTACGTCTGGTTCGGACACAGTGGTTCTTTACGACACACCATACTCTCGTCTTCATTTAGCAGCAATTTGGTCGACAATTCCAATGCCTTCTTGATCTCGTCCATGTCGCTCGTCAACTTCTTCACTCGACCAAAGGAGGCCAGCAATTCCAGCTTCACATATCCATCAACATTCATGTTTTTCAACAAGAACAAATCTCCCAGCAAGTTTTCATCACAGAAATAGTACTCCAATTGATCACAAACCGTGCGGAGAAACGTAGCCGGCAGCGGGGCACCCGATGAAAACCCACCACAACCATCAACTTGGTGGCCAGCTTCATTATTCTCGTCACTTGGTAAGTGCAATGACTGCACGGCCTGTCCAATTGCTCCAACTACCATATCATCACTACATGAAGAAGATGGCTCCATAATGGTAAGCACCGGAGGCGGTGGACCCTGTGGCAGTGGTGGCTGATTTGGTCTCAAATTCCGATTCTGCCTCTGAATCTCATGTTGATGCTGCATCGCAGCTGCAACAGACAGAGACGTATCATCTGCAAGTGCATTCCAGGCGGATGCCAGTGCTGACGGCTGAATCGGAGCCGAAAAAGAGCGATTACGAGTTGGCGTATAGTACTGCGAAGCCAATTGAGCCATGACATCCATTTCATCCGAATGATCTTCATTTTGATGACTATTTCGGCGACTATAAGATGATGAAGATAAAAAGCCATCGGTCACAAAGGACGGTAGAGGCGGATTCCCATTCTGATTCTCAAAGTTTGAAGACATGTTCGAAGAAAAAAAATGTCTTGGAGGGAAGAAATGAAAAGAAGGACTGAACCGTTGAGCCTATTGTGTTCCAGGAAAGACAATGCACATCAGTTTCTAGTCATTAGAATCATCATAATAATAATTGAGGGATTCGTTTTCAATTGATAAATCAAAGTCTGTCTGTACCTGTCTTGACAATGAGGTTACGGATTGAGTGACAATTCAATCTATCAGACACGTCTCTCTTATTCACACTCGCTTTAGTATGTAACGTAGATGTTGACAGTAGACGGTTGGAGGTCCAACGCGTAGCGAGTCTCTTGAGCAAAGAGGAGGATGAAGCTGGAGCTGATGGAGTAGTGTAGCTGGTCCGACACTTGACGCTTGTTTTGTTTATTTAAGCCCCCTCTGTTTTTGCTGCGATCTCATGTTAAGTTGCAAGAGAGACAGTCGAGCAACTTGTCATGTTGCGGATATAAACGTTCAGTCCATGTCGATGCGTACGTTGCGATGAGGAGAAAAACCTTAAGGTTTACAAGATCTTTCTGCAACTTAGGCTGTTTCCCCCGCGACTTCAGCTTCAACACGTGTTTTCTTCAAAGAGTTGTCACGATTACAGCCATCAATCCGACTATTTTCGTTTTATCAAATGTATACATTAGTGAAGTAAACTTGTGAAGGCTTTTAGAGTCGGAGCATTGCAGCTGATCGAGGTTACGAACGTGTGGTTTACATGAAGCTTCATGGCTACCACGCACGGTCGATTTGCTAGTGAGTCAACTGCCTAATATATGTGGTATTGAACATGTACATGACCTTCTTATTAGTCAAGAGCTGTTATATGGACAATTTGATACTTACATTTAGTCGACTATACAGTTTGCTTACTACTGTATAAGCAAGATGTAACTGGACTCGTGACTTCAGACCTAGTTGTTGCATTGTTTTGTCTAGATTCGAGGGATTGCAATGTTATAAAAAGTAGTGTTTCGGCTGATCGTGACAATCCATTGATCTTTGTGTTTATAAACGCTGCCGAAACTGATCTGTCTTGATCTCAGCTGCGTCACTATCGATGAATGTTACATGCAGAATGTCATAAATTGCTTGGTCTTCGTCGTTAGATCTTATGATAAAGGTCTTGGCAATTCGTCAGTAATGTATTGAGTACCTACCTCAATGGTCTATTGACAATAGACAATTAAGTTGCATCCACATTCAATGACCGTCAACTGAGTGCCAGTTGTCGACATAAGCGCCCCTCATGATATATTCAACTGATGTTACAGTAGACGCCGCAATGTCTGACCTCATTGATGAGGTCGTATGTCGAACCATAAAGAAGTCTCATGCACAATCACGAATGAGAGACAACACATCCCACATGAACTCTTTCAAATAATGCGATCTCTGCATCTCCCGCAGGCCCTGAACCAATAAAATACCTCTCAACACGAAGCCACGCGTACTGCGTTTGTCTACAAACTGTCCAAACCTCATACCTCAACTATCCGCATCACCACCAGCATCAGCATGAAGAATGTGCTAGTGTTCCCCCTGATCGCAGTCGCCGTTGCTTTCACCACCGCTACGACCACAAACGATGTTCCATATTCCACTCGAATGATCGAGAGCGTCATTAGTCGTAAGCAGGGTGTTGTCTCCTCTGGTGCTCCTACAAGCTTTCTAGAGTCTGGCATCCTCACCCTTGCGATTCAGTCCTGGCTTAGTATGTACAGCAAACATGAGGACTCGAAGCGCGTCACCACCTTTGCGGGATATGCTGACTCTATCATTGCGTCTATCTCGCCGTCTTTCACGGACCCCACAGTCACTGCGACAAAGCCTTTGGACAGACTCACGATCGGTCAAGCTCTTTTGAACATTAAGGCTACCCATGGCACCCTCACAAAGACTCAAATGGATACGTTGTCGACGCTCAATGAATCTCTAGTCTTGCAGAAGCGTAACAAGTACCGCGGCTTTTGGTACTTTGTCTATCAAGACTGGTCATACCTCGATGGGACCTTCTCCTTCCTGCCGTACATGGCTACAGCACCGGGTTGGTCGTACGAGGACATGCTCTTGCAGATTGAACTGCTCTACCAAAACACCTACGACAATAAAACTGAACTAGTTGTCCATGGCTACGATGCTTCCAAGACTGCAGTGTGGGCAAACAAAGTTACGGGTGGCAGCCCCTTCGTCTGGGGCAGGGCGCTGTCCTGGTATCTCGGTGGCCTTGTCAATACCTGGGAGAAGCTTGGCGGCTGCAAAGGCGGATATGATACAGCCTGTATGCGACTGGCCTCTACCATTAAGACCCAGGCCAACCAATTGTGCAAACGTATCGTCACCTACGCAGACGCGGCCACGGGCGTGTGGTGGCAGCTTCCAACGTTTGGTGGAAAGCAAGGCAATTTCCTTGAAAGCTCATCGACGATGCTCTACACCTTTGCCATTCTCAAGGGTCTTCGGATCGGTCTGCTTAAGGAGTACGGTGTCTCCGCCCATGGGCTACAGGCAGCTGCGATGAGGGCCTACGACTACACTGTGACCAGCAAAGCTTTTCTTGTCAACAACACGGATGGCACGCTCGATTGGGAGGGAACGGTGGCAATGTGCAGTCTCAATTCGACGGCGACTTACGAGTACTATGTCGGGAGGCCGATTGTGCACAACCACGCTCTGGGTGAAGGAGCTTTCATTCTGGCAAGCCTGGAGGTTGAGCGATATGCTACATTTGGAGAAAACTAGTCCTGGAACGATGTTTGACAGTGAGAATTGGTTTCCACTGGGCTGGAAAACAGGACCCCTACAGCGAAAACAATGAAGGTGCTTTCTTAAACCAATCTCATCTTTGCTTCGATGAGGAAAGTTGTCATTTCGTTTTGCTTGCTTTGTTCTTGTACAGTCCATTATCAATTGTTCAGGTCCCATCTAGACTGAATATTCAGCTCATATAGCCCTTTTGACCGATAGAAGCCCTCATCTTAGACTGCGCCTGGTGGTACCCATATGCTAGCAAATGGCTACACATCCGTCATGGCTTGACTTTTTGAGTCCGACGCTCATTTGACAAAAATCTATTAGCATATACGTCATTTTGATTGGCTGAAACTATCAATTGCTCACGCCCAACCATGTCAGAGCCACTCGGACTATGGAGCTCGATCAAGCCATCTCGCTTTGGCGTGGCCGTGCTGCCGACGCCACGTTACTAGGTGCCACGACTTGTGTGTCTAAGGACAGCAATAGATTAGTACTACTAACATCAGCTGAAGACGTGCGCGAGATCTGCGCCCCCACGCGCAAGTGTATCAATCACTGGACCTTCCGAGCTGGTAGTGCACACGCACTGCACGTAGCAGCAGTGCGTCACGCGCACTCGCGCTTATTCTTTGGTGTATGTGGAGCGCCTGGTGTGAGTGAAAGTAAGAAGGCGCGTCAGGCCAGGCGGCAGGAGGATAACAAGACAACATTACCGGCCAACGAAGGCCTTACGGTCTGGCGCGACACGGACTTGGACGTGGCTAAGTGGAGACGTACGCCATTGCAATCGAGTTGCAAGGTATTTACACTACTTACACATATCAAGCTGAAGGAGGAAGTGATCGTGGTGTTTCAGGACGGCTCATTCGTCGCATACGATGAGGATTTAAATCGAGGAGTGCACAGTGATGACGTCAAAGAGGCAGTCGCAGTAGAAGGAGATGAAGATGAAGATGATGACCAGGAAGAAGCAGTGGTGTGGGCGTACTTGGAGACGGACAACCGCAGCTCCTTGAAGGGTGGACTCTTTTTATCGATCTTGCTGCAAAAGAGTGGCAAGCAATTAGAGCTTTTGGTGTATCAATTTACATTTCCTAGCACTACGAGACGCATGGGAGGTGTGCTATCCGTTATGCTGCTAATACGTCATCGTGTCGTTCTACCGGATAACGAGGATCTGTCTTCGTGCGCATTCCACCCGGAAACTTTCTCGTACTCGCTGATTGGCCGCTCGGGCTGCTGGCAGTCGCTGCGTTTTTCACGCGATGCACTGACAAACGCAGTGACTTTGGTAGCTTCTCACCAAATGCCGAATTTGGCGTCGGCCGAGGCGGATTCTTCCCCCGTGCACAAGAAACGTAAACTTCAGGCGGCCAACAAGGCAGGGTCAGGCTACCTGGTGAGCGGTATTGGCCACGCTACCTACTTGGTTAGTCTATCTCTGGATGCTCCCTTGAAGATCACAGCCTGGGATTCCAAGTTTGCTGTCCCGGTATCCAGAACTGAGATCAATGTGGCGACGGAGAATGACAACGAGAGCAGTGTTGTTATTGGGCGTAGCAGCAAAGATGGCGTTGGCAAGCCAATACAGATCGTTAATGTAGGTACGGGCGACGCAGTGTTTGCCATCTATGAACGGAGTGCCTTCCTTATTCACGTGAGGAACAAAAACTCGACGCTGGCCAGTGTCCTGGGAGCCACGGCATCCAGCGATTTGACATCGTTAAAGCATTTAGCGACGCCTGCAATGCCCAATAGCGTAATCCAATGGAAAAACGTGACTGCGACGAGCAGCGTGAACAACGATATATTGGATGCTGAGACGTGGAAGTCGAATATGTGCAGCGACGACGACAATGAGCGACAGCTGATTGCGGATCTGTTAAACCCGCAAGTTACTGCTACAGCCACTGAGTTCACGAACCGCCTTGAGAAGGCGTTAATGAAACTGAAAACCAAGCGAACGAAAGGCAAAGACGAAAACGAAATATCCTATCGGTTGCTACAGGCCGTGACTCAACGTTGCTTGAATTCAACGGACCTGAGTCTGTGGACTACACTCGAGCAGATGTTGCTTACAGACCGATTGTCTGCTCGCGCTGAGCCGACACTTTTACCTACTCTGATGAAGCACAACCAGTTTGCGCTTCTCGAATGTGCTATGGTGCACCTTATCGATATCGACGAGCGCTCAATTGTGCGCTTATTGAAGTACTTTATTCGTAAAAGTAGCAGCTCGTCGTTCATCAAGTTCGTGACAAAGCGGGTCAAGATCCAAAACAAGAAAACGAGCAAGGAGGTTGATGCAATTGCAGCCTGTGAACGCTATGCTGTCGCGCTTTTGGGTCTACCTACAAACAGTGTGTTTCTTCACCGCGCGATCCGTGAATTCAAGCTAGAGGAAGTACTGCTCTTGCTTGCAATCTGCAAGAAACTGCTGCTTGTGCACACTACTGGAGACGATGGTGACGACGATGAGGAGCCAATTGAAAAGCCCAAGAAGAGTGCAGACAAGACGACGATTGCAGAGAAAAAGAACGCGACGCACTTTACTCCACTGCCTTCAGCCTCGCACTGCTGTATGTGGATTTGTGCGCTGTTGGACGCACATTTGTTGGCGTTAATCCAACGTGCGTCTCAGAACTCCGAGATCTGTCGTACGCTGCACCAACTAAATGAATTGGTCCAGCTCCTGGTCCGTACGAATGCACAGTATGAATCTGTCCATGGTGTGCTAAGCAATTACTTGTCGGGCGTGCGGCTGCCACGAGCTCCAGGACTTTCTGATTACACCATTGAGGAACTCCGGCTGTAATTAATGCTCCCGATGGATACACAACATAGACACTTGTGGTATGGATAATTAATTACGTCTGACAGGTTCTTTTTCTTCGCTATGTCGTCCACACATTTTTGTAACTACTACTTCAGCAATCGACACCCTTAAAATAGCAACTCAACATTTTGGGGAGGGTGACGTGTGGCGTTCATATTCGAAAAGCACGTGAAGAAAAAAGATTCTGAAGTACCGTAAAAACCAGCTTTTACTCGCTGCATCACAGGTCACTCTTTACAACCTCAAAGTGTCAATAAAAAAGCACTTTTTTTTCGACAACCACCAACGTAACGATTAAACGACTAAAAAAAACAATCTAACGAAATAAAACCAAATAAAACCAATGGCCCAAGAACTCCACCAACCAGTCGAATCAAATGCTACCGCTCAGGATGAAAATTGGAAAGCTTCTCTTATAAAACCGGTAAAAGATACACGTATACAAACTGAAGATGTGACAAATGTCAAGGGGAATGAATTTGAAGATTATTTTTTGAAACGAGAACTTTTAATGGGTATTTTTGAAAAAGGATTTGAACGTCCGTCTCCTATTCAAGAAGAAGCAGTGCCAATTATTCTTGCAGGACGAAATGTCATGGCTCGTGCCAAAAATGGAACCGGTAAAACCGCTGCTTTTATTATTCCGTGTCTTGAAAAAACCGACACTAGTAAAAAGCATATTCAAGTACTGATTTTAGTTCCAACACGGGAATTGGCACTTCAGACCTCAGCTATTGTGAAAGAAATTGGAAAACATATGGGGATTGAATGTATGGTCTCAACGGGTGGTACTAGTCTAAAGGACGATATCATGCGTCTTTATCAGACAGTCCATATTCTAGTTGGTACACCTGGTCGAGTCATGGATTTGGCAAATAAAGGAGTCGCTGATTTGAGTCAATGCACTACTGTTATTATGGATGAAGCAGATAAATTATTGTCTCCGGAATTTCAGCCCTTGCTGGAGCAATTAATTAATCATACGGCCAAGCAACGACAGATTTGTCTCTTTTCAGCCACGTTTCCAGTCACGGTCAAGGCATTTAAAGATCGATTTGTTGAGAATCCATACGAAATTAATCTCATGGACGAATTGACATTGAAAGGTGTGTCTCAGTTTTATGCTTTTGTTGAAGAGCGGCAAAAAGTACACTGCCTGAATACGCTGTTTTCGAAGCTTGATATTAATCAGTCCATTATCTTTTGCAACTCGGTGAACCGTGTCGAGCTGCTAGCAAAAAAAGTGACGGAACTGGGATTTTCGTGCTTTTATATCCATGCCAAGATGAATCAGGCCCACCGTAACCGCGTGTTTCATGAGTTTCGTAATGGCGCTACACGGCACTTGGTCTGCTCGGACTTGTTCACGCGCGGTATTGATATTCAAACGGTGAATGTCGTGATTAACTTTGATTTCCCAAAGAACTCGGAGACGTATTTGCACCGTATCGGTCGTTCCGGGCGGTACGGCCACCTTGGTCTGGCCATCAATATGATTACGTACGAAGACCGATTCAACCTGTACCGAATTGAGCAGGAGCTTGGCACGGAGATTCGACCCATTCCGCCAGTCATTGATCGTAACTTGTACTGCAAGTAAGCAGCACTCGATGTGACACCAATGCTGTGGAGAAGATTGACTCAGAGGAAAGCAAAGGCCTTGGAAAGAGAGGTATGAGGTGAGAGCTAGTGTGGAGGTGGGAGCTAGTGTGGAGGGGAGAGCAAGTGTGGAGGCGAGAGGAAACGTGGGGGCGAGAGGAAGTGTGGAGGCGAGAGGAAGTGTGGGGGCGAGAGGAAGTGTGGAGGCGATAGGAAGTGTGGAGGTGAGAGCAAGTATGGAGGTGAGAGGAAGTGTGGAGATGAGAATGAAGAATGGGGGGTGGTGAGGGAGGTGAGGGAGGTGAGGGAGGTGAGGCTGAAGGAGGATGGAAGTTGGAAGGCGGGATGGTGCGATGAGCGAGAGGAGTCAAGCAAGCTTTTGCTTGACGGATGTGGCTGTTATGATCTATTCGCACGATGAAACAAAGAGCAGTAACATTAACTGATTTGGCTTCGTGTCAATGAATGCCGGGTTGGAGGTGTGACCTACTTTGTTGGTCAATCGAAGAAAGGAAGCTGGTTGGGAGCACTAGAGGCCATATTTGCCGAGGAAACGAGTGAGCAAGCACGAAGTGCTATGTGCGACTAAGAAATAGGGTTGCTGAGATGAAGACGACGTCTAGTTGCGTTGAGTTTTGGAAAGAGCAGGACGGCAGCTGAGATGGTGGTGTGCCCATAGAAGATGAAGATGGCAGACAGTAGCATGTATCGACGTGGCATTGAGCAGGAATGCTGCTCGCTTGCTGAAGGAGAGGAGCAAAGGTAGCAGCTTGAACATTTTGGTCAACTGAGATCGTAGGGAACAGATAGTGGAGCCAAGTGACATGGATCGATCTAGTAATGCCGTCATCAAGCTATGATGAACGACCCATGACAGGCTGGCTGTCAGACTTTAACTCATAATGTAGCTGGAAGGCTCGTTTGTGGCCGATCTGATCGGGTCGTGCCTTTGTTATTATTCGAACGTCCGAGAAGCTGCAGCTTCAATTGCTGCAGTGCCTTTACAGAGAACGGCTAATGATTTTAAGCACATGGAGGATGCTTGCCCTGGCTCAGGATGAGATACATGACGACTGGAGCTCTGAAAGCCATACACGTGAGAGTTGGAAATGCCACGACTCTGCGACCAGATGTCCCCATCCTAGTATTCGATCCGTCGGAGGTGACGATGACGACTGTCGTTCCATTAGACATGACGTCTAGGCTGATTGCTTTGGTCGCGCAACGCGACACTAAATGTCACTGACGTCCAGCAGGCGACGCGTATCACTAACATGTTCATGTAGCACCTGCTTCATGACGGTGTTGTACACGGATCTGAGGCTCCTCGACACTTGCAAATGATGTGCGCCAAATTCCTCTCAGCTACTATTTAAATACGTGACCTGCTTCGATCTACTCTCCGATCGATGCCAGCGATAAATACCTCTCTGTCTCTCTCTTGTCTCTCTGTCGCTCTCCTTCAAAACTCCACCTCGGCAAACACACGGCGTCGAGACGCCACAGGCACGACCATGCCAAACTTAGTTACGGGTGGGATAGTCCACTCGCGCATACCACACATCTTTTGTGTCTTGACTGGTTGATCACTCCCGCTACGTGTAGGAAACAAACTACTGCGTTGTTTCTCGCCATCTTCAGGACGCATCTCTTCAAAAGAGCGTTTAAGTCCGTCCTTGATACTGTAGATAGCTTCACTCTTCCCTTGAGTCTTGCTAGTAACCGGCTCCTGCAGAAATTCCCGCACGACTTGCACAAGTTCACGCCCCATTGTGCATGAACCACAGTGCAGTAGATTGCGTTCCATCAAGAGCGCAGACACACGCGCAACAAGGAACCGTAGCAACACATTAAGAGTGCTCATGGTCTCTTTCTCCTGTGCACGGAGGTCGCAAATGATCTCTCGGAACGCGTACTGGTCCACGATTCTTGTCACCCACTTGGTCAATCGACTCGACTTGTTCTCCTCGGTCTTGACCTCGTCTTCACCATTGCAATGACGTCCTTTCCCGAGATTTTCCAGTGCTTTCCAGAGTGCATCAAACTCGTCCATTGTCTTGTAGACGAAATAGACGCTCACTGGAGCAGCAAGTCGCACTTGAACTGCAAATTTCTCGTCTTTACCGCCAATACAGGACGTAACCGTTGCTTCTATGCCACGCATATTCATTCTTCCAAGTCGTTTGTGGGTCCTATAAATTTTCTTGAGAACTGCTTGCTATAAAAACTTGCAATCCGAGACACGACACCTCGATGGCACTTTACCGACTGAGAAATATCACTTCGATCGAGTCGAAGCAGACTGCCAAGTGTTAGAGAGCTTGAGGGCAAAAAGGACCGACCAAACGCACTGGCCACAGCCAGGGGGAGGACAAAGGACCGTCTTCGTCTTCTCGATCACTGGAAGTGAGCTTTTGGCAAGTGCCTGCTTGATTGTGTGAGATACTGGCGCTAGCAGCTCCAGCGCAACTTCTTAGCTTCATAGTTGAGTTGTTTCTTGCCATCGCGTTTGAACATTGACAGTCCTGCACTCCATCGAGATCTGATCGGCTTGTGATGATTGCTGCTATCATGGCTGGTCATGACTCACAACCAAGTGTATCGAACCATGTATGGATTGCATCCAACAAAGCTCATGTTGTGGAACAAGATTCCTTCTTCACATAGTGATGTGTACCATGCCAGTCAATCCATACAGTCGCGAAGAGGTGGACACGGATTCCGACACTTCTGAACCATGATTGCGTCCGTGTATAACCGTGTCTTGACAACGCTGATGACATGCTGAAACAGCTGCTCGTCGCACGTCACCTGGGCACACCCGAAGAGACGTACGTAATGAATGGACTATCCATGAAGTACCGTGAGAGGTGTTCATGGGCTCGACAAGTCATGCAATGATCAAGTTGACTTCATGTGATCCGCACATCAGCAGCTTTAGCTGCTGTCTATGACATCTTTCCATGCAGTACTCTTCCACTTAGCTGCGATATCGGCATACTGTTGGAGCCTCGCAAGCTTCTGCGTATGGATGGCTTCAGCGCAATCTGTCCCGTTTCTCGTGGTTGCAGCTCCCGTTTCTGCAGCTCGGCATGACATGGAACGCCAGTGCCGCGGAGCTGTCGCGTCATTGTAAGCTCATTAACACATCTGGAAGATCGAAATGGACGCTGCGACGGCGGAGCTCTGCGTAGAAACCATGGGACAATTGGAAAGGCGAGGTGGTGCCTCAAGCACATCAGGTGATGAGGCACTGCTCAACTGCAAGAACAGCCATTAGGACAGCTCTTGGATGGACTTGACATCAGTATATGGCGCTATAAACGGACTGCGGGACGATCGCCTTGATGGCACCATCAATCCATCTATTACGTTCGTCA